TGGCTTAGCTTAATAAAGCCTTATTAGAGGTTCTTTTTAAAGAAGCACTTGATCTCTTATAGCTTATAGGTCAATTATTAATAAAGTAGGAAATACCCTAGGCTCTCTAGGCCTTTGGAATTATTAATCTGAATCTTATAATTATATAATTAATATAGAAATAAGATATTTAATACTTCTTTTAAGAAAATATCTGTGAAATCCTTAAACTCCTCTAGTAAGACTCTTACTAGCTACTATAGCTCCGTTTCTCCTAGCTATTACTTGCCCGAAATAAACTCGTTCTCTTATTATAATTCTAGTTCTTTATTAATCTCGAAAAATAATATTATAAAGAAAAGATTCTTCTTCTTCTATAGGTTTATCTAGAAAGCAGCTAGTAAGATGCCTATAATATTAACTAAGGGCCTTGATTAGATTTTATAGTTTTTCTTTAGATAATATGGTTTTAATATCTCTATCTCTGGCTTAGGAGAAACTTCTATATTTCCTAAGGCTACTTGTATTTCTCTATAATATTAAGCTTAATTTTTTTGCTATATATGGCTTTCTAAGCCCGGGTTAGGAAGAAAATAAGGAGATTTCCTTTTTATAAGCTAAGGTCTCTAGGACTTATTTATAGCTATAGCTTTATTTCTTCTATTTATATCTTTTTAGTACTAGTTACTTTTTCCAGGTTCTAAGTTCTTATATATAGTAATTAGGACCTTATCCTAACTCTTCTTTCTAGGCTAATTATCTAGCCAGATTAATCTTCTATTCTTGTAATTAATTAGGATACTAGTACTTATAAACTACTATTATCCTAAAATCATATTATACTTACCTAGTCCTATAACTAGTATAGGTACTAGGACCTTTCGTCTATTAATTAAGAGTATAAGCTTAATATAGTAAGTAATAGGTATAGCCTACTTACTATTAAACTCTCTTATATTATAGGGTAATACTAATTAAATAGGCTTAATATCTAGAAATTATTTAATTATTCTTATAAACTTAAAATTAATAAAAGTATATCCGTTTACTCTAGTATTAATAAGAGAAGAAATCTTAATACCTAATTTATTATTACTAACTATATAAGGAAGTATAAATGCTTTACCTCCTAGTAGCTAGCTTAAATTAACTTCTGCTATATTTATATAATATGGCCCTAAAAAAAAGACTTTCTTTAGGGGTTCTCGTTTCCCTGTTCTATATCCTTAGATAGCTTACTTATAGTAAGTACTACTAGCTTGGCCGCCAAAACTTGCTTTATATACTCTATCTTGGGCTCTAGATAGTTCCTAGATATATAACCAAATCTATTATAGTTATAGTACTTGAGATCTGAGAATCCGGGCTTTGGAGTAATAGGCTTATCTATTACTAGGGTCTTGAGAGCGGGCTTTATATAAAGGGCGCCTCCTGGGCTTAGCTTATCCGTATTTTTATTAGCTTTTTTAGATATCTATTCTTTCTTTTTATAGTAAGCTCGGATTTACTAGTTATTCGTAATATAGTATTATATAAACTCTGTAATATAGATAGCCGGGTTATTATAGTATATAGCTATGGCCTCTTAGAGCTTCTAGGTAAGCTTATTATTTAGGTTATTCTTAAGGTCCTGCGGATTAATATTTCCGTCTACTATATACCTTAGGAATAGGGTATAGAACTCCTAAAAGGTCTAGCCCTTCTTTATAAATAGCTCCTTAAACGCTTACCAAGTATTATACTTCTTATTCGGGTTACTATATAGCTCCTCTAGATAAGTATATAGTTCCCTAATAGTCTCATATATATATTAATTATCCTGGTTTAAATAGAGAGAGATTAGTATAAAAGTATAGCTACTTATATAGCCGGATATATAAATAATCTTATAGTCCTCTATTTAATAGGTATTAGAGTTACTATAGAGCTTGTTCTTGATCTAAACTAACTAATTATTAAAGGTAATACTATCCTTGGTTATATCTTTGAAAATAGGAGGATTAGGAAGTTTAATTAAGTATTTACCTTCTAAAATAAAAGAACTAGTTATTCCGGCAGGCTATATAATAAGCTTCTTAATAATGGCTTTATTCTTTTATAGGGCTTACTTGGTTTCTTTTAGCTAATTCCGATAATTCTTACTATAGGTAAGGATATTACATATCTTTAGAATTAGCTTAATAATCTCTTTATATAAAGCCTCTGGGTTCCAAAGTAATTCTTGGAACTCTGCCTTTAATAAGGCAGGTCCCTCTTCTTTCTCTATTTTCTAGAAGAGAGTATCTCTTCTATTATAAATATTAATAGGATACTCGAATCCCTCAGGAGACTTAATAAAAGGCTCTGGTCTACCTTCTAGTAATATACTAGTAGTATCTCGTACTATAGCTTCTTCTGATTTACCCAATTATTCCGGGACTTGCTTTTTTATAGATCTTCGTTTAATAGTAAGGTTACTGGCCTATTTACTTGCCTGGCTAGTTCAGGGCTTTCTTGCCTAGTTATTCTAGGGCTTTTTTTTATTCTAATATTAGTTAACCGGTTCGGGAATAGCTATAGTATATTATATCTATATTTATTAAAAACCAATTAGGTAAGTATTATTTAAATCCTTTATAGGATTAAGAAATAGGTAAGCTTTGAATTATATTATAAGTATAAGATCTAGGGCCTGGAAGGCATAGTTAGACTATTTCTATTTTAATAATTTAAAGCTAAAATGAGAAGAAGATCCCAAAAGAGCCTCGGATCTAAATAATCGCAAGCTATATACGGGCCTATATACTAGCTTAAGCTCGGGGTTATATATAATAATTAGGTAACTATAAATACCTCGCTCAGATATTAGATACCTCTCTAGCTCTAGTCTAATCCCTACTAGTACTATATATTATAATAACCGTAATAGTTACTATAATAGCGAAATTAAGGCAATAGCTAAGGCTTAAAGATTCAAGAATCTCATATATTAAAAATACTAACCCTAAGATAAAACTAGTTATATAATAGCTATCTCTCTTTAGTTCTAGCTAATACTATTATAATTATATTAAATTAGTAAAGTTATTATTTAGAAATAAGAATTATAATATTATAGTATTAATATATAATTCCTAAATCTATTAAGCCTAATAGGAACTAGTTTACTAATCGAGTTATATCTATAATACGAGTTTATATAACTAGTTATATAAATAGAAATTCATAATATAGCTATTTTAATAATTAATTTATTTATAAAAAGTTTATATTTAAACTGCCTTTAATTAGTACTATAAATAAAAAAAGTATTAAATACTATTAGTTTTTTATAAAATAAAATAAATTTAAGAAAAAATCTAAAATTTTAGTATTTTTATTCGAGTACTTTTATTTTAAATTAATAGTTTAATTAATATTAAAAGTATTATTTTATATATTTCTAGAAAAAATACTCGAATTAAAAATATATAAAATCTATTAATTTAATTAAATAATAATAATCTAGTTATTATTTACTAATAATAATTAAGCCAAATACTATATAAAATTTTATATTAAACTAATATAAATATAAGATAATTTTAAAAGAAATTCTCGAGTTATATAGAAAATCCCAAGAAATTATTTATTTAAAAAGCCCTTATATTATAAGCTTACTTCAATATAATACTTAATAATTAATAATTAATATAATACTTAATAACTAATATAATACTTAATAGTTAATATATTATTATATTTAATTATATAATAATAGTTAAGCTAAATCCTTAATCGAGTCATTTCTAAATCGACTGCCCGAAATTTACTGCCCACTCATAGGAAGCATGATTAAGACCACAAGATAGAAATTGTTTCACAACTCTGGATGTTGTCAGGATCTAAAGGTAGAACTGCTCGGCCATAGCCCAAAAGGGCTTCACGAGGTTCAGCGTAATATAACCGATACCACGTGACTTGGTTTCGAATTCGAATGCCCTTGGGTTTCCAACGGACAGGGGATGTCGCTGCGAGCTTCTGGGCAATTGGGTATATTAGGACCACAGGAGCAATGACAAGCGGTAAGCTTCTCTCCGTAGATGGTCAAGATTCTACTTGCAACCGAGCGAGATTCAGGATTAGACAGAGTGTAGAAACCAAGCACACACCAAGCCTGATCATTTCTACAGCGAGATGGCTTCAATAGGGAAACTGAGAGGTGACAGTAATAACGGAAGGAGCCAAAAGGGGTGGATCAACGCGAGAAATCGCGTCCATCGGCAAAATCTCGGCTTCTTCGTTCTCGGTCCAAATCTCTTCCGTATCCAAAACTTCTTCTTCAATACTCATATATCACCTCCTCCTCTGTGTCCGACTGACTTTCAAAGATTGGCTGTGCATATGGAGAATTTCCATCGTGTTGCGTCTCGAGTGGCCAGTTCCATGCCTCGGCTCATCAGAAGCCCGAAAAGCAGTCTCCGTTGAACGAATTCGGAGGTTTTCCTTTCTCGTCAATAGTTCCTCTCCTGACCTCTTCAGGAATGGGCTGAGACTCTGATATTCCGCTTCTCAAGCGGTGAAAGCTCAGAAAACCTCACCAAATGGCACTCGAGGTTTCGGTCACTTTGGCAGGGTCTGTTGTCATCAAACTTTCGCCCAATGACAACATGGCGACGACATCTCCTTGCATGTGCTGAACTCAGCGCCCAAACTCTTGAACGGGCCTAGAGGCACCTTATCACACGCTACACCGCATCTTCTGGCGTACCGAATTAGACATGTGTCACTGGTTGCAGGCGCATACAATATTGTTTCTCGTAGCAAGCCACTTTGAACAAAATGGTGGAGCGGTAGCGTTTCTTTGTCGGAGTGGCTGAGAAGGCGTATTCAGGGGTAGTTGTAAGCCCCGAAGTACTGACATCCTGACATGAGTGGTTTCTCTTGCTCGAAGACTGCACCTCCACGACGTTACTACCACCCCTCTCTTCCTTGGCACTTTTATCAGAGGCACAGAGGGCACATTACATGCCTCTAGCCAACATCACCCGATCTACAAGACGATGTTTCCACCAGGTACAGATACTAGCGGCCATGTCGTAGTCCAATCTTTACCTGTGGCCGTTGAGAAGTCGGTGAGCCCAAGTGTGCAACAGGATGTCTCAAGCGACGAGAAGAAAGCGTACAATGTCGAGGTCCTCGAGAGCCCTGATTCGCCAGCGGAGTCCATCATATCTATTCATCAGCCGTATTCACAGCAAATCGTTGGCACGAGGTTACAGAGATGGGGAGCCGTCCTTTTAAAGTTTGCAAGATTCACGGGACCGGGGACTCTCATCAGCGTGGCGTATGTCGACCCGGACAACTTCCAGACTGCATTGGATGCAGGGGCTCAGTTTCAGTACAAACTCCTATTCATCATTCTGCTTGGTGTGTTGATGGCGGTGTTCCTACAGGTAACCTCCGTCACAAGATTGGATGGTCGGGTGTTGACGTAAAGCAGGCATTGGCAACCAAGCTTGGATGTGTCACGGGGTTGAATCTTGCACAGATGAACCGTGCTTACCTTCCAAGATGGTTGAACTATTTCATTTATGCCATCGCGGAAGCAGCAATCATCAGTACCGACATTGGACAGGTAAGTCCAACCCACCCGGATAAGCAATCGTTCACGGAGCTAAATATCTCAACAGGTCATTGGAACAGCTATTGCTATTAACATCCTGTTTCCAAAGGTACCCCTCGTTGGCGGGTGCGCCATCTCAATATGTGATACGCTCTTCATCCTCGCTTTCTACAAAGCCGATGGAACACTTCGTCGTCTCCGCATATTCGAAGCTTTCGTCGCCCTCTTCATCATTGGTGTCTTTACCAGCTTCTGTATCGAGCTCTCGTTTGTCACCGACCCAGCTGCCGACGTGTTCAAAGGGTTTCTTCCTTCGAAAGAGATCTTTGTCTCCAATGGGTACGTCGCCTCACTGCAAATCCTCTCTCACAATTCTCTCTCTGCAAGTTCATACCAACTCCTCACTTACCCCCCCTTCCCCTTTCACACTTCCGCCTCCCACCCCCTGACAGCAACACCACTAATAACCCCCAGACTCTTCCAATCATGCGCAATCCTCGGCGGCATCCTCATGCCTCACTCCCTCTACCTGGGCTCCGGCTTCGTCCAACACCGCATGCGGGACTTTGACGTTACCTCTGGCACTCTCCACGAAGCACGTGCCTCCAACACCAAGTACGCCATCACTCTGTACCGCCCCACGATCTCGGCCATCAAGAGCTGCATGAAGTACTCCATAGCAGAGATGTGCATCTCCCTTTTTGTGATCACGCTGTTCGTCAACAGTGCGATCTTGATCGTGGCGGCGAACAGCTTGGGCGCGGACGCCTCGAACGCCGATTTACCCGCTATTTATCATCTCTTTGTGCAGACCATCGGGCAAGCAAGTGGTACGTACATCCCCAGCCGTTCCCTCTTTGTATCTTCTCCAAAACTGCAAAGCACATCCCTGACGCTCACCAGGAACCATCTTCGCCCTCGCCCTCCTCTTCTCCGGCGTCTCCGCCGGAATAGTCTGCACCATGGCCGGGCAACTAATCTGCGAAGGCGCGCTGGACTGGCGCATGAAGCCCTTCTACCGACGTCTCCTCACCCGCAGCGTCTCCGTGATCCCCGCCATCATCATCGCCGCCTCTGAAGGCCAGCGGGGTCTCGCCGCCGCGCTGAACGGCTGCAACGTCGTTCTCTCCGTGGCGTTGATCTTCCTGACATTTCCGCTGATCTGGTATACGAGTTGCAAGCGGTATATGCGGGTCAAGGTGGATGAGAGGGCGACGCCGCTGGGCGTTGTGGATGGGATTATGAACTATGATGCTGTGAGGGCGGTGGAGGCCGGAGGGGCGGTCGAGGGCACGGTGTGCATGGCGAATAACTGGCCGACTACTATTGCGGCGGGGGTGGTTTGGTTGATTGTTACGGTGTTCAATGTTGCGACTTTGACGTTCCTCGGGTTGGGGATTGGGAGCGAAAATTAGACTTGGTGTCGAGACGGAGATACAAGATGTAGAGGGAATAAGCGTATGGATATGAACATAGAAAGAGTATAATGTATATAGGAAGAGGGTTCTAAAATGTGAGTAGGCTTTTTACGGTTCACCAGGGATCTGAGTTGAAGGCAGAGATGTATGTCTTACGTACACTTCTTACCTGATGAAAGTAACAAGCTACAAGAGCTACAAGTCCCCCACGAGAGCCGGGATAATACCCAACAACCTCAACTCTGCAGTCGGGACCCTACATCGAGACTAGAGGCTCGAGACTGTATTTCTGCTCAAAACCAGTCGAATAGGATCATCCCCTTTTTGAGTTGCAGCGAGCATTCGCAGAAATAGCTGGCAAGCGGCAGCCAAGCGGGAGCATTACCAGATGCGATGGAAATGTGGTCTGATGTGGACGGCTGCAGGCGTTAGGTTACCCGAAGAAGAAACTCGAAGGTTGGCTATCGGGCGAGGCTACGGGTTTGTACACCTAAAGTTTGGCTTTCCGTACTTTGTCATTTGGGCTGTGGGGGAGAGGAGGCGGTTGGCCGCATCATGCAAAAAGGAAGTTCACGTTCGGGCAAGGCTGAGAGGAGAGCAATGTGTCAAATCAAGCCTGATCTCAACTTCGTTGGTGGTCCGCATTCCGGCTGGCAGCGGCTAGAAAAGGAAGATAAGATGCTTGGGAGATTGGTACTCCCATTATTTTGTATCAGAAACATACCTTCTCTGAAGGTTCAAGTGGAAACGGACTTCGAGTTCCTTTTTCAATTATCGGCCGCTCGCGAGAACACCCCGTCAACTTCCCGAGTTCCTAGCATCTTTGAAGTTGGGCCCACCTCAGTCCAATACGTTCAGCCTAGAAGAAACAAGAAATGTATATGCTGGGTATATTCATGTATGTATTCATCTAAATTACCCCATTACCGTATATGAGTATGTGCATCTACTTCGGACACAACGCCTCCTTCTCCTCATCCTCGCCCTTTTCTCCATCTATTTCCTTCTTACCGGCAGGGCCTAACTCTATGGCCCCCGGCCCCTTCTCCCTCGGCCGCTCGCCTTCTTTCAACATCCAACTCCATCCCAACCCAAGCACAGAGATAACCATCAAGTACCCCCACCACACCGTCCCCACAACCCCAATATCATGCCCAAATCCAAATATCACACCTCCAATCAGCGGTCCCACAGCACGGGCGAGACTGCTGACCATGTTCCCCACCCCATGCACGGCCCCAAGGGCCAAGGGCGTAGGCGCTGAGTTTGTGAGAAGGATGACGCTCGATGGGATGCCGAAAGTTCGTGCTGTCACTTGTAGGAACAGTATACAAACAATCCCAAGACTCTGCAACGCCACATTGGTCTCTGGGATGAGGCATAGGTACGGGGCGAGTATATATGCCAGTGGGAACACACTCAACGCCACTCTATAACTCCTCAGAGTGCCGAGCCAGGCTTGGAGGGAGGGGTATACGCAGAGTTGAATCAGTATGCCGAAGATTCCGAACGCAGAGAGGAAGAGCCCGATTGTAGGGGACGAGAGGCCCAGACCGCCGTTGAATTTCAGCGCTGTAGGGGAATCATTCTTGAAGTAGGGTGTCGAGAGGAAGACGGGGAAGACTTGCATAAATGCTGCATTGTGGAGTGGGAGGAGGCCGAAGGAGACAATTGTTACGAGAACTTCGTGAGTGTAGATTGCACGGGAGGTTATGGAGAGCTTTGGTTTGGAGGGTCCCGCCCGGCTGAGTGGTTGGACTGTGAGTCCTGAGGTCTTTGGGGTTGGTGGTTCGAGTTGGTTCGAAATTTCGGTGCCGAAATTTTCTTCTTGGAGGGTTGAATAGCCAGAGGAAGACTCTTTGTGGAATATTCTCCTGAAGAGACTTTTCATAGCTGCTCCTGCCAATAATCCGTAGTCTTTGTGGTCGGTCTTTCCGGGCATCGTTTCCTTCAAGAAGAACACTGCGAAGAAAAGACTGACCAACAGCACTGCCGCATTGAATAACGTAGGCAGCGCGAATGGGTAAGCCCTCATCCAAGCCACTCCTTCTGGATCCTTCGAAAAGTTCCAAACGCCTGTAGGTCCGAATAGCCAAGGAAGGTTGACGATTGGATCAGCCAGACAGCCCCCAAGTGCAAGCCCAAGAACTACCCCCGAGTTGAATACCAATGGCAGAAGCAGGAATGCTCGACTCTGGTATTTCCTCTCCTTAACGATCTCCGCCGTCATTGTCCTCATAACTCCCGTATTCCCATTCCCAATGCCAGCCAAGACCCGCCAACACATCACCGCCGGTATGCTTGTTGAGAACCCGAAACCGATATTTGAAATAATGGAGAGTGTGAGCCCGATAATGATGCTCGGCTTCCTCCCCAACCTGTTTGCCACACTGGCCCATGGTACCGACGTAGCGAACTGTGAAAATGCGAAAAGAGAGACAAGGAGCCCAGCTTGTCGTGATATCGAAGCTGGGCTCGTATTGGGGGCAGTTTGTAATGAGCGTATGAGGTAGTATAGATATGGGAGGAGGCAGGTGTTCGAGAGGGGTTCGGACAGGCGGCAGATGGCGAGGATGAACAGTTGAGGCTTGTGCGGGAGGGACATCCAGGTGACGACCTCTGGTTTCCCTCCTTTCGGGGCGGCGCTGGGAGACATTGTGGGGCTGGCGGAGCCTGAACGACTGGAGCTCGCGTTCGCGTTGCTGTGCATCTTCGCTGTCTCTGCCAACGTTCGAGAATATATCGCCAACTCTCACGGTCTCCAAACCCACAATTCCCCCGTAAATGAATGAACGAATGTGGTGATGAAGGAGGGATGAGGCTCGGAGTGTCGAGGGGGGGAGGTCGCTTCAAGAAAGTTGGCAAGGGGGATGGCGGATCGACTCAGCCTCGCGCCTGGACATTCAGGGGTAAATGAGCTAACGCTGTGTGTAAGCTTAAATAGTGCGTCCGGTCCCCCGCTCCCCTACCTAAACTTAGACCCGACGAATAATCGAGGTTGCGATGCAAACAGGAATCCGCATCTTCACAGCACCTCACGCGACAGTTCGGAGTTTGAGCAGAGAGAAGAATCACAGACCGGACATGGCGCCACCGGATGTTCCGCTCCTGGATCTGGACACATTTTGGCTGTTTTCATTGTGTTGCGCTCGCGAGTCCGCCGTCTCTCAGCTCCGTCCTCAAGCCGCCCAAGGGGGCCTAGCGCCAGCTTCATTCTGGGTCTTCCTGACAGGTCCGGCGTGGGCGCTATCGAAACTCTTTTGTCGGGAGGCGGTTCGACGACTTGCAGCACGGTTGAAGTGCGCCACGGGCTCGTGATACGGCTGGGAGAATCGATAACTCCGACCCGGGAAATACCCAAGGAGTGCGTACTGTAAGCACGTTGTAAAACGAAACCCTGGGGCTGCGCAGTGCAGCGCTGTGCAGCGCAGAACTGCAACTCGGGAAGCGACGCTTACGTCAAGTCACGTGAGTTGACTGAAAACTCAGGCAGACCGCAGACCCCTGGCCTCAGGAGGAGGGGGAAGTTCCTCGTCCACATTTGGCATGATCCGCCGGCTGTTCGGCATACAGCGTACTCCGTATGCCCTGCGCTGTCAATCTGCCAATGGTTCTGCGTCTGCATGGTCGAGAATGGCCATGTCTCAGGACAAGTGCCCGCAGCTCAAGCCTTCACCAGTGCACCACTCCATCACTGGCATGATTGTCCACAACGATCCAGGCGGGGCCTTCTTCGTGCAGGGCAGAGCGCCACTCCCGGTGTTTTGGGCTCCGATGCCGCTTCCTGGTCTTCTGCAAACCAGCAGTAGTTTTGCAGACGGCATGCGAGCAGCACTTGCGCGAAGCGAGGGTTCTGGAGCAATTTTCGTCTTTTCGTCTTTTCGTCTTTTTGTGGGTGCAGATGCATCGAGAAAGGTGCGGCCTCTCCCACACCAGCCAATCCGCGCCCCTTGCAACTACCGACAGTGTGGAGGAACATGCGTGAAAGGCTTCCATGGGCAGCAAGCATGCTGCACTGATTGGATGCACACGGTCTGATGATGGCCAGACTTGGCGGTCAGTCACCCCCCAAAAAGCAACGTGCTTGGCAGAACCCAGAGCTGTGCCCTTGCACGACGTGATTATATCTTCGCCCTTCTCGTGCTTGCCCGACGACAGCTATCATTCCCCCAATTATTTTACGCCGATGTTCTAGCATCTGGGTGCCCGTAGTCAGAGTATAGAAGCGACGGTGCATACAACCTTGCCAGAGCTTACCATGCGCTTCTTTCCAAGTAGAGGGACGAGGAGGCTTGGGAGTTTGAGCGTCTTCTTTGCGCTTGGATCTTTTGTATGGGGGTGAGTGTCGACTGCTACCTTGCAGCTCCTAGGCAGAAGTGATACCTTACATCCTCCTCTGCTAAAGCTACCTTGACGATTGGAATCTAATCCAAACTCCCAGGTACAATATCGGAATCATTGCCACACTCTACGTGAACAGCGGCTGGATCAAAGCCCTGCACAAGCCCAACGCCGCGCAGAAGGGGTTGATCACTGCGATATACTACCTGGGGACATGGCTCAGCTATGTCTTCCTATCCCACCCACTCAGCGATCGTTTGGGGAGAAGATACGCTGGTATGGTGGGAGCAGTCGTGTCATGCATTGGAGGAGCTGTACAGACAGGAGCACACGGGGAAACAGCTTTTGCAATGATGATCATTGGGAGAATCATCTCGGGGTTGGGGAATGCAGTTATCTCTACCTCTGTTCCGTTATACCAAAGGTTCGTAGGCGGCACTTGCGAGCTATCGAGCGAGGCTAATGGAATTATAGTGAAATAGCTCCTGCAAGAAGAAGAGGTGGAGTTGTTGTGTTGAACCATATCGGTATGGTCAGTGGTTTGGCTGTTGCTTTCTGGTAAGAATTCTTGTCTTCGTTTTAAAGATATTCGGTTGCTAATGCTTGGACTGACTAGGGTGGGGTATGGAGTTTCACATTGGACGACCAAAACTGGTATCTTTGAAGGATGGCGTCTTTCGATTGCCATTCAGTTCATCCCCGCTTTATTCTTCGTCATCGGTTTGCCTTTCGTCCCGGATACGTAAGTTCCTCTCAACTATTTTCTCAACCTGAAAATCAGCTGAATCTTCCCAGCCCCCGCTGGCTCCTCGAGAAGAATCGCCCAGAAGACGCCCACAAAGCTCTCATCTATCTCCGCGGCGCCGAAGACAGTCCCGAGGACATCGAGCCTGAGCTCCAGGAAATCAAGGCAAATGTTGAATTCCACAACTCCATCACCGAAGCCTCATGGTTCACCCTGTTCACTGACAGCGACCTGCGTGCTCGTCTTTGGAGGGGAGCACTATTGCAATTCATGGCGCAAATGTGCGGCGCAACGGCAATCAAGTACTACCTCCCTACCGTCTTCCTCGCTCTTGGTCTGTCAAAGGATCTGAGCTTGATGGCTAGCGGCATTGAGAGTACCTTGAAGATCGGATGCACGATTATCGAGATGTTGATTATTGATAAGCTTGGACGGAAGAAGACTCTGCTATTGGGAACGGCAATTATGTCTCTTTCGATGATTGTAAGTTTCACACAGTCCTTCAAACAACCCCATTGCAATCCTTCTCCCGAATAAGAAATGGCTCTGAGACTGACATTTTCTCCAGGTCAACGGCTCCCTTCCCTTGGCCTACCCGAACAACAAGAACCACGCTTCAGACTACACCTGCATAGTCTTCATCTTCTTCTTCTCCTTTGGCTACTCCATCGGCTTCGGGCCCAACGCATGGGTTTATGGCACAGAGGTATGTCTATTATCCAGTTCCTCAAACCAAATCACATACTAACCTTCCACAGATCTTTCCAACCTACATCCGTGCAAAGGGCATAAACATCTGCGCCTCCGCCGGCGCCATCGGCTCCATCGTCGTCGGTCAGTTCTTCCCCGTTGGCATCCAGAACATTGGCTCCAAAACCTACTTCGTCTTCTTCTGCATCAATATTTCAGCTATGGTCATCATACTTATCTGGTATCCCGAAACCAAGGGCAAGACGCTCGAGGAAATGGACGGTCTGTTTGGCAAATTGATTGGCGGGAGTGATGTGGAGCGCGGGGATAATGGGCACAAGGGGCAGGATGAGGGGGAGGAAGGGGCCGTTGAGCAGCATGCTGTGGAAGTTGATGCTGGGAAACGATGACGAATGCAAGTGAATACGAGTAAGTGTGAGAGAGGAAGGGAAAATGGTGTTTTGGACGGTCATGAGCGGTTGCAAACATGGTATATATCCAGCAATGTTGAAGTTGCTACGAACCTTCATTCCTCTACGGTCTACCTGACGATTCTCTCACGACGTGGAACGGACGGCCATTCATGCATACAATCGTTTAATATCATCCATCTCTATCCATAAGAGCGATCTCGATATTCCTCTCGACGCGAGACGTTATTTCATAAATGCGCTTGATCTAGTGCGCTTCATCTACTCGAATCAATTTGTGCTCTCACTACCTTAGCGGCAGACCAGTGTCTGCACTAGTCCTCCACGCCCCCAAACGAACGTTGATTACTTGACGCGTTGTGTTGCAAAAGAACAATATATTCAATTAGGCGGTGACCACGATTTCACCGTTTTCTGTTGGAAAGAAGCATTGTGAAGCGGGGTCTCAGCCACTGGAGGAGATAATCTCCTGTCCCCAGATCAGACTCGGCACACCACCCCTAACAAAATCCAATTCACGCATGAGCTGTCTTCATCATTGTTTATGCCAAGTAGCACATCTCTTACTCCACACTTCTCTGCATCAAATAAATAGTTTAACACTGGCGTATCGATCCCCGCAAAGCCTTGGCTTCAACTCAAGCCCTGTCTGCAGATAGTCTCGTGAAGAACCTGTGGAGAGCCAATGGCGAGCCAAAGTCTCAGACGACCGATAGTGTGCCTAAACACTTTCCTTTTCTGTGCTAATACGCGGCAACTTACACGATGGCAGTGACATCTCGAAGAATTATATCTTATCACGCCTTAGATATCCAAATTGCTTCTGGCTGTGCCCAGACTCGAGGCTCTAGGACATCTCCTCGTATATACCGCAATGCAGCAGCTTGTTCTTTTGAGCTTGCAGTAACGGCTTGCTTAGGCTGTGTTTTTCTTGAGCCGCTTCCAGACTCGGAACTTTACTCGGACAATTTCCTCTGGGCTCCCCTGAGCTGACATCCGCTTTTGGATACTTGGCAGTCTCAAGCACAACGGCTATTAGGAGCTAAGGAGCCTCAGTCCAGACGCGGACCTTGACCAAAACATGAGGCTTCCTCTTGATGAAGGCTGTTTCGACCAGGCTTGGCAAAAATACTTTTGGTATTAATAAGGTATTAATACTGGATGGTATTACTTAGGTATCGCAAGGATCGATACGTATCGATACCGAATCGATACTTAGCCTTAAATTATCTCTTCCATTTATTACTTAATTTATATAATAAATTTATATATAATTTCTTTATTTTCTAGTCTTTCTATTAAAGGAATTACTTAATATTATTAATAAAAGTTAATATTATCTTAATTTTAAAATAGCTCTCGTATTCGGAAAATTTAGTATTATATTTGTATCTCTTATCAGAATGCTTATTATAAGTAAGCCTTACGAAAATCTCAAAAGCTATTCTTTGCTTAAAATAGCCGTATTAAGACAAGTTTTAGTCTAAACTATAAGATAAGTAGCTAAATAGAAAGCCTAAATTAAATAGAATATTTGCGCTACCAAAAGTTTTCTTATAAGGGAAGTGGTTCTAAAGTTAATTGCAATTAAAGGGGGGAATTGGGTTCCGGGAATCGATAGGAATCGATACTTTATCGATAGTATTAATACCTTACGATTCTGGCACCGATACCTATCGATACCAGAAATTAGGTATTTCTGCCAAGCCTGGAACTTTCGACAGCGTAGGATATTGGTTTGCTGCTGTTAGGGCCGCTTCGCAGTCTCTCTTTCTCTCAAGTACCGAGCTTCTTTGAAGAACAAGCACTTTCCTTCCTTCAATGACTTTCTTGCACCCTTTCAAGTCCAAGTTCGTTCATTCACCAGGCTTGCTAGCATCTTGCTGCAGTCCCACACTCGTTTTGTATACTGAGAAATCAAGCATATACTAATCATGTCTAAAATTCTTATGAGCCTGCGGACCAAAGTCTGTGTTTTTAGGTCATTTCGTAAAAACACAAAAAAAAAAAACGAACCCCATAACTATTTTCGATGCTTTTCTTTTATATTCAGAATTAGTTATGAAGCCTTTCTAAACTTATTCTATCTTCTTTTATCGCATGCGCTTGAATTATATAAAGTTTCAATCTATAGTTATTAAGGAACTCTGAAGTGAATCGGGCGACTTTGGTTTTACGATACCTGACAATATCGCTAAAAACACGGACTTTGCTCCGTAGGCTTGTTACTTTATTGGCCGTTGCCCCGGCTCTGACTTGGCCTTGACGATCGATACTCGGGCCCGGGATGTGGTACGGTTTTCAGCCTCTTTCGTAATGGAGCATATACTGAATGGTGGAGCTAGCGCTGTTCGACAGGCCCCTTCTACGACATGTCTCGGATGCTACGAAGAGACGACAACGGGTCCTCGCACTCTGGCAGGTGCTGCTTTCTTCAACTATACTGCGGTGACCCCAGAGATGTGTGGAGCTCCCTCCTCAGCTTATGTCTACTATGGTATTGTGTGCGGTGGAGAATGTCAGTTTTCCCACATTCTTTTTTACCTCTCATGGCTGACGGAGGCAAATAGGCTACTGTGGCAACATCATCGCCCCAGCAGCAAATGGAGCTATCATCGCCCCCAGCCCTGCCGATTGCTCGATGCCCTGTCCCGGAAACGCTGCAGAGGAGAAAACAGAATGAACATGTACAAGAACCTCAAGCAAGAAGTCGAGCTCATCCCCAAAAAAAAACACGAAGAGTCGAAGCCTGCGTAGATTGTTATAAATGTTTGATTATTCTGCAGAGGAGGGGAAAGGAGGGGATTGGACAAGGGCATACAAAACTGCGAAGAGTTTGGTGTAGGGTTTGAATTCATGTTTTGTAATATAGCAGAGCGATATATAATATTTTCTCTTTGGATTCTTGCCCGCTTCGCTGTGAATTGGGGAAGAACTGTATGGTATTCTCTCCTTTGAGCCCATCTTGCCCAATCCATTACAAGTCATCAGGCATGTATGACTCGGTAACTCAATCATTACGATCTCATTACAATCCCAATTATCGTGAATCGCAAGCTGTCGACTTGTCTCGCTTATCCAGAACCTCCCCTTTTCTCTGGACACGTGACCGTGATGGAATTTAGGTGAAGTCCACGCCATCGGCAAGCTACCGAGATGCAGCATTCATTTATTAGTCATCTTAATGAAACTAAATCTTGTCCTAACATTGATTGGAGGAACCCTCGAGCTGCAAATTGTGAAAGTTAGCTTGGATACCTTGATGGATAGTGGGGAATTCAGGATCCAGGCGTGACACGAGAAGAAATAGTACGGACGGAAGATCATGAAAGAAAGTGCAACTCGAACCTCCAGATTCCCGTTTCTCGCTGGAAGGGAGGGTATTGGGAGGGAGCAGTGTTTACGAGCAGGAAGTTTGCCTCCTTCAACGGAATCGAGGCGGCGATCATTCATTGTGAGCAAACGATCGTCCCACACACTAACGCGTCTTCCTTATCCTTGCATATGCGAGGGAGCGTGTTTGATACTCGGTAATTTGACAATCGTGAGTCTTTGGGGTCAGCGGGTGAATGGGATTCACAGTGTGTTTTCACACTCCACTTTCTACAGTTCTCCGTGATTTTCCTCTCGAAATTTTCAAAGTACAAGTCCGAATTTCAATCTTGAGCATTGTGTTCCCCTTTCAGTTATAGGATCTCCCATATTCAAGGTTGTTACCTAAGAGAAATCTTCGAGTCCAACTTCACTCCAAGGAAACGAGTTCAACCGCATCGATTTGCGCCCCTCTCAACTGTGCCGAGGTGGTAGGAGACATAGTACAGAATGCACAAATATCTCCCATCGTGGCTTTTTTGCCGCGAAAACCGGAATAAACGAGTTCTGGGGCCAGCTCATCTGTGTCTCTATCACATTCAGGGGATCAAGAAGACCTGGAAGTTGAGCGACTTGTCACACATATCATCACATTGCACACTGAACTATCTTCTCTGCCAGATCTCAGACCATGTGATGAGATCAACAAGTTATTCCAGGAACTGGTGGTCTTATGTACGCGTACCGTGGGTGAGACGGTCGCTAGTAAGGTGCGTTAGCAATTTCCAGTGCAGAATGACTAAAATGTTGATGCAGAAGCAGGTCATAAACAACCCAAGGATCATCTCAATCCTACCTGCATTGCGTCACATCTGTGCAGCCGCCGAATGCCACCTCGAGTCACACTGGGCTTCTATCATCTCAAGTCCAGACTCCTTCGCCGAAAACGAAGACTCAGGTTTGGGTCCTTCTCCATGCTTGTTGAACGCCCAGCTGACCACGCAGTTTACGACCGGCTGGTTAAATTCCCATACTTCAATAACTACGTTGATCTCACTCGTCTTGAACTAGGAGCCATTTCCGCTGTGGACACCACTCCGATCCGCAAAATCGTTTTCATCGGATCAGGACCACTGCCAATGACCTCTCTCCAACTTACATACATCCTCTCCCCGGATATCGAAATCTTAAACATCGATCACGATCCCTTGGCAATTTCTCAATCTTTGACATTATGTGAAAGGCTAGGGATAAAAGGAAAGGGGATGGAGTTCCTGTGTTCAGATGCGGGTGCTTGTGACTTTGACAGGCTTTGACGTTGTGTACCTTGCCGCACTGGTAGGAAGTACCCAACATGAGAAGGAGGCATTACTTATTGATATTGTGGCGAAAATGAGAAAGGGTGCAATCTTGGTGGTGAGGAGTGCGCATGGGCTGAGAAGGGTGCTATATGCCGTTCGTTCAAACCTTTTTGTTAGCTTTGAGAGGGCATACTGACTTGGAGTAGGAGTTTGACCCCACAACTGAGGCTGTGAAACGGTGTTTGGACGTGCAGGCTGTGGTGCATCCTTATAATCATGTGGTTAACTCGTTGATTGTGGGGAAGGTGAGGAATTAAGGGGAGGATCCCGGAAGATTACAACAGTGAAATGAAGTCGTTTCATTAACCCTGGGTTGAAAAATTCAGCTTCAAGCGCGTGACAATAAGACGAGAGAGTTCACGAGAATGGGATTATAAACGTATAAAAGGGCTGGGAGAGCAAACTTGAAGCACAAGATGAGATTTTATCAGCCATTCTTAAACAAATATAGGTGGTTAAGTCTTAAGATGAGATGTGAAAAACAGAGAAGCAGGTAAGTGAAGTCATTATCAGTGTTCATTCAGGCGATTTCTCAGACAGATGGCAACTAAATAGCAACGAACAACAATTTTGCTCGTGGAAACATGATTCTTTTCTCAAATGCAAAAGTACACCTTCAAACTCGGCTCAGATTGGTTGTCATACTTATGGCCTAGGGAAAAAGTGCCTTGCGGTCCTTGACCACTCATAGCCATAGCTAAATTCCGGAATCTCTCGACCTGTAACATCAAGTCATCTAGACCACGCATCCGCCAGTCATAGTTAAGATGTAAGAAAGATACAAGGGAATAAACTCAGCAGTCGCCCATGAGTTTCTGTTGGGAATCGGGATGTATCCAACGCTGCTCCTATCCCCGCCTCCTTCTATTTTCTCTTCGGTACCAACACGCGATGAAGATCAAGCCCACGACACACAAAGCATATCAAAACATCATCGCGTCAGCAGACATATACCGAGGAGCGTCCTTCGACCTGAATGTCTACTGCCCAATAATATTTCCGGCACAATATCCAATTCACACCATAGAGGAATAGGGCATATTTGTGTGGGTCTGTGAAGCCTTCGCGGAACCTGTACAATCTGAAATGCTTATTTCTGATACCTTTCTTGTTGTCTTTTACTCATTCGATAATGAGCAGTCAGCATCGCTTGTCACTCAGCGGCTGTTTAAGCTGGTTGACGCGAATGACGAGGAAGACGATACTGATGAGGGTCTAAAAGGATCAACTTTGAGTTGAGGCAATTGGGCTGAAGTCTCTCGATGTGTTCAAGTTGTCTTGCGTGAAACGCAAAAGGTAGACGATGGTTGCCAGTGGAGCTGATCTGGGATAAGGGGAAGCTGACGAGCCGCCGACAGAAGTCCCGTTATTAGAGCATTTTTAAGCTATTTTCAGGCCTAACGACCCCGCCATTAGTGTTAGAATATCTCCAATTTTTAGAATTACTTCATAGTTTCAAGACGATAACAAATAATTAGAACCTGAAATTTGGGAATTAGAGGCTTTAAAAGGCATAAGGAGTTTCTATAAGAAAGCTTTTGGGAGTTTACAGTATTCGAAAATTTATCTTGCTGTGAAATACGCTAAAAACAAAGACTTTCTATTGGCAGGCTTGTAAGCGAGCTCCCTAGTTCCTCGGTAATTCACTGGCTCCCTTGTTGCCTATTTGGGTTTTATTTGTAATAAACCACGTATGAACTATGAAGCATTTCTCTTACTATGAAGCGTACCATCGATTAAACCGAACAGGTGGACGCGTGTTGCTTAGCTCGATTGAACAGGCAGAGAACTAAAATCTGACACGGGCCGCCTTGGCAAACCGGAGCTTTATGCATAATTCCACCGCATCTTCTTACAAATCACCCTACGTCATTGTGGCGGACGTTCAAGGACTTGGGAACCGCATAGTCGGCCAGCAATGATGTGCATATGTTTATGCCTCAGAACCTCCTAATTCTTGCCTGCGGAGTTTGTGGCTGCTTAATAATCAACCAACCTCGATTCGGCCATGGTCGGCGGTGTCTTTTTCTGGCCAATGACTCTCTCTGCTAGTAAAAGACAGTGGCCAGTTACTTGCCGTCCGCTCTATCTGTCTACCGTGTCTCGCGGTAGACATAAAAAGCGGCGCTAAATTCTCAATACCCGAAGTCAAGGTTCGACATTCAGAAAAGCCTCTGACGAATATTCCCTCGACTTGCTGTAGAATTAAAGACTCCTACATAGACTATCTCGGGAATCTGAGGATACTATTGGTGCCCGTCTAAGTCCAGCCACATGTACGACTTCAACTACGGACACTGATAATCGGCTTGATTTTATGTTCACCGCGAGCGTGTCATCATTAAGCGTTTCTTGGCTGCACTAGGGTCATTTTGAAAATATGGACCGCAATACAAATCGCGCTTCGAAAAGGATATCGACGCCTCCTTGGACGGGACCCAGCGATGCTGAGACTCCGATTCCAAGGTTTTTTCTTGACTTTTAAAGACTATAAGATCACTCTGTTATAAGTCGTTCCCTCAAACTTGTAGTTTTCGTTTGATCCAGATATACCACACACAGTTCCGCATTCTCAAGGAGTTCCACGATTTCACGATGGGTTTCATGTTATTCTTACTCACTTTGGGAATCCTCTTCAACTCTGCCAGAGCTCACGTTGCATTCGAGCGTGGTATCAAATCCTGCACAAACATCAAACCATCACACGTCCCTGGCGCTGAAATCATCTCAATTGAAAGCGAAGAAAAACACAACTTCACCGTCTTCGCTAGCTCACCATTTCTTCTTCAAGATATCTCCAACCTTAGCGTTTGTGAAGTGAACGTCACTCTCACCCGTACCAACGCAGTTGATAAAGTTCTTCTTCAGATATGGCTTCCGTTGAATAACTGGAACGGACGATTCATGGCAGTGGGAGGAAGTGGATGGGCAGCTGGCCTTGGTGACCTCTCGCTTGCACCGGTAGTTGCACAGGGGTTTGCAGCAGCCTCCACAAATGCTGGTCTTTCAGGAGATCCCGTCAACCCAGGCCTTTGGGCACTAAAGGATAACGGGAAAGTCAACTGGGATCTGTTGACGAATTTTGGGTCGCGTTCAGTGCATGACTTAGCCATTGTTGGGAAAGCTACTACCGCGAAGTATTATGGAGTAGCGGCGAAATACTCCTACTGGAATGGTTGTTCAACCGGGGGTCGGCAAGGGCTTGTGGCTGCCCAAAAGTACCCCAATGATTTTGATGGTATCTTAGCTGGCTCGCCTGCTATCAACTGGGTAGAATATGTTGTCGCAGAACACTGGCCTCAGGTTGTCATGAATGAAGCGAGGGCTTTCCCTTCCCCGTGCGAGCTGGATGGTGTTGTGCAATCTGCGGTTGCTGCATGCGATGAGCTTGACGGAGTCAAGGACAACGTCGTCACAAATCTCGCCCAATGCAAATTCGATCCTTTTAAAGCAGTTGGATCGAAAGTTCAATGTGATGGGAAGGATGTTACTATCACACAATCGGTTGCCTCGATCGTCAGCAAAATTTGGGATGGTCCGAAAACAACTACTGGGGCTCATCTCTGGTACGGCCTGCCAGTTGGTGCTCTGATGGATTACCTCGCAAACTCGACATTTGTCAACGGTACTCGTGTTGGCAATCCTTTCTTTGTTAGTGACACCTGGATCCGATATTTCCTCGAGGCAAACCCAAATTTCGACTCCTCGAGTGTGAACTCAGCAGAGTTGTCAGTACTGTTTTCCGAATCATCAAGACGATACGCCGAGGCGATCGATTCCGCTTGCCCTGATCTTTCCGGACTTCGAAAGTCGGACGGGAAACTTCTTGTGTGGCACGGGGAAGCAGATCCCATAATCTTCCCGCAAGGCACGATCAAATATCGCCAAAATGTGGAAAGGGCATTGGGGGGAGCCGCCAAAGTGGATAATTTTTTCCGTCTCTTTCTTGCTCCTGGGGTTGATCACTGCGGGCAGGGTCTAACTCCTGGGGCCATTCCTTCTGATCCATTGGGGGCATTGGTGTCTTGGGTAGAAAAGGGAATTGCTCCGGATATGCTGACTGCAGAAACATCTCCGAATGCTCCAGCACACTTCACTCGGAAGATCTGCCGATATCCTTTAGTGTCCAAATATCGCGGCTATGGAGATCCCACCTCTTTGGCAAGTTACAATTGTGTTGAAGGTTATTGAGAAGCGGTGTTGCTGTGGAAACGATTGATTTAATAGAAGGGAGTAGCCTTAGTGAAATGTCAAATAATGTAACTTTGAGAAAGATTCAATGGAGTCGGGAATTTCTATGAAATGCCAAGTTGTAAGGGGCTTGGAAAATGCCGTGGTCCAATGACATTGGACCCTCTCCCCTGAAAAGTATACTTGTATATGTCTAAAATGAACGGGTATTAATTCCAAGAATTTCACAAGTGCCGTTCAAGCTCGGAAGTGAAGAGACATTTCCTAGGCAGGCTGTGTATGAACCTCTGTGATTACTCTAAATTACATCCTCGCACTCCTTGGAACATGTGGACTGCATTGAGTGGAAACGCCATCATGCCCTCTTGATAATGCACTTCCCTGCAGCCCCGACAGAAAAAAGGTGGTTTGCTCCCAAAAACCTGACCAATTTCAATGATAGATTTAAGCCGAATAGTTGTAGTTAGAGGAAGAGCCATTTCGGGGAAAGCCAAGGCTAAACAAACAACAACTGCGTAGAAATGAGCCAGTGTGGCAAGTACAACTGTGTCCTTTTCACTGATTGCAAAATATGATATCGTATACTTGTCCATCCATGCGGCAAATGGATGCACCAAACGGAATTGCTTCTCGATAGGCCAGTCAGATGAACGTTCATGAACAATCCGACAAGTATCCCGGAGGTGCCTAACCAGTGCCGAGAGATCGGGGGTATCCTTGGAACAAGATGAGAGCATATTAAGTGATCCAATGGCTTGAGCAACGAGTGATTTCAAATTGGGAATTTCGCCGTGGCCATCGAATGTCATGGTCGAGCCTCTGACACCTGGCATGCGTTTCTGTGGATTTACACAGCCTGCATGGTCTAAATAGTTGGAAAATACGGATCCTGTAATCCAGGGTCGCATTTCACAGATCACCTAGTGGAACACTAAGCCGTGGATCATCTTTTGGAGCAACTTTGATCTTACTGCGGAAGTACCTTCCATAATCGCTTTCCAAGACCGCCTGAAATGAAACTTTGTTAGCCATACGACTTGCCACCAGGTGCTCCGAATGGACTAACCAATCATGCTCCTGGTTTGATAAGCAAAGCGATGCACATAAAATTGCATCCGCATTGTCTTTCGTAAACGAAGTGATGGCTGAATTCAGCCCTTGCAATGCAAGGGTCCGGTACCTCGTAGCGTCTTCGAACGCTGAGGATATCTTAGTCACTAGGGCCAGGCGCCCGGCGGAGTGACCCATTACCGCGTATGCAACAAAATCGAATCGAATGGCAAGTTGAAAGAAGCTGGAGATGCATGGATTAATGCCGGTGTAAGCTTTGGAATGCAACGCAGAAGCTCGAACGCACATTGTAATTTCACTCCACCACAGACAAAACTGTCTAGTTTTGCTTAGCTCGAGCATAGACGCCATGAGAGCCAAATGATGCATGTGCCGTAATTTGCCCAAGGATAGATTGTGCCAGCTCGGGGTCATTGGCAATTCTAAAAACGGAAATGGCGGCTGGCTAGAGTCCCTCCATTTCTCAATAGAACGATTAGTAGCACTGGGCTAGGTGAAACCCGGAAAGGATGTACTGCCTTCTACGGAATCGGTGACAGGATAACGGCAGCGTCGCCGAGTTTGTGAACAGTTGCGGCTACTCATGTTAGTACCACAGCTCTTCCCACCGCATCCCCAAATTCAGGGGTACATACCAATGGGGCCGAAACTCGTCGCACTTGATTCTACGGGCCCGGCATGTATTGCAGCCATTTTTTGATTTGGTATGGCTCCGTCGTATAATCGGGTTGATGGTTGACATCCTTCCCAATGAGCAACTTTGAGTTCTCACGCATATGAAGATCTCAGTGTATGTTTGATCTTTTTTAAGAGGGAGAGACGGCGAAACGGAGGTTGAGATTGAGTGGATGACAGTGCATACATTCCTGGCATCAGCTGGATATTCAATTGGCCCAAGCAGTTTTCTTGGTTCCATCATTTGTAATAGACGAATGAAGCTGCGCAATCCAAGCCACTGGGTTCTTTCGTGTCAGATTTTAGCACAGAGGCAAAATGCTTGCTACCTAGGCTCCGCCCGTCCCTAAGAAACTCCGCAGGTCGTTGATCCGCAGCACCATTCTTTTCTGCATGGTGGTTTGTGGCAATTCTTCGTCTATTAACTTTTACTGTCAGCAGGTTTTTTTTCCAGAACCCCTCTTTACCCATACCTACATACAGGGGTGACTCTCGCTTAGAGATTCAGGGGCAACGCCGAAATCAATGGCCTAAACGAAATTTTCAACAACTATCAGGTTACCCGAATCTTCTTGCGTCCAAGTTCGCAGACAAACCCATGACCTCACGTTTAAGCACTCTGCTTGAGAAAAGCTGCCACCACAGCTGTCTGAAAAATATCATGAACCGACCCTAATTTGCTGCATGCGTAACAATGGAGGTCAATCCACCACCCGTACTTTTGGATACCAAATTCTTGAAGTTTATACTGCTGATCCATTACACAAATAACTTCGAGCGACCTTGGTAAATGGTGCCGTTACCCTGGCAATCTACGGAGCAGAGAGTTCGCGGCCGCCCCATTACGAACCTCCACCAGCCTTGACAGTAGAGATTGATGTTGCTGGAGTTGTGGACGATTTGATAGAGTCCCATACGGGACTGGGTGATACGTTAGCACTAACTTGGAAAACAGAATATCGGGAAGCTCTACATGAGCGCTGGTTGACGGACACCACTTGAAATCGGGTTCGGTGGATTGAAGGTTGTCAGTCCATGGATCCGGCGGATACGCTGTGGTGCCATTCCCCTGCAAATGTGAAGTTTCACCTTCCATGAGACCAATGAAAACGCTCTTGACATTGTTGATATTGACCTGATAGAAAACGTGGTGCTCTGTCCCAAATTAGAATTACATAGTCAGCCTTTGAAAAAGTAAACAAACATACCAGAACCCATTCCCAGCATCCAAGTACCTTTCTGAGACTCAATGAGAAACCCAGAAGCGGGACTTGCAAGTCCAGTTGCACCGCCATCTACCTCAAGATCAGCACTCCAGGCCCAAGTGTGTTCCAAATACGAAGACAAAGTTGTGGTGAAATGTGCGGTGGTATGCCCAGCGACACAACTCTTGGCATCTCTACGGTTGGCCTCAACCTTCGATCCTTTGGCTCCTGCAATGCGAAAGCTGCAGAACCGGAAACCAACGCCTCCTGGCTTGATGTCTTCCACGTTAGCCTCAAAAAAGATAATGCCGGGAAGTATGCCGGCGATGGTAAACGTGAAGTCCTGCATCTGTGCCACACCGACATCCCTGCATTGCCAACCTTGATCACAGGCCTTGGGATTTTGGCAACCTTAAATTTAGCGCATGAAGCCGAAAGCCGAGTGAGTGCTTCCTCCACGGGCCCGGGGCCTGCTTCCTACAGGAACCGTGATGGTGTCAGTTAAGATATAGAAGCCATAGAGAAATAAACGACCTCCTTGCCGGCAGCGTCATTGAGAACAACTTGAATGCTAGCCGTATCATCAGTCGATCCATCTCCAGCAATAAGATGAGCCGCCACACTTTTCGCATTCACAATCTGGGTCACATCGTAATCCGAATACGTTGGTTGAGCAACAGTGTAGTAGTGACCCGTGCTAATGACGAGTACATCAGGACGAGAAGCTGCCACCTCGGTTCCGGAGAGGCGAGTTGAGGTAAATGTGTCCACGTTGTAAGAATTCCCTCGAATCCGTGCTGACCCTGGCTCAACAGAGCCCGTGAGAGCTGCTGTTCCAGCAACCTTGATGGTATGTTCGTCAGGTGTCAGCAATCATGCAAACTATAGACAGCAAAGTATTTTATCCAGAGAACAAAGAAATCAGAACATACCGCACCCACAGATGAATCAACAATGACATTTTCCAAACCATGGGGCTCTGAACAGTGGTGGTGGCAGGCGCGTTTACCGAAGTAGTTGTGTTTGAAGCGGAGGAGTCTATTAAGTTCAGAATACCGCTACCACTACTCGTAATCTCGATGCCAATTGTGCAGCCCTCGAATTGCAAGCCTTGGAATGTTTCATGTAAGATTACTATGCTTGTGACTTTAACTCTAGTTGCCACATCTTTACTAAGATTAGTCTTTGTTACTTAGTGATGCTAAGTTCGATTTTCCTCAAATAGAAGATCCAGGTTTGAAAGACATATTATTTAATTGTACTTGCGTGACACTCAATGCGATACTTATCTTACCGCCTACAAACTGCAAATCATTGTAAAGGAGCTGAGTACATTGGCCAGGCGTAGTAAGACCAACGTGCCCCGTAGCTCCAGGCATATTAAACATAACTTTCGCTAGTTGTTTTGCCCGACTCACGCACCACTCGAGGATAGTAATTCTCTTCGCAGAGAGAACGGTGGTTGTATCGAGAACAAGATTCTTGATCCAGTGATAGAAAGCAACGAGTCCGGTGTACCGAGTATCATGTCCAACGAGAAGATAGGTGTCTGTGAAAGTAGCAGACACTTTAATAGTTGGACGGCTCGTTGGATCACCAACTAGTATAGTACTAACACGGTTGGATAAGGTGCTTCTCCATCGAATGTGTTCCCGTAGGGAAGTAAACCACTGCGGGCTGCACGGCGATGCCAAAGGCAGTTCCGGTGGCTCATGTGCCGCTGCTGTCGCCCGCGTCAATGGCTTTCTGGACGGCTGCCATATCGTTGGTTGCTCCGTCGCCCATGGCTCCATAGTCCTTAACATTTCTCAACACTGCCCATCTCTTGCTCTTCGAGATGGTCGGATTGATCCCATTGTGCGTGATTGTCTTGCACCAGTATCCTCTGCTGGCTGCCTGGGAATTTTGCGCTTCAATGCCTCTTGCTTGAGTGATGGTTGGCAGAGTGCTGGCAGCAAAGCCGAGCAGACGAAGGGGGCTTTTGTCGAGGAAGGTCAAGTACGGACATGCAAAGATCGTGCGCGATATGAATGGATATAAAGGACCAAAACAAATTTGACATTTGTCTCAATACTTGCCTGAGAGTCAGGCTAATGAGAATCGTGAAAGATTCAAGATTAAAAAGGTGGACGTGCAGTTGGCCCCTTCAGAGATAGATCCACGATGTAGCGAAGCCCCGGATCCCGGACAGAGGCTCGCCGTCCACATGGCTCGGCAAGGAGAAAGGCCGAGGTTCCGAACATATAGGCCACATCATTTCTTTCCCCAACGGCTGATAATCTTGAGGGACAAAGAGGAGTCCTCAATTCATCTGAACGAGGTGTGGACGGCAATAATGGTGGACGAGCCAATGGGTTGCAACAAAAGCACATTAACTGAACCCCTGAACAGGACTACAGATATCAACACAGTGAGATCACTTCTTGATGGTGGAGGGATTGCTGAACGCAATTGAATTACTACAAGAAACAAAATCATAATCTGGGGTCATCCCAAGTATACAGACGCAATCACAAAAGCACGAACCCTCGAGCAAAGTCCACCAGGCGCCACGCTAAAATGCCCGAAGCCACCATTTCCCAACCAACAGCAACCAACTCCATTGGTACCGTGTCCTATGCTACAATTTCCCATCCACTACATATTCATGATTTAACAACTCAATTTATTCTCCTTATCACTAAGAGCCATCTCCATCTCACAGGTATGGCATAAACAGCGCATCGCACTGCGCAAGGTTCATGGGATTCACTGCCTTCGCAACCAGATCAATGACTGTCTGATTCGCAGGTAACGGTCCTGCTGGGCTCTGCGCGAGACTCAAAGTCCTCTTGACAATCAATTCGCTGTTCGTCTGCACCGTCTCTCTCAGCTGACCGCCCTCCATCTGTGCCGATCGATGCGAACTTGTGAACCAGTGGATCATCTCGTCGCGCACAAAAAGGCTGAGTTGCTGCTCAAGCTCGAACTCAGGTTCGGTAAGGCAACGGGCAATGGCCATGATGGCGCAACTGTAGATACCCTCTGTGGCAAGAGGTCCCATGAGTGTTTGCAGGTTCGGCGTGAGACGGAAGGGGACAGGCTCGGGATTGTGGAAGAAGGCTTTCCCGGCTGCCATACACGACATCAATTCGGAGCCCCAGATGTTTCCGGTGCCTCGAGCGATGTTGAGCTTGTGTGGGTATCGATTGTTCATGTGCAGGATATACGTCATGAAGGTGAGTGCAGCGAACTGGTACGAGAACTGTCTTCGGAACAACCAGAATTCGGAGAACGAAGGATACGTCTTTGTGAAGTACTCCAAAGCCAGAGTGTGCGGAACCCATTTCTCTCTAATGGCATTGAATGTCTCCAATCTCGCGCTCATCGAATGCTCGGGGTGCTTCTGGGAATAAATATCAGCTCGAAATGTGAGGTTTTTGGACTGGAGTGTTACCTTTGCCTCTACCAAAGCCCTCATCTTGTCCATCGTGAACAATACAGGTTCATCCTTTGACATGCCACTCTTTCGGCAATGATCCTCAAAAACACCTTGCAATGAGATATAAGTTGGATCATCCTGAACCATGCGAATGTGGGGAGCGAGGGGGATCATCATTGGTAGGTGGAAGTTGAGATTGCGTCTACGACTCTCCTTGCGCTTGCTCAAACTGCTATTGAAATGTCGGAACAGCTGCAAGATTCGTTCTTCGCGTCGGCAGTGACGGGCTGCTGGATGCTGAAGGGCGAATGGATGAACACTGCCATCATGGCCGCGAATCTTCAATCGGCGATGGCAGACACCGATAGAGCGGACCAAGTCCACAATCGGCAGGATGCGCTCGATACGGATGAAGTCTTGGTTCTTGTCCTTGTGTTGCAAGTACTGTCCAGGCACCTCGACCTCATCAAACTTCTGGAAGCGAAATTCGCTGAGATGGTGACTGTATTGCTCAAGGTATGCGTATGTCTTGCGCCTATCAAGTTTGGACTCGAACTTGTCACGCCACTTGCGAAGCTTGTGAATGTATTCGTACATTGTTGGCTTTTTGACGACGAAGTCGGCTTCGAAAGAGGTACGGATGTGAGCTGGCAGAATGGTTTCTGCGAACCTCGTGATGTTGGCTTCGGTGGCCGCAGGTAGCTTCACGTCTTGAGCATACGAAGCGGGAGCTCGACCGACGTAGGAAAGAGCGTCGTTAAGGAGCGCAGTGATGAGACGGTACGCATCTTCATCAGGTGGACACTTGAAGTGCTTCTGGATTTGATCGACCATGGACTCCATGGAGAGCGCCAGCAAAGGAAAGGCGGTCTTGAGAGCAGCCAAGATTTCTTCCGTGTGTTCCCACGGACGTTTTGGCTGCGCAGGTTGGGGCGGTGATGACTGTTGTCCATTTGCTCCATTCGCCGCCACGTCGGTCCCATTTGCAGCTTCTTTGGTCTCTCCAGGTTCTGATTTGATAATAGAATTGGATTCAGGATTCGCAGTACCGGGTCTTGAACCAGCGGCACTGTCTGGGCGGGGAGCGGCAGGGGTATCGGAGCGCGGAAGAGTGGGCGAGCCATTGGGCTTGGGAGTGGTATTGTTTGCGGCGCCCGGGTTCTGCGCTTGAGATCGAGCTTTCAGGCGGCGCTCTCTCTCCTCCTTCTGATCTTGGGCCTTCTTGATGGCAAGCATATCTTCCCGGTTCGTTCGGAGTTGGAAATAAAGGGCTTGCGGAAATTGCTTAGCGATCTTGGCAAGAATTGTATGCGCCTTTGGAGCCTCTTTATGACCAAGTCCGGTGAGAAGCTGAGGAATAAATGTAATCCAATACCAGACAGGCGTCTCTCCCTTGTAGTCATCGAATTGAGTAGAAAGTGTGCCCTCCGCATCGTCAAGACTCAAGAGCCAGAGGATCCTAGTGAGAAGCTTTCGGGATTTGGCGTTCTTGAACAGCCCCGCAGCTTCCAGGTAACAGCTCAACGCATTCTTGGCATAGGTGTAGTTGGTGGGGTTTTCCTTGAAGAGACGATCATTGTAGTACCCCCACTCTGCCCAGGCCTTTGGAAGCTTGATGTCGAAGAACAATGCCATACCGTATGCCTCAGCTGCTTCGTCGCGCTGACCAAGCTTTTCGAGGAACATTCCCTTCAAGGTATAGAACTCGGCTTTCTGGTTTGGCCCGAAGTAATTGAGGTTGGTGTTGTTGATGACATCCAGACCATTGGTGAGCTCTGACGGGTTTTGGTAGTGGCACTTTGCCTGTTCTCTTAACTTCAAGAATGCTTCTTGGATCTCAATGTTTGGCAAGGTATAAATTCGACTCAGTTGACTGATACAGACTTCAGGGAGTTGATGTTTACGGGCAACGTGTGCGAAACGATTGATAATCCATGCAGTCTCATGATAACCTCGGTATGCGAAGGAGGCACCATTGGCATTTTGACCTTGTTGTGGAAGAAGCCCCAAGTAAGTAGTGTTGATCAGACTGAAGATGTGCTGGCGCCACGTGACCAAATCCTGCCAAGCAGTGATATCGTCCCATACATTCGGGAGACGATCACGCCAGGTACCAAGCAACAATTTGAGTTCGCCAGACTTGACATCAAGGTTCGCTGAAGTAGTCTGTGCAAGACTTTGGCAAATGACGCTGGCATCGTGAAGCTCCACAAGCTGTTGGAAATTCTGCAGAAGAGGAATGTGGGCATTTGTAATACGCTTTGGAAGCTGATGCCATTTGCGGATGGAAAGCTGGATCGCCTCGTCACAAACTTTGCTGAATTCAGCTGGACCTTCGGTTTTGTTGTGAAGCTTCAATAGAGACACAAAGGCCTGGAAGAATGTTCGTCTTGGAGTGGGGGCGTCCATGAGACCTTTGATGAGTTGATCCAATGTCTCGCGATTATCGGCAGCTGCCCACATATCAATCTGCTTCCAAGCACACTCTAGGAGGAGATCTTGGAAGTTTTCGTGCTTTGCGAATTCCGACAGAATCTCCCACTGCTGAAGCTTGGTTGCGCACAGGACCCAATGATCTTCCCACAGCATGTATTCGCCTTGCGAGAATGGAATTGCGCCCGTTCTAGCCTTGATTTGAGCAGCTTCATACATGTGTTGAGCCTTGTCCCACATCCCATTTTGCTCGTATGAGAGAGCAGCATTGGTTTCGACGTAGAGACATCTTCGTCGCCATGTTCCGTAGAACAGATCATCCTCATTCAAGCCTGCGTATAACTCAACCAGGGCGTCAAGATTGCTCTCTCGAACCACTGCACTGTCAATCTCGGGTTTTATTGCAGCATTTTCAAGCTGGACAAGGGCCGTGTACCAAGCATCGTACGTTTTGGCCTCGAACTTGAGAACATGGGGAGGAATCTTGCATTCCGGCCAAGCTCTGGCAGCACCTTCGAGGAGTGATTGGATAACATTGGGTCTTTTGTCGACCTGGCGAGAGTGGTAGTCCTTGGTAAGTAGTTGTACCATGCCTCTCTCCAAGTCACCTCTCTCGTCCTTTGGAGTCGCTGCCCAGTAAAGTGGAAACAGGGCAACCCATATCTCATGTGCTACATTTGGATCCAAGTGTTGAAGCTGTGAGAGTGGCTCAATGATGTCGCGCACCTTGACGTCTCCAAGCTCGGCAAGAAATCGTTTGTGCGAGAGCAAAAGACTGTCGTACTTGGCCTCAGCAGGTAGTGCAGGGCTTCGAGGATCGTTAGAGTATGTTTGGAAGAGAACGGACGCCGGCACGGCTCTAAAGTCCTCGTGGTGGAATTGAATCTGGCTACCCATGTCAACAGCCCCTAGAAGAAGTTGAGATGCTTGCGCAAGCCAATACGAATCGGCCAGGGTATCCCAATTTTGTGCACAGATGACATAGGCAAGTCGCGCACTTGCTGTCTTGGACTGACTCTTGTCGAAAATGGCCATGAATCTGTTTCGCATATCCACGTCCTGTGCTCGTGTTCCGATCAAGAATGCGTGCTCCATCCGGACAGTTAGCTCGGTCCGAGTGATTTTTGGGTCCTCATAAATACGGATGACAAGCTCGAGGAACTTCATTAACAAAGTTTGATCGGTCCGATTTTCAAAGGTCAACATCTTGTGTAACACAGCCGTCTTCTCCTTGAGTGTTGGCCAAGATCCTTCAGACTTGAAAACCCATGTCTCAACCATATCCAAAATCTTGAGACACAGTGGGTTGCTGAGAGACTTTTCCACTAACGTAGCAAGGACACTCAAGAATGGTCGTCTGTTGTCTCCGAGAACATCCATGCGCAGGGAGATGACATCAATAGCTTTGAGCATGAGTCCTGTCTGGATTTCCAGATCGTATGGAGGCATGATGCCGGCGGGTTCAGCTTCACCTTGTCGCACAGGAGCAATCATTCCAGATTGACCCATGAGGGCAGTGTAGTGGGCAACATGTTCCCGAGCAAGCTTCGACTGCAAAGCCTTCATAACCTGATTGATATGTTGGTCCATTTCAGACGGCTTCCGTCGAGCGAGAGTCCAGAGAATGTTGATGCCGGAGATGTAGTTGTTAGCGGAGAGAGTTTCGGTGGCAATCGTGGAGAGGAAAGTAATGATCTCGGAGGTAGAGGCCTCAGCTTCACCCTCAGCATCAGCGTCCTCCATCGGGACGTCATCTGGCACAGCATCAAGGATACGCTTGAGGAGAGGCTTCATGTTCCGACCCTCGTCAGTTGCTTCATCTACAGCATGCAAGCAGTCTTGGATTTCTGGATTGTCCGACTTGAGCGACTTTTCAAGAATGCGTTGCAAGTTAGACAGGTTCTGCAAGATCCAAGCATCGGGCTTGATGTTTACGATGATTCGCACAATCTGGAGAGTATTGATCATGTTTGTAATGAACTTCTCGTCCGGCTTATCCTTGTCCGAATGTTCACTGGCGAGAGCAGCCACGGTTCGCTCGCTTGCAAGAACAGTGTCCGTGACATTTGGGAAGAGATCAACAAAAGATTCGCCCCAGTAGTGAGGTTGCAAAAGACCGTGGAGAAGCGAAATCGCTTTCTTGCACATCTCTGTCGACGGTGTAGGTTGCATTGGTGCCTGGAGTCCTGCAAGCTCGCGTGATTTTGCAGATGGAACCGGGTATCTTTCTGTGAGGGAGGCGATGAATTCTACTAGGTATTTGATCATCTTTTGCTGGACCATGCCTGGAATCATATAATCTGGTCTATCCACCTGCCCTTGAGATGATCCGGGTTTGGATGGCGATGGGGAGGAAGTTTGCGGTTCGTTCAAGCTATCCAGCTTGCGCTTCTTGGTGTTCGGAGACTCAGAGAATGCTCGTACAGGGGAAGCATTCTTTCCCTCAACTCGCTTCTGCTCCCACTGCCAAATGAGAGTCATCAGATTGAGGACTAGCTTCTTGCTTTCATTCGAAGGATTGGGGGGCTGGGCGATCTTTCGCAGATTGATGACAATCAAGTTGATGAACTTGTCCCGTGATTCGTAGAACAAATCTGCGTGCTTTACGAGGAAATGGAAGATACTCGTCATTTGCTGCACATTCTGTCCTTCCTCAGATAATATGCGACGAGGAGCTGCAGCCCAGACTGGATTCCGATCGCCCGGCAGAGCATTACAGCGTTTGGGAAGAACAGGCGCGATGAGCTCCAAAGCTTGGGTGACAAGTGCTCGGCCCTCATTCTGATTGGTCTTGAGGAGCGAGAAGTAAACTTGCTGGACAATCTTGGCAGGTGTCTCGTAATGTGCGATGAAGTATCCAATGACAACATACGCAGCATGCTTGTTGATAACGTCCTCAAGTCGAATGTATGTCCAGCCAAATTTGATGATGTCCTTTCTCGCATCTTGCAGAATCGAGTGGTGATATTTAACCAGCATGGCCGTCAATTGCAGCACTTCCATTCGAGTGTGATCAATACCTGGCTGGGTGAGGTCATCGTTTGAATCGCCAAGGCTGACCTTCCAGATCTTGGTATGGATTGATTCGATCACTGCTTTGTCCATCAAGCGAGGGCTTCTGGATGGCGTTGGATTCTTAGCAGAGCGCATCACGTCCATGGCAATGATGGGATTGACAAGATTATGCAGCAGGAAAGTCTTTGTCTTCTGCGTTGCAGTCTTGCCTGCATAAACCTCCAAACTCCGCATAACCACAGTCTTCCAGTAATCGATGGAGTCGGAGCAGATGATGTGGTCGTAGATATGATTGAATAACGCCTGGCTGGGCTTGAAGTCCTCAGCAGTGACCGATTCAACGAGACTAAACAGAGAATCATGATCTTTGGGATGATATTGAAGGAATTTCGTGAAGATGACCATGAGCTGTTCGCCTGCTTGTTCTGCAGGAAGTCGAAGGTTTGGTGGAAGAGTGTTGGTCCGGAGGTGGAGTTCTAAGTTCTTGCCAACTAACTTGAACCAGGTCAGGATCTCCTTCTTTTCCATCCATTCCTTGGTCTTCTCGTTCTCGAATTTGCTGATCGAGTGCATGATGTTGATCGCATTGATGACAGCCGCATATCTAGTTTCTTTGTTCTCAGCGCCCATGTCTCCGCAGTTCTTGATCAGTGATTCCACATCGTTGACAACCACCTGTCGCAGAGGACCGCTGTCGGGATGTTCGAGGACTTGGGCAAGGAAACGACCATATTTTTGCTCTTCAATCTTACCAAGAAGTAAAAGCCAGACTTCCTTGGGATATCGATTGAGATACTTGTACAGTGGGGCACGGAAGGGACTGTATCTAGTTCGGCGAAGCTTCTCCTCGAGATCCAAAACCGTGTCAACAAGTCTCTCCTTGAAATGTTCCGCGGCGGGAGGAAGGAGGTGGAAGATATTGAACACCGCAGCGATGATCTTCATCTGCTCATTCTGCTCGATCAGGGTGAACGAGATCCGCTGCAAAGTGCTAGGTTCGGCCAATACTTTGATGTGGTCCAGTAGCCTGGCACCGATCTCCACCTTGAAATAAGTCGTCAAGAGCTGCAACAACCGAGCCAGGCCATCAAGACCGTGAGTGCTGAGTCGTCGCGGATCTTGTAAGTTTGCCAAAACCGGGCGCAGGCCATTCTGCAGGAGATCCTTTGGGAGCTTGGTGGTCTGTGAAAGCACAACCTTCAAGGCATTGTTCGCAGCTTCGATGGTTTGCTTCGACTCGGAGTAGAGACACTTGAAGAAGACGGAGACAATCTTGGTGCGAGTTGGATTCGCTGGGCCTTTCTGGAAATCGTCGAAACCCATCGCAGTCGTCAACATCTTGATGCATGCAACTCGAAGGGCGATAATCGATTCGTGGGTTCGATGTTCAGCTGGCTTGCCTGCGAGGGATTCATCGGGAGCGTCTGACAAGGCTAGAGACTCCATCAACAGTCGATTCAATTGATCATCGAACGCCACGAAGTCGGATTTGAGGTTCATATAGTAAGTGATGGCATCGATGAATCCAATCTGCACACCGAAGGGCAAGGCTCTCAGAGGTTTGGCGTAGATGAGCTGCAAGGATCGCTCCTTTGTAGGCTCGAGTAATTCATGGATCTCAGCACCAATCTCCTTGGAAATGATTTCAAGAGCTCGTCTGCATGCTTCCCGGACATGGCGATTCATGTGGGAAAGCTCTCCATTGAACATGAGACAAAGTTGGTACAGTCTCGACGGTCGCTGTTGCGGTTGGCCAGGCTGGGAAGCTGGCGGTGCCTGCAAGTCATTCCTGGAAGCGTTCTTGGTACAACGGCGCAAAAGAAGCTCGAGTGTATCTTGCGCTACTGTGCGAGTCTTGGCAGGCAGATCCGGCGGCATGTCCTTGATGACATACATAAGAGCTCGGGCGAAGTCATATTGTCTATCTTGAACCCAGGCATCACCCATATTGATTTCCGTGATCATGAAGTTGATGCCTAAACTTCCACCAGACTTGGAAAACCATTCTTCTTCGTAGCAGTTGTGGCAGAGGAGAGCACTCAAATGAGTGAAAAATGATAATCGGTAGATCTCTTTGTCTGACCCGAAGATGGTGGTGGTCGTGTCGTAGATCTCTCGGATCGCAGTCTGAGCTGCCTCGCGGAGAGTGATCATGTCTGATGACAAGCTCTCGACGATGGCATCGCCAAGAACCCGACTGTCAATAAATAATGGGCCTTCGCCGGTCTCGACGTTGAAAGGCAACGTTTTCTGCTTCATCTCAGCCAGCGCTCTGCCAACTTCCAGAATTGCGATATGTCTGCAGATATTGGTTAAAAAGGCCGAGGCCTCAGCAGTGAACTCGGGCAATGAAACCGCAAGTACGATGGCCTTGATAAGCTTCTTCAGCATATGATCCTGTCCGTCTTTCTTGAGCACCGATCGCTCTCGGTCGGCGCCTTCCAGCGCGGAAAGATCAACGTCACACTTTCGTGCCAGGAGATCCTGAGCTTCCAATCGTAGCAACCGGCCGAAATCCTCGGGAAGACTATCAACTCCAAGACGAAGTTTCAATTGCGTCTTGATCATATGCAGTGCCTGCTTCTTGTAATATGTATCGGACTTCTTGGCTGCGGCACCCTTTGGGATTTCCATCAGCTTTCCAATGGCAAGATCGATGCCGATTTCCGCTGGGAAAGCCCGGTCCTTCTTTGAGCCGATGAGTTTCAAATCGAAGCTCGTGACGTCGTCGGAGAACTGTTGGAATGTGAGATCAGGTGCCCCTGTCATGAACTTTCGATTTCGACCTCCAAGTTTTCCGAGAATTCTCATTGTGGTATGAGCGTGAAAGTGGCTGTACGGTGTGGGTCGGAGATGGTCAAAAAGAGCAGTCATCAATTCGTCAATGACGGGCGCCATAATCGGATCAAGGTAATCAGCGGTGAGATTGTCAACGCAAAGCTCCAAAGTTCGTAAGCCCTGGCCAACGAGATCCGAGCCTGCTCGAAGGGCTACTACAAGAGGACGCATCAAGTAGCTGAGATGCGGCAGAAGATTGCTCAATCGAGCGGGGACGGTCAGGCACAACTCGACGTACAGATCTCGATCAGCGGGCTTTCGGGCTGCCAAGAGCAAGTTGTTGAGCACCTCGAGAAGCATCTCGAGGAGTGGTAAAATCTGCTTGTAAAGATGCTCGAACTTGCCACCACCAATACTTCGGAAGAGCGATCTCAAAAGAAGGAAGTAGTTCATGGGCTCCTCTGCAGTGGTCGACAGTTCAATTGACTTGGTGACGATGTCAAGAACATGCGGTAATAGGACTTGCTCATTTTGGTTCGAGAATAGCGTAACTGCCATGAATGCAAGCTTGAAAAGCCGAAGGAGAATCGACGACTTCTTCACATCTGCGGTGCCGACCTGATCAATCCTGTCCATGAGGAATCGGAGGAGCATCCCGGCAAAACTTGGCGATGTGGCCTCGCTGGCAAGGAAGAATTGTGGTACGTGGAGAAGAGCAGTGTGCTCAAATATCATGTCATACAGCTTTGGAATCTCCTCGTGGAAGACCTCATGGAATGTCGCCGGGTCGATGCAATGGAACACGGTGGCAAAGGTCTCAAGGAGGTCTTTCTCTTCCTTGCTACTAGAGATCATGTAATGGTTGGCCATAAATTCGACCGGTGAGGAATATTGCGACTCTGTGGCCGGCTTCTCAATTTCGTAATATCTGAAGACATAAGCACCTTCCCGGAAGAGCTTAATGATGACTTGGACTTCTTCCGCCGAGAACCCATAGGACACTTCTTGCCAATGTTGGGGCGCATTGACTTGATCAATCGGAGTACCACCATTGCAAGCCTTCAGTTGGTAGAAAGTGTTTTTCAAACCATTCATGAGATTCTTGAAGAGAAACTTGTTGTCTGCCACTGGGTCTGCTCCACGATCTCGAGGATTCGAAGTCTTTATTGGCATGGCAGTGAAGATGTCAATCTCATCCCAATCCGGGGGATGGTCCTTGTCCGCAAGGTAGTTATCGGGCGAGGCATCAATCGACTGCTGTGCGTATAATTTCGACAACTTGACGGCGTTGGGATACTGCCGATTCATGGCTGCGAACTTGTCTCCGATCGCATTCAAAATCATGATGAGATAATGTCGGGCATCGGCCTTGTTGTCCATCTTGGCGATACACTCAGCCATGTTAAGAAGCAATTTCGCGCTCATCGTCTGGAAACTTGTACCGGGAAAGCTGTCCTGCAGATTCTTGGTGTAAACCTCCACGGTCTTTCGAATCTGTTGAGGCTCAAGAGCATCTCGCACATGGTGGATGAGATCTGCGAGCATACTGTATGCAAGGGGTCGCATAGTCTCGTAAACCGTCAAGCCATCTCCAATCAAAGTCCGCTCGTCGAGAAGCTCGTCAATCTTCGTCAGGAAAATCTTGCGAAAATTGAAGTTGATAATGTGTCGAATGGCCACCAAAAGTTCCTTTCTCGCTCCCGACTTCTCGCGTGGACAATCCTTCAACAAGCGAACGACGATATTGGGAAGAGTCGGCAGAAAATCGGTAAGTTGTTGCGAATATACACGAAGGAGGTATGCTAGAAAGCTCATCGTCTTGACTTGTGCCGTGATGAACTCTCCAAAAGCGGCTCGATTGCGGATATTAGGACTGACTCCAGTGAAGATCGTTCCCTTTGCTTCAGCGTCAAGATGTGCCTGCTCTTGGGGTTTGGCTTGGAGGAGGAGTACGCTCTTAATGAGGGGTATGAAGAGCTTGACATTCCCCCCCACTGTGTTTCGGTATGCCTGGAAAATTGAAACCACGATTATGGGACATTCTGCGAGCACCTTGAAGGATTGCATGCCCTTCAGCAGTGGCCGTGTCTGTTGTTGCGGATCGGCACCAAACTCGGAGACAGAGGCAACCGGCGAACCCGGCCGAGGGGAGTTCTGGTATGCTTGCGAGCTGCCCGGTGTAGATGGAACCCCTGGTGCTGGGTTGTCAAGCTGGTCTCGTACCACCGATTCCATCTGGTCGAACAGCTCTTGTATGAGGCCCAAGAAAGGCTGCACCTTGTCCTGCAGAACCTTGGTCTGATGCCGCATGATATCCATGATCGTCTTGACACACAGCGATGCATTTTCCTCATTGTCAACTTTCACCAGGTGCATCAACAAATCCACAACCTCCTCCGCATATGGTTCGAAGGCTTCCGGGGGGTTCGTAGGCAGCCGGTGCAGGATTTCGAGAACACAACTTCGTAGTTTCTGGATAAGACATCAGCATTTCCCTGTGCGTCTGAACCATAACACCAACCTGCTCTGCGGATGTGCTAATGAAAACCGGGGGCCCTTTGAGACAGGCGATGAAGATGGGCATGAGCTTCTTCAGAAATCCAGGGTAGATGTTGCCCGTAATGTAGTGCTCGAGATTATCGCGCAGCTGAGTCGCCGCTTCGACTTTGACTTTCACATCTAGATTTGAAGTCAGTGTGGGTCATCCTAGGGAGATGTGATTCCTTCGTGGAGGAGAACGCACCAGAGTCGGGGGAGCTCAACCGCTGGACGACCAGCTCAATAGTATTAGACATGGCTGCGACAATCGCTGAGGCGCAAGCCTTCACAAATAAGACTTCATTCGAAAGGAAGACGAAGGGGCCTCGGTGGAAGGAAGCTTCGGTCGCAGAGGATTGTTCGTGGGGAAGGCTTCAATATCGAGCTCCAAATTGATCGAGGAAGCTGCCGCGATTGAAGTTGAAGAAGAATTCAACCCGAAATTCGACAAAAGACCGTTAAATGCGCCCGAAAATGATTAAATCGCTACAAAGAAGGTAATGTGTTGTCGTGGGGTTGAAGGTGTTGCCGGTGTTGCTGGAAAGGTACTGCAGAACGGACCTCCTTGCATCGAGGCTCTCGCGAGTTCGCGATTTTTGACTTTGGCGGGCGATCCAAAACTACCTGACAGTTCGGCAGCACGTGACTCGGAAATAAGTAATTCCACGCCCTAGCGTAGATTTCAGCCAATCACATATCATAGTCATCAAGAGCCCCCCACATTTTCATCATTGGTCAGAATTGGTTTCTCCAGGACTTGGCTGCCTTGGCGTCGCCTGCTCAGCACATCGACGAGTCCACTTAACCAGTCTCTGCAAGTCTACGGCCTTCGAAAAGCATGGCTTTCATCAAAGACTTTCTCAAGTTTGAGATTGTACTCACGCTTCAATGTTGACTGTTCTTCATTCTCAATTTCTCTTCCCCCATGCCCTCGAGCCCGCCGTTTATCTTCTCGCAAACCAAAGGTTCGGAGAAAGCACTTGACAACCAAATGCTAATGTCACCAATCTCAATGCATTCTATTCTTAAACTAGATCATCATAGTTTTTATACTGAATGTACCACTCCGTTCCAGTTCAATCACTCGATTTCAGTAAGGAAAGCCATCCTGAAGCAGAAGGCCAAACACGAAGATAACAGAAAACACCATTATACCACCTCCTCCCAATACCTAATACAAACCGACCCGGCAATTTTCTGCCCCATCAAAATGGAGAATACATCACAACGGCACCGGGAACTCCATCGAGAAATCAAAGTCATCGAATCCCATCAACCCAAAGTCATCATCACCGGTGGTGAGGAAGTCAAGATCAAGAGCGATTCCATGGGTCCCCGTGGGTACGTTGAATTCATTCGGGACCGCGTGTGGGCGGTGTGTCTGTTTGGGAGGTAGAGAGTTGGTATTGAGGTTGAAGCCGGGGTCATTGGACCCATCTACCCACGGAATCAATCTAGGACCATAGTTCTTTTAACAACAAAAATGGGAAAGGGTACTTGCCGGGTGGAGTCAGGATCTTGGTTCGTTTATGGGGACGAGCGACGGATGGAGGTGGCGGAGGCGGGGTGAGTACTGTGCTCTCCGAAGCGGTCGACAGGGGGGAGGTGATGTCGGATGCTCTCGGGGTGGGAAATGTCGAAGAGAAAACGGCACTCGCTTTGCGTTTCATCGATTGAGGTATTGGAGCAGGATGCGGTTGTATCTGTGCAGTAACCGGTCTCCAAAGTTTATCGTTGAGCTCAGCATTAACATCGATACCTGTGGCTGTCAGTTTCACTCCATCTTACCCCTCGCGCCGAATGAACCACTCACCCTTGTGCAGCAGAATCCTCTCAAGGAGGGAATTCTTGTACCGCAGCATGAGACACTCGTCCGCGCTATCCGTCCTCTTCGCCTCCATTGCCCTCAATCTCGCGCTGTATGCTTTCACCCTCTCCTCTAGCTCTTTGATGTACTCGATCCTCCTCTCGCGGAACGCCGCTTGAGCGTCGCGATTCCGTTGCTTGCGCGCTTCTTCCGTATACATCTGCAATAAAACCATCAGACCACGGCCGACGTACTTGGGCTGGGTAATTGAAACATACAGCTTTCCTCCCACCCTTCCTCTTCGTCCCCTCGCGATTCGTCTGTGGTGATTGCACAGAAAACTCTGAGCTACCCCGCATCATGATCGAAGCCATTGCACGACCAAGACAATGTCTAACTTTTTTGAGACTTCTTTTCCTCTTAATGAGAATGAAACAGCAAAATTGAATGAACAGAAAAAAATGAAGTTACAAAAGGTGGGATGCAAAGAGCAGTGATCTGACGGAGCTTCTCGGAAGCCGCCCTCGGAGTTGATAAGGAAATTACTTATCAAATGGATTCGATTGGGTTTACGTATCGTTCATGTGAAAGTATCAGCCACTTAAATTTGTCGGCCGTTCGAGATCACCAATGAACATTTCAATGCCCCGATTTTCTGCTTGAAGCCGGTTTTATTCGTCGGAGTCGTGGGGGCAGCAACAAGGGACAACATATCCGGGCACGTGACACAATCCTTTCTGTGCACAAAGCTTCGAAAGAGACGCATTACGTGTATACGAGATGTGTGAAGAAAAAGTCCTTTAATGAAGTTTTATTGAGTAGCGCCTATGCGTTGTTTTCGAAACAGAGACTTCCCATTAAAAAATACAATGCAAACCCTCTCAGGAACCTTGTCTGCTGCCAAAGCTAATACCCATATCCCCAAGTTGGGGGCCAGACGTGTTGAAAGTAGGCATGTCTTGGGGAGCGTTCAGCTTCAACACTATCTTAATCTCACGTCTTGTTTTACCAGCCAACCTGTCTCCCATGCCCCTGACCTATGTCCTCCACGAAAAGCGCAGAGTATCCTGGGTCTGCAAAGTTCAACTTGCAAGAAACATGTCAAGGGATTCCGAAGGTCTTTTTTTCCACCTCCCCGTACTTGAACTCCCGCACAGTCGGCACGCCCCATTGCCGATATATGGAGTTAATGGAAGAGAGGAGTTGAGGGCCTGCGGTCATTACAACAGTTGTTGTTCTTGTTGTGGGTGGGGTAGCCCTTGTTGGGGTGTGGTCGGGATCCCTCCACAGGGGATCCCTCGGGTATGTCGGGCGGTGGAAGCAAGGGCCGAATCGATATGTGTAGTGATGATGGTGTCCCCGGTGGCGGTCCTCGATGACCTTGTCCGCGGTAATGGTTGGAAGGATGGAAGAACAAACGGCAGAACTCTCCTCAAGGCCCGATTCTTGCCAGACGGGCGTCGAGAACAGAAGCTTGTCAGCTTTGGTTGAAGTGAGAGTGGCACTACTGGCAGAGATTCCAGAGATTCCACTAGTAGATACAGCTGCTTGAGTAGCTTCCAGTGCCGGTGCCCTTGCAACCAGACTCATCGTCGACTTTGAAGGGCGTGGGACGATGGTAGCACCATTGGGGTACCATTTGGTGGATACAATCACCGCATGCTCGGTTATGGTTGAAAGGAAGGAAACGGTAACTATGGAACTAGGTGCCTGGACCGGTGCTTGCGCCCTGGCAGCAAGCTCGTGCTCCTTACTTGAAGAGAGGGCGGCGGCACTGGCAAAGGAAACACTCGCCGAGGATATGGTATTTAGAGACGAGTGATAACCCCGTATCGTTTGCATGTAACTGTGGTAAGCATCTATGGCACTGGCAGATGCGGCAGCATGATGACTCTCACGGCTGGCAGAGAAAGTACTCTCAGAGGCGGCAGCGGCACGTCGAGCGGAGGCTTCCGACGCTTTCGCTGAGTGCATCGCATTCCAGTAATCTTTCTCGCGTTGCAAACCAGCGACAGTGGCGGCACTCGCATATGCAGCGTAGGCCGCTGGATCTGGGGGGCCATGGTTTGAAGGTGCAGAGATTCTTCTTTTGGTCAAGGTCAATGCCGGAAGCTTAGTCGGCTTGGGGGGAGATGGAAAGGCAGTCTTGGAGGTAGAGGTCGCCTCACGCTTCGTCAGGGTGGGAGCACTGGCAGCGGAAGCAGAGGGCGTCTTGGTACTGGCCGATGTTTTAGCACTCGCCGTTGCTAGTGATGCTGTTGTGGCTAGGAGACTCTTCGGTTGGTATATACTCGAAAGCAGGTCTTGTAGCGGGTCACCCGACTTGTTTGATATACCAGTCCCGGATTTAAGGGTTGACGATGAAATTGTGAAAGGCGCTGTTGTAGACGACGGTGTTGTCGAGCAGGTGGTTTGCTTTGAATTCATTGGCATGCAGGTACGCTTATTAACCTGGAAGACAGGAGCCTTTTCGAGGCGGCCCTTTGGAATAGCAAGTCGGCTACCGTGGCCGCATACATCGAAGAGGAAGTCCCTGAGAACCTTTTCTTGGCCTGGGCATGCCTTCATCAATGGCCATTCGTCGGGTTTGGTATCACTAGTATTGTCCGTGCAAGCAACGAGGAGCTGGGACTCGTCAAGCTCTACCATTTCGTTGTGGAAAGGGTTGGGCAGCTTGGATTGGTCGGGCTCTGTGTGTGGCGGGGTTGAGCAGCTGAAGCAATAGCCACTGGGGAGGAGGACGAGGTCGAGCGGCTTAACTTCAAGGGTTTGGTGGAAATGTAGACCGACATTTCGCATTGCAGAGAAGGGTACTCCAATGCGGCTGCGGAGATTGTGCATAAGCTGCTGGATTTGATGGAAGTTTCGAAGATCGGCGCTGAAATCTCGGGGGACGATGGCATCGACCGGAACACCTTGTGCGGTCGGAAAACCCGCGAGGGAAAGTGCAGCAGCACTTCCCACGAGAGAGGAGAGCTTCATACCGTCTTCTGGAATGATATACAGTTAACAATTGACGAAGGTGAAGATACTGGTTGCGAATGATGATGGTTGAGAAGACAGAGAAGACTTGAAGACGAGAAAGAAGAGGAGCTGGGAAGTTGGGCAAATGCCAACAGCGCGTCCTACCTACCTACCTATCTCAAGGTGACAGATGTATAGGGAGGCAAGAGCCATTGTGGTAGTCAACAACGATGGAGAAACACGTCGGGAAGGGGCCATTGAGAGGAAACCATAGAGGAGACGCATTTATGCTAGGCGGCCGAGCAACAGAAACCACTCGGAATCGCTGGATGAAGCATGCAGAAGTGGATTTAATGAGCAGAATCTTCATGAAAACTGATCCAAACCCTTTTCTGGACGTTGAAATTAAGTAGATTAGACCAAGAAATTGCGACGAAAATAGAAGCCGCTCGGCAATCTGAACATATCCCGCCGATTAGTTGGTACGGAAGGGGGTTATACTCCGTAAGAAATCACCGCCACCCCCCTGGTTCTGCCATCGCTAGATAAGGGAATTTATGGGGCAAACCCGTAAAAATTCAATGCATAATTGGCCAAAAAGTTCACCGCCTAACAAGGGGGGTAGCGGTGATTTCTTACAACCCCCTTCCGTCCTTTTCCAGTAGTTGCCTTGTTTCCCAGGTTTCAAGGTCTTATCCTCTTATCGGGATTGTTTACTTCAAAGAGGCAACAAGTGCAGGAGGTAATGATGGCATAAGATCGCGCTGCTCCCCTTGCTTGGGAGCGAGATTCGCCACCCTCAGAATCCGATTCTATATATTACCAAGATGGGCGATCACACAGCGTTCTTCTACGGTTTGTATTGCCCACTCGTGTGGCGAGCACAGCTAACTTCATTTGCAGGCACATTGGTATATCAACTCACTCTGCAGCCTTCTCCAGATGCTAACAGCCGCTGCAGATGGCCCCAGAAGTTCTTCACCGTGTCTGCTATGGCCCTGGCGCTGTGGGAAAAGACCCTGCGAAGACATTTCTCGCATCCCAACTCTCAGTCCAACCCGCGATTCTGCGCGACTACTGCCGACACCGAGTCCGCGGATGCGACTACCCAGGCATCGTCCCTGAGACCGGGCATACAGTGCGAGGGACATTCGTGACTGGGTTGACGGACGGAGATATCTTCCGCCTAGATGCATTTGAGGGGAACGAATACGAGCGGATCAAGGTCAAGGTCGAGCTGGTTGAAGAAAGCGGGAGGTTTGTGGAGGCTTCGACGTATATGTATACTGCAGGGGAGGAATGCCTCGAGAAGAAGGAGTGGAGTTATGAGGAGTTTCGGCGGGACAAGATACATCGATGGGCTGATGACAGCAATGAATATCAACGTATGTGGTTTTCTAATGGCACCCTCATGGCAGATGCTCATCCGAAGTAGAGGTTGATGACGCAGTCGAAGGCGATCCAACTGGAGGCCGGCATATCAAGACAGACATACATGCGAGCACCTACACAAAGCTCGCCGAGGACAAGAAGGTTCTTAATGCCACAGTTTAGACATTGGTCTCCCAGCACATCGGTTTACTGCAGATTTTGGAATAGATCACTCGATTCGGCATAACGGGGTTACATTTTCTAGGGAGATCATAGACTATATTCGGTGGGGGTTGTTAGGACTCGACCAGGGTAATAATCGGCGACTCCGTTCCCAACAGAATGCATTCAGACAAGGCCCTCGTGAAAATTCCGTTCGCTGGAGGTTTTTCTGCACGCTGGGTCGGGGACTCTAAATGACCGCCAACACCGTCATTCATGTTCGGCAGCTCCTTGATCATAAGGTTGTAGTGCGTCGAACTTCGTGAGAGAATCATGCCAGAAAAATGATTGACCGACAATGAAAGTTATTGTGACATTTCTTGAACTGGAAGGCCGGCCGGTTAGTCAGGCCTGGCTGGCAGATTTGGATTGGTCTGCCGCTTGGCTTTCCATCTCCAATCAGCTGAGGCTGAGTTGTTCTCCCACCTCGAAGCTGAGCAAGAGGCTCACGGACTTCACAAATATCACGTAAACCTATTTTCAGTCCCCAGCTGGACCAGGTCCCCATTTCTTTCGGAGAAAGCCTAGCCTACAAGTATGCCTAAGCTATGAGCGTCGGAGTAAGGATGAACGTTGCCACTTGGTGACTGGGACAAAGAGCATGGAAGAAGTCATCTCTTCATGCGAACCCCACAAAAATCTGGATATTTTCAGAGAGGGGTCTGTGGCTGAGTGGCACAAGTGTGATCTCGCGAGGTGGGGTGGGCATGTGCGTGCGAGGAAGATATTTCATGGGCAGGCGAGTTGCGGTGAAGGAGGAGGAAGATATCACATTGTGCCCCCTTTCCTCTAGCCGAAGGACAATGTGACAATAGCCGCTCGCTGGCGAGAGGCTCAGCGAGTCAGAAACCTGTCATCGCCATTCTCGTGATCACGCTGTTCGACCTGCAAGGCTGACAGGGAACGATTCGAGAAGGGAGGGAGGCTTCCTCCACCCCTTGCCTATTCGATCGCCTCGAGACGCTCTCGGTTTCAGCTCAGGGCACAACTGGTGGATCTTTCAGCCACCCAACCGTCAGGGATGCGATGAAGATCGGCCTGGAAACAAACCTTCAGATGGCCACTCGCTACTGTACTTGGTATGCCCGAAACAAAGTGTTGGGCCCACGAATGGGGATCGAGACTGCCCTTGGGGTGGGCAATTCAGGGGCGATGCGCCGCTGGGACGCGGAGCCTTCTCACTGGCTACATCCCCTGCCAAGGCGGCGGCCACGCACACGCAGGCCCCTTACTTGCCTGGCTGCGAGACCATCATAAGCGAAGTAGGAGTTATGCATGATGATAGGCCACGACCACTTCACCCGAACGCTCCATGTCCTTCCCCTGAATGCTGTCGTGCCTCCACAAGTTCACAATTAGGTACGGGAGAAATCCTCCCGCAGCAGCCTCTCAGTTTGCTCCTGAGTCTACTCCGTAGTGTCAGTCAGGGCAAAGCTATGATTCATTCGCCAAAAGTTTCGCCATCCCTCGCAACAAACGCTCTCAAGCCTATCGCTGCCCCTGCACCGTCCGTACGTCAGTGCACCCCTCCTCCAACGTCCCTCCTTGCACCCAATCGATCACCTAAGCTTCAGAATTCCTCGACCTCGGCCATTTGAGTCGTTCAACTGGTCAGGTCCCTCTGTTAGGCTTTTGGACGATACGGGGAGAGCTGGGCACGCTGAGGCGTTGTGGAGCATCAGCGTGCGCGTTTGACAAGCTCAGCCCGCCTGCCTTGGCTCCAGCTCATATGGTCCAATCATGCATTTATTTCCGGATTCCCTGCAGCAAATCCTCGAAAATCTGCGCGGATCTAAACTGGGGAAGCGTATGCAGGGGGTCAATGTGGCTGACCCGTTGACATTCCTGCGAGTGCCCACGGACGGGGTAAATATAAGATGGCTTGGCCTGCCCCTCGTGCACCGTTCTCGACGTTATCCTTTGTGGCTTCATTTCCAGTATCCTCATTCTTCTTGGGCTAGTCCTTTGTTATCCTATTTTCAATTGTATCCAGCTGCCTGTGGCACGCACACTTCACATTCCTTTCAGGTTCGAAATTTCGAAGAAATTCCTTCAGCCGAACTGTTTGCCCTTCGATCCAAAAATCGTACGTGGATTTAAATTTCTTTGTCGGTATGAATACTCTCGCTCAATCGCGAACAATAGTATTGTGTCAATATCTTTGTTTGCAACTGTCTTTCAAATATGTTTTGACATTGTTCTTGTGAATCTCGACTCCCGAGTCTGGAGCAATGCTATAAATTTCCATTCAAAGAACGGAAATCTATAGAACAATCATTTAGAAAAACGCCCCGAAGACTACAAATACTTCGGTCATCACGACTAACAACTTCTTTCCAGCATCGTTCCTTTCCACAACCACTCCAGAACAAAACACTCGATCTCTCAAGCCAATACTCATTCGAGCAACCAATCCAAAACACAAAGAGATTTCTTCGTCAGGCACGACTACTCTCTACAATCCAATCAAGATGATGTTCACATCAACCACACTCACAGTCCTCGGACTCGCAACTCTGGGCGCCGCCCACATGAAGATGACTTCTCCAGTCCCCTTCGGAAAATCTAGCCTCGACAATGGACCTCTCTTAGGAGACGGTAGTGATTTCCCATGCAAGCAGCGCACTGGCGTCTACGCGTTAGAGGGAGCAAGCAATACCATGGCTCTTGGATCAAAACAAACCGTATCCTTCATGGGAAGCGCGGTGCATGGTGGAGGCTCCTGTCAATTCTCCGTTACGTACGACGCGGCCCCAACCAAGAACAGCGTATGGAAAGTCATCCACTCCGTCGAGGGCGGTTGCCCGAGAAAAGGCGTAGCGGGCAATGACAATGGAGGCGCCACTGAGGTAGATCCCGATACCTACTCCTTCACTGTCCCTACCACCCTCCCGACTGGCACTGCCACTTTCGCCTGGACCTGGTTCAACAAAGTCGGCAACCGCGAAATGTACATGAACTGTGCTCCAGTCTCCCTCACTGCCGCCGCCGGCAAGCGCAGCGCCGAAGACGAAGAGCTCATGGCACGCAACATCACCCAGCTCATGGAACGCGACCAAACTGCATTCAATGCACTCCCAGATATGTTTGTTGCCAACATCGGCCCTGGCTGTACTGGTACCTCAAAATGCGCCCAATGCGGCACCTTGGAGACTTTTGATGTCGTCTTCCCAAAGCCTGGTGACTCTGTTGATCTGTTTGGCGGATCGACCAGTACAGCAACGGCAACACCAGTCGGAACAGCCTGCGGTGCCAATTATCTGGGGGGAGCCGTGGCCGCCACGGGAGCATCAGCAGCAACAGGAGGGGCATCCCCTGCTGCCCCTGCGACCCCGGCTTCACCCGCGCCAGTTGCCACCAACACGGCCCCCCCAGGAGGCGTTTTCGCCACGATCGCCACCTCATCAGCCGCAACTCTGGCAACCTCTGCGTCAAGCCCTGCTGCATCCCCAGTTGCTCCAGCTGCCTCAACCCCAGCTGCATCAGCTCCCGCTCCAGCAAGCACCGGAACAACTGGCTCAGGATCAGCGATAGCGGCTGGCACTGCCTGCACAACCGAAGGAATGTGGAATTGCATCAGCGGAACTTCCTTCCAGCAATGCGCAAGCGGAGCATGGTCTGCAGTTCAGTCGGTCGCGGCTGGCACCACATGCACAGCTGGCCAGTCCATGGCCATGAACATCGTTGCTTCTGGAACCAAGCAGAAGCGTGCTGTCCGATTCTCGGGCGAGCACATCCGTCGCAACCTCCAGAGCTCGTAGATCGCTGGAAGATCTCAGCATACATTCTTTTTCGTTGAATCTGGAGTATTTTCGGTCGCATTGCCTGGCGTTTAGAGCTTTCTTGTACATACCCCCTTTCGTGCTCTCGCATACTGATGTACAGTTGTACATACATGACACAAAAGTCACAAATGGATAGACCAGAGAAATATGAATAAGATCATACAAAATAACGTTTCATGCTTGCTGTGTGAAATCCTGTGAATGTGATAGGTGAGACCAATCATTGAACTTGATTCGACTTGACAAGAATTAATGTAGATTTTTCGCGAGAGCGCTCGAGTTCACTTGAGGTGAAGACATCTGTCTGATTGGGGAATAATGAAGAGTTTAACTAAATGGATTACGATCGAGAAGCCTCGGAATCAGAAACATGGAGCTGATCTGAGGTTAATGGATTGAGAAGGGCGAAGGTTCAGAGGTTCAGAGGTTCAGCTGACTCACTGAACCTCTGTTTCAAGTAGATGGCATGAATCTTGGGCAATCAGAATTATTCAACTGCGGTCTCTCGTATCTGTGACTCCAATGACCTTGGAGGTGTTTGGCATTGCAGATCTTTTGGTGCCTTGATTGTGTCTTTCTGGTTCTGTTCATCAACTGTTGCCCATCCCCAGACTCATGTTGACTCAGCATAAGGGCTTCGATGCAGATGCCCCAGCGTGCTGGCTTCGTAAAAGGTGGCAATGTTTCCCACATTCTTGACGAGTGCCTTCGATTATCGGGGTTGCCCGGCTCTATTCGTATCGGTCTCGAGCGTACGGCCTCATCGTTTCCCCTTCTTCTTCGCGGACACGTCCCCCTTCACAAGCCCAGCCTTAACAAAAGCGTCTCTTGCAACAGTATTAATGATGCTGAATCGTTTCGGCCCGAGTTGGTGTCCGCCATACCACCTCGTTACCACGACCATAACGTTCCAGAGATCCATCAATTGAATGAGGTGCAGTACCCTTCCCCCAGCTGCCGTTTCCCCATCATCATCGCAGTCTTGAAATGTAACACCATTATCTCCCTTAATCCTCCATGCTGTGATATTATGTGTGGCAGATCGGATTTTCTTGTCGCTGTCGAGAAGGCGTTGTAGGTATTGCTTGGCTTGGTCGGGGGTAGAGACCGGAGCACTTCGAGCGACGAAGACGGATTTGAGTTCAATAATCACGTCTGAGATGGTCCATGGTGGCTGATGTTCTCTGGGAGTTGTATCCTCGAATGCAGAGTCGTTGCTCCAGGACTCGAGCGTGAGGTGAGCATCTTGTTCTTCTGGTGGGCATTCGACTTCGCTGGGCAACGCATTGTTGACCTCCTCGATCACATCGAACAGGCAGACCTCACCAGGTTGGAACAATCTTCCTAGGACATCCCGGAACACTTCAACAACATGTGCGGCCTCGCCCTTGCGTGTGTGTGCCCCCGAGCTCTGTGTGCCTAGGACCGCTGGAGGTGAAGAGGGGTAGTCCGGAGGAATCCATAGTCGCAAGGAGGCATCTCGCTGCGGGAGGCGCAGGATGAAGACGTTTTCTTCCTCGGTGGCAGTTAGCGAATCGTCTCCGTATATTGAGTTGATGGCTTCAACCTCATTGCGGAGGTCTTCGTTCATGCTGGATGTCCGTGTTTTGAAGTTGTTCCCAGGGGGCGCCCCCGGGCGCTTAACTTACTGGCGGCTAACTTTATTTTAGGGGGTGTTAGCGCGTTCCGGCACCGCCGCCACTCTATTTTCAACGTCTAGCCTCTAATAATATCAAATTATAAGGATCATCTATTGTATAGTTTATCTAACCCCAGCCCGTGCCGCTTGATTGTGGAAACTAACAGATTTACGGTCTGCTTTTAAGAGAATGCTTATGATGTATATATCTGTACTCGTAAATCCATCTTTGTTTCTGTATCCAGGAAGAAGGAAGACTTTCACGTCCGGGTAGTCGCAGGGACGGGGCCGGCCATGGCCCCAAACGCGAAGTTGTATATTCTCAATATCCAATGGGCACGCTGGCTTATTTAACGCCGCCACATCGTGTTTGCTTTTAGGCCTTCGAAGATGTGTTGGTGTTTCGGGGAAAGACTAAAACGACCCCCCCCCCCTTCCCTCCTCCCCCCCCGATGTCCATTAGGGGTGTCGATTGGGGCAGGGATATTTAATTGGCTATCTGAGCTCTTTAAAAATCTGAAATTAGATTTTTCAATATAAGTCTAAGCTAGTATATTATAACCCTTGTATTATAATCACGTGCTTTCTAACTTATAATGAAAAGATTCCTTAAAATAGTATTTTGATTTTAGGGAGTTTATATATTAATTAAGTTTAAGTTTTTGAGCCTGGCCGTATAAATTATGGGCTTATAGGGCTCTTAAATCTGGTTTTAGGGACTTTTTCGCTAAATTTCTGGGCTTTCTTAAGCTTATCTATAGGCTATAAAATATAAAACTTTTAACTTCAATCCAAATTTTATAAAAAGTTCATATTTAAATAGCCCTTAATTAGCGCTATAAGGAAATAAAACAAGTATTAAATTATATTAATTCATTATAAAATTAAAATAAAATAAAGAAAAAGCCAGAGTTTTGGTGTTCCTGTCCGAGCGCCTAGCCTGCTCCCAATCGACACCCCTAATCGACACCGGGGGGAGGGGAGGGAGGAGGGGTGGTTTTAGTCTTTCCCGTGTTTCGGAGATATTCTCAATGCCATCCACGTCTTTACAAGACGATGGAAGGGTCCCAGCTCTATTGTTCTCTCCTTTGGTCGTACGTTGATTTGCTTGCCGTTGTTCTCTTCATTGCACTCGTTCCTGTTCACTCTCGTTTGCAATCTTTGACTGAAGTCCCGATATCTAAAGGTGGTTGTGAGGCGATCCGATGTGATGAGGCCCCAAATCGAGCAAGAATTACTGATAAAGAATAGTGGTGTTCTTGAGACGAAAGAAATCTTGGATGCATCAGCGCCTCCACTATTCACCAGACTCAATTCTCGACATATAGTGCGGCGACAAGAATCAAAATGGGCCCCAGTTACATGCTTGTCACGGTATGCACGAAATGGGAGTAGGCTCGGCAGCATTGCTGACTGCCCTCTTCTTGAACAAACACCAAGTCTCGGGGTGGAAACCAGTCACGCTACGGACACCAATGATGGTTGGTTTTACGACAGTATCACTGGTTGTCATAACCGTGCCGGAATTGCTGCATAGTAACGGCCCAAGAAATAGAAGTGGTAGTGGACTTATCTTTGCCACGAATGCGAACAGTCTTCCATTGAGCCAGACTTTCGGGTGCTATTTGCTTCTCCGGGGGTAGTCCAAGCTACCGTTTTGACGGACCTATCTTTACTTCCCAACTATGCTTTCCGTTTGTTACACTTTTATGTGGAGGCCAGTCTTATTGAACTGGGATCGATTTATCGGTGGAAAATCGATATATTGGAGATTGACAATCTGTAGAATGACTAGTTTTGACTAGATACAGGAGAGTGATTCCATAAAAAGCAGAGGGAATGGGTTCCCTAGCTATATTCCTGATTTCCAGCCCACCATGTGATTTACCCCGCACTTACTTGGTGGTGGGAACGATTTACCAATCTGATTCCTGAACGTACGTTTACGGAACGTAATCGAATGGCGATACTAATAAACGATTGGTGTGCTCGTACGTAAGTAATACCCAATAATCGGACGAACTGAATTAGTGATTGAACCTGGAGTGGAAGGAATGGATGCTAGCCAAGCTAGCTAGTTCAACAAGTCTTCCTTGATTCTTCACAACAAACCTCGTTTTAATTCCTGGCAAGTTGGGCTGATCTTGTTGTCAAACAGTTAGAGCCATAGTTCCAGTTGTCCAATCCCGGAGGAGCAGCCGCCCAAAACTCCCTGCTGCTTCAGTATCCATTCGACTTTCTGCCATTTATTCCCATTGCGGCTCCCCGTCGAAAGTGCGTTCGGTTGTACCCAAGATTAATCCTGTACTGACTCTCTGACTAGACACTGGGCTGTTTTCGCTTCTGGCAGCGTTATGTTATGTCAATGGTGTTTTGTATCATAACTCCTCCGCAATCAGCTATCTTCAGCACTGGAACGGTAACTCGTAGAAATTGTTTCTCTACCTGGTTGTTGCAGTTTGGTATTGTGCTTTTCGGCCTAAGAAATTCTTGTCTCGAATGCCAACCACCATCGGTTCTATCATGGCGTATGTTTCCGGAAGCCGAGATTTAGAAGATTTCTCCTGTTCGGGGAAGAAGACAGACACCAGGAAGGGACAGCTATATGCATATGGACGCTTCATTGGAACAGATAGAAAGACAATTTGGCATCTAGCATCAACGTTTTGTCATACCTCTCGAGACTCGAAATCCTGGATTGAACCGGGAGAATGGGGCTGGAAACGGAAAGGTGATGAGAAGGAGCTAGTATCTACGGACGTGGATATAATCAAATGAACTTCAAAGGTTGAGAGAAACGGAGCTGTTATCTGAGATAGTCTGGGTGTACACTCTAGTTCTTTATAATTTACTCTTTGGTTCCACCAACTCTTCAACCTTAGCAAACTGATAATAATAGTCCAGCGAGTTCGGATTTAGCAAAGTTCCACTCGGCTTGATGGTTTTCCCAGAAACAATCTGCTTCACGGGTAGTTCGACTTTCTTCAAGTTCACCGTTGTCTGGATGAAGTCAGCTCCGCAGCGAAACTCGATTTAAGCCTTCACTTACTGGTATCTCTGGGGTCTCAAACACATATTTCGGCACATGCCGGGCACTCAACTCCTTTCGTATCGCAGCCTTGATATCATTTACCAATTTGGTATGAAATTTCTCTCCAGGCTTCATCAACAAAAACAACATCACCGTCTCATCACTATCACCCGGTCTTCTCTGACCCACGCAAATCGAGTCCGAAACCTGTGGAAAGACCCCTTCGATCACCGAATAAATTTCCGCACTCCCAAATCTCACACCGGAGGGATTCAACACACCATCCGCTCTACCCAGGAAGACCAATGTCTTCGTCACAGGATGAATCATAACGAAATCCCCGTGAGTCCAGACGTTATCATATTTCTCGAAGTATGCGGCGAAGTACCTGGATCCAGAGTCGTCGTTCCAGAAGTAGACGGGCATGTTGGGGAATGCGGCTGGTGCAACAAGTTCACCTGGTGTGCCGTGCTCGACTGGTGCCCCGGGTGTTCCTTTCCCACCCTCAACTAGAGAGTCGTACACCGAAACAGGCGTGCCGAGACTAGGGCCTTGAGTCCCGCCAACATAGACTGGTGACAGGGGATTTTCCTGTCCAAAACAGCCAGCCTATTTCATTCGTTAGCCGTGCTTCTTAGCTGAGACAACCACACGTACCAAATCCGTTCCTCCAGAAATATTAGCTAATTGCACACTTCTCGGAAAGCCCACATCATAAAACCATTCAAAAAGCTGATCACTCAACACCATCCCCGTGCTTGTCACGATCTTCAAACTACTTAAATCAACGACATCCTTGGGCACGATGCCGTTCTTCTGCATCTCATGCATCCATCTTGGACTCGTACCTAATTTCGTGACTTTCTGCTCCCCAACCATGCGGATAAAGGTTTTGAGGTCGGGTTGGAAGGGACTGCCGTCATACAGAACCACACGAGCACCCCCAAGTAAGTTCATAACGGAGGAAAAGTACATGATCCACCCTGTTGTCGTGTATTGGAGTGCCACGCTGTCAGCATTCATCTCTCCGTGCAGTTTCCCTTCTTTGGCTGATGACAGGATGGCACCGCCGATGGAGTGGACAATGCATTTCGGTGTTCCTGTTGTGCCTGAGGAATATGCGATGAAGAAAGGATCATGGAATGCCGTTTGCTCAAATTCGGGAATCTGGGGTGTTGCTTTTGAGACGAAGGTTGCAAGAGTCTGTGTTTTCGGGACACGGCTGACATCGGCGGGCTGTGAAAATCGAGGCATTGAAATCATTCCCTCGAACTCCTTATCGTCTTTCATGCCCTTGGATATTTCTGCCATTTTGCCTCGGAGATCTACTTCCTTTCCGTTATAAATCGCAAAGTCGTCCATGAAGATGTACTTGGAGAGTTAGTGGGGTTTAGCTGAAACAGGAGAATACTACCTTTGGCGTAACTTGCAGAGCTCGTTGTAATACACCTTGCACCCCCATATCCGTAGAACTGCTACTGGAAAGCCCGCCGAGTGTTGTAACAGCAAGGAAGACCTTTAATGTATCCACCGAATTACTCGCAACGACCACAACTCTATCTCCCTTCTTAACGCCATGCTCCTTCATAGCACTAGCCAGAACACCAACCTCCTTCCTCAATTGCTCCCAAGTAACATGTTTAACTTCAGTATACCCTTCTCTCACCTCCGTCAAAGCAATCTTCCCGTCCTCCTTCCCAATCAATCCCCGCGTACTCGCCGACTCACCAGGGATCCGTGAGTACAGTAAATTCTCCGCAAAGTTCATTTTTACGCCATCAAACCACCTTGGTATCGAGTCGATGCGCGCAGACTCGTCTACAACTGTCGTATACGTCCCGCTATAGATTAAATCAAGGAACTGGAATGCTTGGTCCCAGAACTGAGCTCGTTTTGTGGTGGAGTATTGGTACAAATCCCAGAATGTCTGTGGGGTCAATTTGCGTTCCTCAAGCTGTGTGGGGGGAGAGAAGACGCACATCCAATTGCAGGTTGTGTTTTGCATTTATTTCTTGCATCAGTCTGTACATTTCCGTGCTTTTGGGGTCCGGGTGCTCCCAGAGCTTCCTAGGAACGCTGAGGGAATCCATGTTCGGGTTTTGGAGGTGTTGAAAATGGGTTTTGAGGTGAGGCTGAAGGACTGATATGAGGAACTTGTTAGAGCGCCGAGGACCGAGACTAAAGTTATTGAAGTGAAGCTCCAGCGAGGTGTAATCTTTACAACCCCGCAGCGATAGCGGCCCGCCAGTTCATGCGGGACGGATTGAAGATCCTCGGCATGTTTCCGCGAGTAACCGACACCCCCGAACGTTACTCAGCAAATCGGAGCAGAGACACCAAGGACTCCTTTGATAAGCGTGTAGTGAAAAGTCCTCCGGCAGCTTCGGGTTTCTCTGGTTATGGGAGATCCGTACTGTTTGCTTTGCAGTCGAATTGTTCCGTCCTTTTATCGTAGCGACTTCCCCAGGCAACGCGGCCTCCATTTGGCTGTGCGGGGTTCCCCCGCATTGCCCACACTGCCCACATCCAACCCATACTCCGCTCATGAGTTTACTAGATTAGGTAACCCCAAAACAAAAAATACAGCAAAAGGATATCAAATTCTCTGATTGCATATCAACTACAATTCTTTTTTCACGGAGCCTCACTTTGTGCGCCAGGACTTGAGATGTAGCCCGTGCAGAGCTACTTGTTTATGCCTGATTGCCAGTTATGTTCCATGATGTTGCAATGTTTTGGAGGTTGACGACTTGGTTTTTCAGCTCACGCGGGGTAAGCACTCTATATATACATCTGGTATATAAACTACAGTGTGCCAGCGTACACTCAGTTCCAACACATGATTCCTTGCAAATCATGAAGAAGTTTTGCAAGCCAGGAGTTACTCGCTTAGACGCGAGTTTTGATATTATCTCGTGTTATACAAGTACGCGTTCACCCGAAATTTGTTCATGGCAAAATCGATACTGGCGTAGAAGACATCCTCCGTGCTGAGCCAGCAAACGAGATTAATCACTGCATCGTTCGAGCGGTTCCTATTTAGCGAGGCGCGACGTGATAGCACACGATGAAATCCAGATAAGAGGTTGTAGTTCTGAGAACAGATTTAAGAGATATGAATCTAAAATAGAAAGGGCCTACGAGCAAGGGAATACATTGAAAAAAGAAAAGTTCAACCAATTAAAGAAAGCAGTCGGCGGAGTAGTCTTTGCGGCTGACCTTAGCCACACTTTTTGTACCGAAAGAAAAGGTTGCCGTGGTGGAAACCACATAATGTACCGCCGCAAAGATATGAGCTATAAGTGATTGGAAGCTTTTTGTCGAAACTTGCTGCGTGGCTGAGCACGCATTTCGAATTAAGAAGCTTCTAACTTGTGGATAGAGCGAGCGGCTGATATGCGATACCTCCGGAGATGTGTGGGACGAAAATTATTGGCACTTTAAAGAAGGGCCTATGCTGTCCAATGGCTGAGATTACGGCACATCTATATTACCCGGGATTTCAAGAGGAACGGTGTACCCTGATATGTTTGCGGATGTGCGAAGTTTGCCGCCGCATGCACTTTAAGCTTCCTATTTTAATCGAACAACCTGTGCAGGAAAAGGCAGGCAGTTGTGCATTTTAGGAGTAAATCAGGTACCTCTCCAATCACCAGAGTTCAGTGGGCAGATCACTTTTCCAGCATCTATGAGCTATTAACTGTGAATTGTACTAAGATGCCTACGGCATAAGAGATTGAGAACTTGGAGGACAATAAGCAGGAGTGTGGCGTGCGAGACTTTCCGCGAGGGGGTTGAGATTGCTCCGTGCGAAGACATCACTCCTTTCTTGCCTTTCCCGCCTTGTACTCGCTCTGCTTAGAAGTGCAAATATGTTGATGTCTATACGTTACGCGTAGCATTTTCAAGGGAATAATGAGGCGTTTGATAGCCCATTTCTGTATTTCGATTAATCAAAACCTTGAACGGATAGTAATAACATCGATATAAGCTGCCTAGTCTCGATCATTCTGAATTCACAAGCGGAAGTCACTGTACGAAACACCGTGGCCGGGGGATACGAAAATATTATCAACCGAGGGCAGTACCAAAGCACCAATTTCAATTCGACTCTAGCTAACTCGGTCATTGGACGCTTCCTTAATCTGTTGCTAATGGCCCACCTGGTGGCGTTAAGTACATCAATGAATTGTGAACGAAGATACCAGCCCTGTTCCACAAAAGTTCCCAAATGCGGTAGATAAAATCCGAGCCATATGGTGTACGAAGTACTCCTTCCGTTCCCTCACTCACAATAAGCGAAGGCGCAGCTGGAGTCGGGGGCAAATCTATTCAGGGTAGTTGAGCCTTATGCTTCACGTAAGGCGTATCCCAAAATTGAATGCGGGATATCAAGCTGTTGGGAACGGAAAATTGGAACGCCAATAGTAGAAGACTGGGACGGGGGCATTTGTCGAGTGTTGATAAAGGTACTTCTGTAGCGTGACTCCACTGCCATTTCTCGGTGTTTAAGTGTAGCGAAAAGGACGGAGAGGGAGATGAAAGCACAATCATGGGCTCAGTTGAATACCAGCTCGTGTATTATTTCTTGTATGCTTTACAAAATTGGATTTGGCAAACTCGTATTTTCGCCAACAAACCCTGCCATCTTATGCCATATAAACGCCTTTCAATGCAATCGCTTCGTCTCCCATGCAGTTCTAGTCATCCCGTCAATCATCGTCGCTCAACTCCATGAGGCTGTTTCCGTCTAAACCAATGCCACTGCTCATCCTCGGCCTGAACTTCTCCTTCCCTTTGCCAGCTCTCTTGCTCGCGAGGTACCGGCTAGCCTCGGCCTTCTTCATCGTCAGATCCCTTTCAAACTCGTCATCATCTTCGAGATCATCAACCCCATTCTCTCCACTGCCAGCAGTCTCCTCTAAAGCCTTGTTCAGCAATTCAGTGGCGATCGCATCTTGTGGTGATATCGCCAGCGCCTCGTGAAACACATGCACCGCTTCAAAGGGTTTTCGCTGCTCCATCAAAACAAGCCCCTTGGCACAAAATATCGAAGGGTCTTTCCCTCCTTGCCTCAGAACCTCGTCAAACTCCGAGAGTGCCAGATCCCATTGCTGCAACCTTCGAAATGCATGTCCGAGGTTCGCTCGAGTCGAGATCCATGCCGACGGGTCGCTGTCTATCTCTTCAGCAATCTCCAGAGCCTTAGTGAACATGGCAACAGCTTCTTCGAGTCGTTCTTGGTGATAGAAAACAACGCCCATTTCATTCAAGAGCAGCGGATCAGTTTTGCACAGCCCGTAAGCAGTCTTGAGGAACTCGTCTGCAAGCGTCATGTTGTTCAGCATGTGGTTTTGCATGCCCAAGAAGAGGGGTGGCAGATGCGTGCCCATGAAAAGTCGAGCAGCAGTGGAGTATGCTGATATCGCTTGGTCATGTTCTCCTTCAGCTGCGAAAGTGTGCGCAAAACCAATCCACGCAGGCCCGAAATGTGGATCCATCATGCTTGCCTTGCTGAAATATCGCCGGGCTTCTGCCACTTTGTTGATAGCCAGGTAATACACACCCACCGCCAGCCATGTGCATGGTTCTTCCGGGTGGTTGTCTGCCAAGTCGTGGGAGATGAGAAAGAGAGCGTTCTTGAGCTGAAGTTCGTATAAGCACGCAAGATGAAGGGGATATATACTGAAGTTGTATTTGTCTTCCTGGAGAATTGAATTGGTGATCGCCAAGGCCTCTTTGAATCTGCATTGTGTGAAAAGAAGGTCTGCTTTCGAAAGGAGGAGATCTGGGTTCGTGGCAAGATTGTAGTGTGTCGAGAGCGTTTCGGTTGCGGTGGTGAAAGCGGTGGGATTCTTGTACTTGGACAAACGAGTTGTGTACAGCATCTTCGTGAACTCAGCGGCTTCTTGGGAGGACGAGGCGTCGTCGGTAACCGAGATGGCGTCGAAGTCCAGAGAGTCCAAGAATTCCCATTCCTCATCGGGTGACATCAAACAATTCTTCATGAGTTGTTCGAATGCCTCGAAGCATTGTACATCTATCCGGACCGCATCCTTGTAGCATTCCTTTGCGCGATCGAATGCGTTTTGCTTGGCGTAGCAAAGTCCTCTCAAGAAACACATCGCAGCCTCGAAACGGACGTTTGCAGCTTCATCCGGAGCGCCCTCCTCACGTCTCACTTGGTTGTCTGCTCTGGATATCCCCTTGCCATGATGTGATGCTGCTCTTCCGTGTCCACTTGTGTGTTGGAGTTTCCTTCGACTGTTGCTCGCGTTGTTGCTCAGGTGGGTGGGATTCTTCTCGCCGAGCACATTGAGCGCTTCGTCGAATCTGTTTTGCTTGATGAAGCAGTGTCCAGCTAGGTAGCGACAGGAGGGATTTCGAGCGATGAGGTCTTGCTTGGAGAGGAAGCTCTGGGCTCGAGTGTAGTTGCCGGTGGAGAAATGGACTTGCGCGAGCCAGAATGCGTCCTTGTCGTTTTCTTGTATCAAATTAGAATCCGCAGACAATGTGCAAATATGGTGGCAGCGTACGGGTCAACGCCAACAGCTTGTCTCCAATGAAGATGGCCGAGTCGTACTGGTGTTTATTCAGCGCATCCTGGCGCCAGTCCCTCAAGAACTTCTCCATCGTGGGCATCGTGACATTCGCAGAGGAGCCACGGAGTCATGAATTGAGAGGCATGGAATGAGAGAGCAGCAGCAACTTCAGGGTCGAGACTTGGGCTTCTGTTGACTTTCAATGTTGATTTTTCAAGTCGCGAGTCGACTCGCGTGGGGAAAGAAGGATCACAGCCTCGCATAAAGTTATGCAGTGACGCTAACCTTAAAAGGGGAGCTGGTGTAGCCTTAAATTTATGCAGCCTCGGGCGAACTTCAAGAATTCCATTTCCAACTTCTGACCATCTCCACCTCCCTTCTAAATCAACAAGCCCCTCGACGAGACATAGACCAGTCGACCACATCTTCGGCACCTCTATTCTAGAACTGCAGCTTGTCCCGCAAACCAGAAGTCACCGCCGCCATGTCTGAACGAAAAGTCCTTACGAAGTACTACCCACCGGACTTTGATCCCTCAAAGATCGTACGGTCGCGCGCCCCGAAGCAGGCAGGTCCCAAAGTCCAAACCGTTCGCTTGATGGCGCCATTTCCCATGAAGTGTACAGCATGCGGTGAATATATCTACAAGGGAAGGAAGTTCAACGCTCGGAAAGAGACCACGGAAGAGAAATACTACTCGATTCCCATCTACCGATTCTATATCCGATGCACACGATGTTCGGGAGAAATTACCTTCAAAACGGACCCGAAGAATATGGACTACGAGTGTGAGAGAGGTGCGAAGAGGAACACCGAGCCCTGGCGAATGAATGGTGGCGGCAAGCAGGAGAGTGACGAGGAGAGATTGGACCGTTTAGAGAGGGAGGAGGAAGAAAAGAATGCCATGCAAGAGTTAGAGACCAAGACCCTGGATGCAAAGAGGGAGATGGCTGTCGCAGATGCCTTGGATGAGATACGGACAAGAAATGCTAGAAACGAGAGGATGGGAAAAGATGGCTTGGAGGTGACAGTCGCGAGGGAGAGCATCGACGAGGAGAAGCGGAGACAAGACCAGGAAGACGAAGATGCTGCCCGAAAAGCCTTTATGAGGCGGCACGAGGCATTGGAGGAGGTTATAGAGGATAATGATGACGATGGAGGAGAAGGTTCTGCGGCTCCCTTTACGAAAGAACAGGCGTTGGAAATGCCACCTCCACCTGCACCGGCTCCTGCCTTCAAACGGGTAGTCAAAAAGAAGAAAGATTACGCAGGGGCTTTGGGGATCAAGAAGAAACCGTCTTTGGTTTGATGGACTTTGCGCAGCGAGGCGTAACTGGCTGACAATCAATCAATAGATTTCAAGCAAATCACCAATTCAAGGAATACGACTTGGCAAGTGACTCATGACGGGGAAATGATTGCCTGCCTTCTCTCCGCGATACCGCCTTCCCACATCCTGGCAAAGTTCCCACCGACTTCGTACGCTGACTTGCCGACTTTTCCTCCCCCCCCCAGTTCATATTTTGCAATATATATTTTCGCGCTCATGTCACAATGTACAGAGAATTTGTGAAACATGATTTCATTCTTCCAGCCAGCTGCCACTGTTTGCCATTACTCACTCCTCGCTAAATCATGTTGGTTTGAGCGGCTGAGCCGGACCTCAAGCTTTCAATGGGAGCTCTAAAAGATCCGCCTTCGGATTATTCATCGACTGAAGTGGGGTGCAAGCTGCCCGACTTCTAGATGCATGATTTATCATCGTTTGATTGGGCATTTGTCCCATGAGCCTTACTTGGAGATGTGTAAAGGGGTTCGGTTGCCTTGAGATACGGCTCAGAGTATGGCTTGTTAATTGCTCCTGAGAGTACATTTTAGTTATCATCACTGGAATGGCATCTTAGTGCTAAAATTCGTGCACCGCCATGAACTATTGGGCATCTTTTGTCCAGCCTGCTGTCCAGTGGAAAACGCCTGGCTCTTGAACAGTCTCGCCAACGAAGAGGTACGCGCACTCAGGCTCCGCCAGCACGATGTCATATGCCATCTTGAAGTGCTTGACGAAGGTGTCCCGGTCTTTCCGATCGACGGTCACCCTGACTTGCTTGCAAGTGAAGGCCATTTTTCGGGCGGTCAGTGAAGAAGTCATGTTCGAATTTGTGGTGAGTTGATTAAACGATGTAGCTGAAGTTCTCAGACACCAAGGAGCAGTCGAGCTCTTTCTTATAGGAGTAGAGTAGCTCTAAAAGATGACACATGTACGTAACAAACTCCTACTGGCTTGAAGAGTATAGGGTGCCAAGTTTGGCTCTGTTGGATCCAGTTAAAGGCTTTCTATCGTTTAGAAGGAAGTCTTTTGCACCTTGCTGGGTCCGACCTACTCACAAGAATCGCCCAAAAAGGACTAGTCAGTCATCTTTCCCCACCCCGGTGTGCTTCCGAGCCCTGCTTCACGAACGAACCATTGGCACTCTCAGAAATGTTACTGATCTCGTCCAATTCCCTCTGCCTCAAACTGGTTCTATGGTGCCATCCGCTTTGAAGCTCTCACCCCCCTGCTTAGTGTCCGACACACCCCTGAGATCTGCATTTAGCGAATGAATAAGGGCCGTGCTGCCTCACTCCGCAACAACCCTTCGTACGATTACAATAATGACATCAAAGTACTGATGTTGAAGAAGAAGAACCACTGTGGCAGATTTCGTTCGACCAAGTGAGAGTCAATAGTATCAAGTGACAACAATGAGTGGCCAAGGTCGAGCACATGCTTGCATGCATGTCATCGGGACAGACCCAGAGGAAGGACGCCTCGCTTAATGAGCCAACCGAGGCAAAAAGGCTCCACAATTGCTTCAGCCTCCACTGCAACATAGCATAGCCTAACGCCCAAGGCTGATCAGTGAAGCAGGCAGCCTCGAAAGGAGATAATAAAATGAAAGGGCCGCCTCAGATCTTCATTAATCCATCCATTGATATATTTCGACTTGCGAACGCATACTGCCAAATTTCTTACAAACAACACGCCGCTCACGCCTGCTGCCTGGCCAATTCCGTTGATCGCTTTGCTGCATTCGCCCAAGCTTGTCATCATGAGCAGACTTGATTCTGAAGTTGTTGCCAGCCAGGCGCCGTTGTACGACGAACCACAAGCACCGCCTTACGTTCTCCACCGACATGGTCCTCCATCCGATGAGATCGAGAGTCTCCCGGTCTATACCGAGGAACACGACCCCAACGCACCTATCGTAATTCGGGACCTCAACAATATCCTAGGAGATCCAAGCCGAGCAAAGGAGAATGATGTAGCGGTATGGCGGAGATACATTGATGGCCTTGGAGGAAAGCAGACAGAAAAGGAGCGAGAGTTTGCCGAGCGATGCATAATTAAGCACTTCTGGTCAGCAATCGCAGCAGGACAAGAAGATGTGATAGCTCTGTTAATTGAGAATCACCTTGTGACAGTGAACACGAAAATGATGGGCATGACCCCGCTGCTAATGGCGGTTTCTGAGAAGAATGTGAAAGTTGTACAACAGCTTTTGGAATTGGGAGCAGAGCCCAACGAGTTTGGTAATCCAGTAAGTTATTGAGATTTGGCCTGCCTGTATTCGGGTGTGTTGACACGACCTAGGAAAAGCATTGGCACTGGATCTCGTTTGAGAGATATAGGGCCGAGACTGAGCCTACTATAGACATAGCTACATTTCGGACGCCCTTGCAGTTGGCTGCTTCCATTGGTCACTTGGTGCTCGTCAAACTTCTCATGGAGCAATACCACTGCGATGACTCACTGATTGCTCCCGACGGACAAATTGCCCTCCGGCTCGCAGCTGAAAATGGTCATCGCGAAGTAGTCGACTATCTACCAGCCCGACGCGGAGGAGGATTCCGAAGATGGAAGCATAAGAATATGACTGCAATCCGACGCGCAAAGAAGGCAGCTACCGGAATCGGGAAGTTCGTGAAGTTCTTCGTTTGGGATATCGAGAAATTCTTTTTGTGGAGTGTACCAAAACATTTGATCATCCAGCCTCTAGCGAAAGCATCTGCTTGGTGTTGGAAGCATCGGAGGGAGTTTGGACCCTGGTGTATGCATCAGCTAAGGGAGACGCCAGTAAGAGTGGTAAAATTCGTGAAGTGGATTGGGAAAGCAATTAGGGGAACTGGAAAATGGCTCTGGAAAGTCATCCAGGGGATTCCAGAGGTGATCAAGGATATCGCTGGATGGATTTGGAAACTGGTGACAGTGAAACTTCCAAAGGCAGTGGCACTTTTGGCTCGATGGATCGCAAATGGATTGACTTCGTTGGCCAAAGTTGTCTGGAATGCGATCTTGAGGATCATTTCTTTTCTGTCGACCGTCGTTACAGCGATTGTCTCCTTCTTCCGAAGCCTGACCTTGAAGGATATCTGGAATGGGTTTTGTGATGTACTGAGGGAAGTCTTTATTACTTTGCCAAAACTCATCTGGTCGTGGATTATGTCTTTTGGGGACGCAAGCTATAAGATGATGAAGCTCATTCTGGGTGAGCTAGGGGAGATACTGTGGTGCATTGGCTATGGGCTCTTGTGGGTGGTGACTTTCATACCGAGGAAATTATGGATAATCTTGCAGAGCTTTGGCGGTGTGATGGCGAAGGCTGGATACGAAATGAGAGTTTGGATGGACCCAAAGGCAAGATGAGATTGATTGAGCTTAATAACTTCATTACAACAGGAAATAATTCTTATCAATAGCCGCGCACTCGGTGGTATGAAAGACTTTAACCCGATAACTTGCGATGGAGTGTCTGGCCATATAAATGCCTTCCACACACCTCGCTTGGGTAAAATTTGACCATCGCAGTGTGCCAATGACTTTACGTGCATCCAAGATCAATCACAGTGAGTGGTTCTCATTTTGGCAATTGGAAGGTCAAAGCCTTACTTAACGCAAACATAGCTAAACCTATCCATAAAATCTCCACCTATTGGATCAAAACGTTCTTGACCTCCCCTGGCGATCTCTGAGTGGAGGATCCCAGGACCTACTTCTCTTTTCCAGCAGACTCTTCAGCCTTTCTCCCCCGTTCAACCAACCGACTCTATCACCAGCCGTCTTTCCTTCGATATCTTTTGCGTAAGGATTTGCGCCAGCCCGCATCAACATCTTGACTATGTCCTCCTTAGCACCAACTCCAGTTCCATCTATCAACCAGCTCCCTTCGACCGCTCTATGCAGGGGAGTTCTGCCTTTCTTATCCCTCACCTTGACTTCGGCTCCTTCTTTCAACAGAGCTTCAGCGACTTCACTCCTGTCATGCTTTGCTGCCACTGCCAATGCCGTGTTGCCTTTCTTGTTCTTGGTATTGATCTCTGCGCCGTGCTCCACCAAATATCTAGCTGTCCGTGAGTGCCCTGAACGGGATGCGATTATCAGAGCTGTATCACCAGCAACGTTGGGACAATTTATATCGGCATGAGATGCTATCAGTGCTTCAACGATGTCGATGTCTCCAAGTCCAGCGGCCTCATGCAGAGCTGTTGTACCTGTCTTTGGACAGATGCCCGGCTCTGCTCCAGCTTCCAAGAGGCACTTCGTAGTTTTAAGGTGTTGTTTCTTCACAGCTGCCAACAGAGGCGTCTCGCCAGATGACCAAACATTTGGGTCGATCTTCTTTGGCTCCTCATGATGGCGACGGTGGTCTTGGGATGGAGTTGCTTGGAGCAATAGATCGAGAATAGCTAGGTGACCTAAGGACGCCGCTGCAACAAGAGCAGGACCGCGATCGATCTTGAGATGTTTTGATAATATGAATCGGACTTCTTTGAGGTTGTTTGCAGTAGCTTCGCTTGCAAGGTCGTTGGCCGGAGAGGACGCTTTTTCCAAGGCGAATTTGGTTGCTTGCAGCGCCAATGGTGCAAGAGGGGAGAGGGTGTGGAGGAAATCCATTTCTGAGAATGAGTCTTATAACTCTCCAATAGAGATATCTGTGGCCTTCGATCTAATTATATGGGTTGGAGGTGCCGTTGCACGATCATGCCACCTTTTCAGGCTCCTGACTTCTTCACGCGAATCAATCTCGTGACCACCCCACGTGCCTCCAAAAACCGAAATAAGAATCAAGACTACGGTTGGTTTCATATCCTGTGGTGAAGATCCTATAAAATTTTTTTTTACAATAAAACTCTATAATAAGTCGATCGAAGGGATCATTAAAACGCAGCCGGTATGGAGATAACTAACAGTTTCGATCCTCGCGCTCGGTCTTCGCTCAAATCAAGGCGTTGAATTCGAATAATCCCTCTCCAAGCCATTTCTGATTCCACATCTTCGCCACACCCAACAACCCGTTTCGTTCTTCGCATCCTCCAAAATAGTATCAGAAGCCTTCTCGCTATTCATGAAAGTCGGAACGACAGGAAAGGCCTCAGGAGTTCGCGGAAATGTGTTTGTGTCTGCAACTAGCCATCGTGCTAATTCTGGGAGCTCTAAGGCTTATATCTACCAATACCAGGACCTTAATGGGCTAGGGGCACGGCGTCACACGCCTTCGGCACGCGACGGCGTGCGGAGCGTATGCGTATACCTTGAGTATACGCGTGCGTTGAGGATATACTTTTTAAGCGATTCTTGGAGGATAAGAGAGGGACGTGCTTCTTGCCCGCCTTTAGTACGCGTGCCGGGGGCTAAAGAATAGCCGAAAAAGAAAGCCTTACTTTACGATAAAATTACAAAAATTAGCTTGCTAAGTACAGGGGAAGGGGGCTAGAAGGGAATCAAATTCTCAAATGCATACGATGGTACAGCTGGTATGTTTTGGTCCCTGTTTTTTGCAGGGGTCGCAGTTCTTCCTAGTAATGCCACCACAACAATCCAAAATTTCTAGGAAACATGTATTCTTATATTCACCTGGTCTTAGGGAGCATATACCTGTTTTTATAATTATTTTTCGTCCAAAACTACAAGAGTTACGTGGTGTTGAAGATGTACCCCCCCTGTCGACAGGGGCCAAAACATACCAGCTGTACCATCGTAAGCACCCGTTCTAGGGTTTGCCCAAAGAGGGTGCTTATGCATTCTAATCAGAGTTGGCCTCCTGTCATTACCGCTTTGGGCGTATACCCATGTTTTAGGAATGCTACGCGAGCAGAACAGGGGTGTTGCAGGGATTTGCAGGGGCACACAGTTTTTCTTTTCAAAACTGCTGGACGCTACGCTGGGTCCAGCCGCGTACGGATACTTTGCTAGCTACGTACGACTTCCCTAGCAGAACTTTCCCGACGCTGTTCTCTACGTCATATCTGTCCTCGCGGCCTTGATTTATGCCAGACCGCGGCAACTGTTACCGTAGACTGCACAGAGAGCCACCCTTTGATTGGGCGCCACGGAATGGCATCATTGTAACCCTTCGGGACAACCACGGTTGCCTAAGAAACAAAAACGAACATAGCCGAATCTCCGTTGCCACCCCCCCAACTGTTGCAGATCGGGAATCATTACATTCTCGTTGAGATATACAAATCCTAAATCCACTTTAGGTGGAATAATGCTATTTCCAGCCCCAAGGAACAAAAGTGCTCCGCATGGCAACCCTGTCCTGGGCCTACTCGAAATCCCATTCATAGCAAACGGCTATGACTTCAAAGAACCATTTGATGGGTTTGGAAAACGACAAGCTTTCGGCGCCGCTGATGAACTCCATTTGGACGGGCATAGCGAAGAAGCGTGTGCTTCTCTACTCCAGTCATGGTTGTTCTTTGGGATTTTGACAGAGTTTGTGGGAAAGAAAGTCAAGACCGAGGACTTCTCAACAGCCAATAGCGAAGGGGAAGTAGTTATCAACTGTACGGGACCTCACGCCATGGCCATGATGGAAGCTCGGTTGCCTATGGAGGACGGTCTTCCCGAAGCTCTAACCTTCTCGATGTGTGATAAGCTACTGGAATTGCTGAAGTCCGCCGCGGCCATTCTCGATGTTTACGAAACCAGAGCTTGGTCAGGAGGATATAAGAGTGATATTGCACGAGTGATTCTGTCGGTCAAGGTCCTCATTAGGACCCTTAAAGAGTTGGTTGAGAGAATGATCTCGACCAAAGGCTGGGGCAAGAGCGATGGTGGGAGACTGAGTCCGCTACTGAAAGCCTGGAAAGAGTGGAACCCGGATACGCTTCCATTGAAGCCTTCTAGTGTCTCCATGCAGCTCATTGAAAATCAAATGAAGGCAAATGGATGGTGCCAGTGGCAGATACAGCAGATCTGTAAAAGTTACAGTCTTCCAACTGTGTACTATCTGGCCCAAATTGACCGAAGAAGAGAGACTAAAGAGAGAAATCATAAGAAGTGTACGGAAACCGAGTGTGTTGCTGACGACGTTGACTGGAGCGGGTACCAACCGAGACATCGAACTCCGGGATGCAACTGCGCAGAGATTGGAACTCCTGAAAAAGAGCTGTACGCCATAATCAGAAGCGGTGGGATACCACTGGTTTCCATCCATAAGATGGCGAAAGGTAATTTGGAGATACAAGCTCAACCGCTAAAGCCAGCTAGTCGGTACACCGCCATCTCTCATGTCTGGTCCGATGGCCTTGGAAATAAATGCACCAACTCCCTTCCGACTTGCCAGCTCGAGTGGATCACAGGCTGTTTATCTTCGTTGGGTGGGTCTAGTCCCAAAGTGATCCACTACTTTTCGGGAACTGGTTTTCGTGTCGACAAAGATTCGATCGGAGAGACCAAAACAATTATGGGTGGCAGCAGCAACTCGCCTTTATTCTGGATGGATACCTTGTGCATCCCAGCGAAAGAAATGGGACGTGATGATCTGAAGACGATTGCTATTAACAAAATGGCACCAACATATGCACAGGCCGAAAAGACGCTCATTCTAGACTGGGAAATCCTCAGAATTCAGGTTGGAAGTTTCGACAGCATTGAAGTTTTCGCCCGCCTTGCATTTTCAACTTGGGCGCGTCGATGCTGGATACTGCAAGAAGGGGCAATTAGCCGGTCTTGCTACTTCCAGTGCGCGGATGTTGCTCTCCAAATGGAGCCTCAAGATCTCCGGGCCAGCGCATCGAAGATTTGCATGAAATGGCGAAACAGTTTCTTTCCACAGTCCGCATTGGCCTCTGGTTTTATTGCAAGCCGTTGTGTTTGTGGATGCCATCAGAAAAAAGTGACCGCAGATCTAGGACTCTCAATTCGACAACCCCGATGTCCCAATTTCGATATTTTGGTCTCGCATTTCAGGAGAAGCTGTTAGATGAATATGAGCTTGGTGGAATTAGTTGGACGATAAAAAGAGCTAAGGAAGAAAAAGATCTAGATCTCTTAGGGAGGTATACCGACAGCGTGTTGCTTCCCCTCTTCGTTAAAGTCTGGAACAATCTGACGACGCGAACAACGACCATGCCGGATGACCTGTATGTGATTTTGGCTAATTTGCTTTCTTTCAACGCAAGACGGATCATGAAGTTGAAGGGTGACGATAGAATGAAGGCAATACTGTACAGCCTTCCAGAACTCCCTGTGTCTCTCCTTTACAACCATGGTCCGCGATTACGAGCGGGTAAAGACCATATCGAACGTTGGATCCCTACTTCACCGAGGGGTTCGCGACTTTCTGCGGATCAAGTGATGAGGAACGGAAAGGCGGGACTCGTTATTTCCACAGCATCAGAATTCGCTCCAAAGATCCTTGTTTTTAAAGGGAGACTGCTTCATAGCGAGGCAACTAGGACCTATATAAGAGACCTAGAAAGCAATCGAGGATTTCTCGTCAAAGTTTGTTGAGAAATTGAGGACGAGCCAACAGCAATATTTCATGTGGCTACTGGTATTCTCATGGAACGGTGGCCAATGAAGAGCGAAAGCAACAGCTTTGCCACACGGATTCCCGGGGCATGCTTTCTCGTCAAGGGTGTCAGAAAAGGGAAAAATAGCCAGACGATAAGGGCACAGTATGATTGCCCACTCCAGCTTTGGGAGGTAAAAGAGCTAGATTGCATGCCCGAATCAGAGACTCCCAAGCGTACCACCTTGTCATCGACTCTGTTCGAAGGGATCAAACTGACCGAAATATGCAGTGTGGGAAATGAGTAGAGTAGAGTAGAGTAGTGGGCCCTACTCATATTCTACTCAAATAAATTTCTCACTACTCATACTCTACTCTACTCTACTCAATACTCTACTCAACTACTCTAGAATATTCTAGAGTAGTTGAGTAGTATACACGTGATACAACACGTGATGTTACACGTGACACGCTAGCCTAATTAGGTAAGGCTCCGGGGTGGCCCGAGTCTAGCGCCACTGAACTGCCCAATCAAATAGTGGCAAGGCTTGGTAAGCGAGGTAGAACCTTAATATATTCTTAGGCTTCCTTAGCTATTAAGGGCAAACTCTTCTCTCAAGGTACTCTTATTATTTAAATTACATAATAGACTTAATAAGAGTACTATTAAGATAATATCTTACTTAAAAAGCTGGGGGTTATTTAAAGACGAATTAGAAGAAGTAGAAGAAGAAGAAAAAAAGCAGGAAAAGAAAGATTTCGAGGAGGGAAATCTGGTTTTTATAGAAGAAAAGTGGTATTTAAGTAGCCTTATATAAGCTCTAGCTTAAATTATATAGTACTGCTTAATATATACCTTATTTATTTATTAATAATTAAATAAATATTGATTTATTACACTTACGTGACTTGCACGTGACTACTCTTGAGTTACTCTAGAGTAGTACTGTACTCTACTCTACTCAAGTACCATATTATGCTACTCAAACTCTACTCTACTCTACTCAAGACTACTCTAGAGTAGCTTGAGTAGCTTGAGTAGTTTTTGCCCACACTGGAAATATGGGAGCTGGTTATTGAGACTTGTAAGTTCAAGGCTTCCAGCTATATGCTAACTACACACTGCTAAGAGATTTTCCAAGGTCCTAAACACGAAAGAAAAGTCTATCCGAGACGCCCATCTTACGCTATTGCATGGGGTAGCTCGCTACAAAGGCATCAATTCCTCCTGCACAATCTTTTCCTACTTATTATTCTGCTTGTTAAACTCATTATTATGAGTCATGACCGGGGTTTGATCGAGCACACAGGCGTTGTCATTGCTGCTCTCACCTATCTTATTGTGTTGCCACTTATAACCTATATCGTCTGCACTCATTTTTTCAGTCCTCGAATATACGCTCTATGGATATCGACGTTTAATGAGGACTGGAATGGTTCATATTCAAGTCATTCTTTTATGTGGAGGTTTCTCGAGTTCAATAATTGGCTTGCGATGAAAGAGAAGTATTATCGTCTGCTGTTGTGGCGTCTCGTTGGAGGTTGCAGTTCCAAGAAATCTTTGATGGATTCAAGGGGAGAAGAACTGCTAGTGGATCAAGAAAGGCATTGGCCGTCGGACAGTAATGCTCTAGCGATGATCAAGGTACCTGTTCTTCAGAGTATGGATATAACCGATGAGCATGCTTCAACAGCAGATCAAAGAGGGGAGCCCAGCTGGCAGGTGTAAATATATACAGTATCCATCTCTCCCGACCCACATTACGGCGAGCTTCTGCTACAAAGGGAGCCAGACATGAAAACAAATCTGAGAAGAAGGGACTCTGAGACTTCATCGGGTAATGTCTATTATTGCGATCTGGTTTTTCATCTTATAAGACTACTGGTTATCTATCCATTTACAGGTAGCCTGCCTCTTGTTTATAATCTTCTGTCCTCCCTATCCCTCTAAATCAATTTTATTTTCCTCCTATATTTAGAAAGACACTTCTCGACATCTTCGGGCAATATCTTCTTTGGGAGAAGAATTGAGGAGTGGATTTGTTAAGCTCTCTAATAATTATATGTGGCTTACTACACGAACTTCTAAAAAGCTATTAAGAAACCGAAACCAAGAAAGCAAATAAGTAAGAACAGCATTTTCCATTATCTTGCTATTTACTTGAAACTACCACGCCATTACTTTTACTAATGCTACTTTTGAGTTTTATAAAGTAATATACCTGAATAGTTCCCAAAGTCTGATTAAAGAAAGCAATATAAATCTCTTCTTACAAGCACTTATCCTCCTCTCTTATCTTAAGTATTATTGCATTCTCTTCAGATATTTACCAAACACGTTTTATGAAATATTATATTATTATAAGATATATCTTGAAGTATATACTAATATAAAGAACGATAGACTTTATAAATGTTTTTGTAATGCGTACATTAATAGCGAACGTCCAGCTAGATTTAGTAGCCTAATTGGGCTAGTGCTTATATGGGATCGCATTCCCTAATTGGGACTAGTGCTTCCGCACACCCAGCGGAACGCTAGGTAATATATATGGAGGCATGCGAGCTTTAGAAATGGGCATTGATTAGTTTCTTAATAGGAACCAGTTCTCGGAATCAATTACATTTCCACGCTTCACTCCATACTTTACCTTATATTCCACCCCTTACCTTGACTACTTGCGTAGCACCCTGCTATTGTGCGCCTCACAGTTTTCTAATTAAAATGCATGCCTAGCGCTTTTAAAAGAATAGAAAAATAAAGCTATTCTGGAATATATAATAATTAGAACTTGAGATTATATATTATCTTATTTCTTTCTAGTCTTAATATATTTTAAGAAGCCTTAAAGGGGCTATTTCTAATACTTTATAAATAGTACTAACTTTATAATAATAAAGAGATTCTAAAAGATTTACCTTGCTTCCAGTCTTTACCTTGTTCTAGACCACTCGAAAGACCCCAACCCCAGCGATTTAGATGGTATATTGGTCTTCTATTAGTACCCCGCACTATTACAGACACGGACAATATTTTCATACACTGAAAATACAATCCCTCCACTTAACACCAATCTTCCCAACCTCATCGTGCTTCCAGCCCAGAACCCGAATAGCCCCTTGTCTCTCAGCACGCTCTTCATCGCTTCAATAGTCCCTGCTCCAGCAGCACTCTGAGCTCGAGTCTTGACCGTATCAAACGGTTGGGTCGCATAGACAGTGATTGTGCCTGCTGTGGCGCCCATAAGGAAAGTCGCCAAGGTATTCTGGGGCACACTGTGCGTTTGCGACATCCCCCGCAGGATTGTGTAGGATCCCATGCGGACAGCTGAAGTCGCAGATTGTTTCATCGTTGTCGAAACTAACCCCCTATAGAGATTCCCAATGCCCCTCTCTGCTACCAAGATGCGGAGTGCGTGGAAACTTCCCTTGAATCGTTTCTGGTTGTTTGCATCATCGATGAGCGCCGTCTTCAGACGCTCCGTTGGGGTTACGGCGAGGATGCTTTCGGCGCACCCTGCTAAGCTTCCAGCCAGGATGGCGCGTCCCCCAGATATCTTGCCATTCTCGTCGGCAAGGGCATTCTTGATGGTATCAAAGGTTAGGAAGCGGACACCGGCTTTGAATGCTGTTCCCTATTGCGAAATCAGCAGTAGCTTCGGGTTTAGACACCCTGGAGTGGAGAAGGGAACAGGCACGTACCACCACGAGGGTCGAGCATCCAGTATAGAGACCCGAGATCCTCTCAGTCCTTAGTACATTCCTTACCATATGCCATATCGGTGTTTGGCCTGGAGCCTTAGATGCAAGCTGGCTACGAGTTTTGGCAAATTCGAATGGATACTACAGTACTGGTAAGTTGGAGCTCACGTATCGCAAAGTAAAGACGAGCTTACGGTTGTTGCTGCCTCTACTCCACCTGCAACGCCGCCAGCAAACAATGATAGCACTGGGCTTATTTGTTGTTTCTGAAGATTGTTAGTGACAAATCCAGGATTGTTTAGAGCAGGTATCATGCCTTGGACGCCAGCTTTGGTACGGGTACTGGTGTGATTACTGCCGCGGTGGCCATGCTTGCTGGAGCTCGCTGTTTGGGCCAAATTTCTCAAGAGGCTGAACATGATTGATGATATCTTTTACCTGATCTCTATTCATCCTATTTTGAGGCTATCTGTTCGGTCCTGGTCCGGGGACAAGTTCCACGGCAACTCTCTACCCGCGGCATTAGCTGGTCGGCGACTAGCCGCGGCCAAGACACCAGTCAACAAGGACCCTCCCGTGGCAGAAACCTCACGAGCAGTCTTCCATTGCATTCCTTTTCCCAATTCTCTGCAATCCCACGGGAACTCTCCCCATCCCCCGCAGAATCTAGAAATAGGAGACGACAATTTTCCCAAATCCCACGGGATGGATGACACCAGCGACAAACCCTCGCAGCCGAGACCGAAACGACGCGCACCGAGAGCCTGTCAGTTCTGTCGGCTCCGCAAGGTACGTGCAGCTCCCGACATCCGATGCCCAACTCCCCTCTGATATCGCTGCGAACAGCTGAAATGCGACAACGTGGTCCCGCAATGTACCAACTGCGGGAGCTATGGCAAGGAGTGCATCTATGTTGACCTACCCAAGAAGGCGAGGCCGTCAAGTGCAAAGATCGCGAGGCTGGAGCAAGAAGTCCAGAGGCTCCGAGCGCAGTCACAACTCCGTGACGTACAGCCTCAAAATGTAGCTGCAGAATCGCACTCTACGCCATCTAGCGTCAACCACAGCGTGCACAGCGTCCACAGTATGCACGATGCCAGTAATGATATGTCGGTCATTGAATCGCGAGAAGTCTCGGTGGGCGCGGATCATCAGCGGGACTCGTTCTCTGCAACAGCACCACCAAACAGCCAGCGGCAACTTGTCCCACCCAGTGATCTAGTGAGTTACTATGGTAGGACGAGTGCTCTGTTTGAGGATGGCGGGCCTCATCAAGATGCTAGAAGTACAAATAACAGTAGTGCCGGCCAAGTCTCAGAGAGAACGCAGCTGATGCTGATGGGCGAGGCGACGCGACAACGTAAAGTCACCCGACATTGATCGGTGGTTGAGATAGAACCACTGACAGATTTCAGGGCAGATGGAGAGCATCAATTACAGCGCTGGTCGTCTCGACTTTGACGGGGTGGATCCTGAGCTTGGGATGCACCTCCTCTCTCTCCATTGGAATCGGCAACATCACTCCTCCCTGATCACGTACCGGCCAGCCTTCATGCGCGACATGGCATGCGAGGGGCCATACTTCTCCAAACTTCTCCTCAATGCCATCTATTTTGGTGCATCAAAGTTTAGCACGCGTCTCGAGATGCGTAGCAATCGCAAGGCCGCTGGTCAACCCTTCCGCCAGCGGGTCAGAGAGCTCCTGGGTGGAGCCTTGGACCGGAGCAAGATAACTACCATACAAGCCCTTCTCATAATGACGAGTTCCTTGTTTGCTCTGGGGGATGAGAGGAGTGCAGCATGGCTCTACGCTGGAACGGCCTTCAGGATGATAATTGATCTTGGCTTACATATTGATGATCTCTCGTTGTCTGCTTCGCGGAGGCTCTCAGACGAGGACTTCGAGATCAGACGTAGGGTGTTCTGGGGAGCCTTTGGTCAGCACCCTTTGCTTCTCACAGGCCTACTCACATTAGCTGACAGAATCTAGTGGTCGACAAGATCCAGTCTCTTTATCAAGGACGGCCCATGAGTCTGCAGGAAGCTGACACCCGAGTCCCGATGATCTTCCAGGACAACTTTGAAGAACTTGAGATATGGCACCCGCAAGCGTTTCCAGGGACTCAGGATTACCCTGGCTCACCGACGTACTCAGTGTCAACATTCACCGAGCTTTGCAAGCTTAGCGTAATCATGAATGATATCCTAAACAAAGTCTACGCGGAGAAGACGACAAGGCGAGCCCCAGAGAGGCTAGCCGATGACCTCAAGTCACTACACTCGGACCTTGAGAAATGGGAGTCCGCTCTTCCACCCCATTTGAGATTCGAAAGTATTGGAGGGTCGGGTATTGTCTCACCGCCGCATGTTTTTTCATTACAAGCGATGCATAAAGTTCTCTTGATCCTACTCCATCGCCCATTCGTGTCAGAAGGTCATCTTCACTCGACATCTCCATCTATTCCAACTAACTCATTTGCCATATGTGCAATGGCTGCAACCAAGATCGTGCAGCTGCTTCGCATCTACCATCGGACGTTTTCTATTCAACAAGCTCCATATCTCATGTCATATGCAACATATGTGAGCGCAACCATTCACGTTCGTATTGCTTCCCAGAGAGGGCCGGGATCAGAAGCCCACACCAGCCTGGCGACTTGCTTGGCGGTCTTCGCACGGAATGAGGAGACAAATTGGGCAGTGCAAAGAGCACGAACCGTGATTTTGAATCTGATGGAACGAATGAATGTGCTTTTACCTGAGGCAACCGACGTTGATGGATCCCGCAAGGGTTCATTTGAAGCCGCTCTGACATCTCCGGGAGAGCTTTTCCAACCCTTGAATGAACAGCACGATGTCAACGCCCATGAGCATCAACATCAGGAAGACATTGGGATTGGGCCGTACAATCAGGTTACTGGTGAGTTGGATATGGAGGCAATCATCCAGAGCTTCATACATGAACAGCAAAACAGCATGTCCAAGATTGGTGCAAACTTCCATCACGCGGGACATCAGCCTTTCACGTCAAGCCCCCACCCTCAATCGTCGGCCAGCAATGCAATCATGCAACCATACTTTGACATGCCTTACGGTGGTGTTCCAACCTGGAATGACACGGATCCAAATTCTACTGTGCAGGACATGTTGTTTGGTTTCAACGGCGAAGCACTTGATGGAATCTGGTAAAGATCATGCCAATAATATCATTAATCATTCTGTGGCTTGCGTATCAAAATCCACATGAACCCCGCTAAGTCAACCCTGACCGACTTCACTCCTTGTGCTCGACCGCGGAGTCGCCTTTCTCGGCATCGTCGATGCGGGGGAAAAGGTGCCGGTCTGCACCAGTGATACCGAACAATGCGTCCATATCCTCAAGCGACAGTCCTTTGGTTTCTGGGACAAACAAGTACACAAATGGTACTGCCAGTGTCATGCATGCGGCGAATACAAAGTATGTTCCGTATCCGATATTCGTGAGCATATACGGCACACTCCGAGCAATCACGAAGTTCAGTAGCCAGTGAGTTGCTGTGCATATTGCCACGCAGAGACTGCGGATACGAAGACTATAACTTGTCAGTCTGATTATCAACCTGGGAAGCGGATGCGGACTTACGGGAAGATCTCGCTGCAGTAGATCCATGGCACTCCAGCCCACGAGAGACAGAAGGCAACTGCAAAGACGTAGACCATGACAGCTGCACCGTACCCACTAGCAGTGACGCCTGCAGGCTTGGCAGTAGCAGAGATTGGGTTATGTTTTACGATACCGCCGATGGAGTACATAGCAACAGCCTAATTTTGTCAGAACATATCCTGCCCAAGACTCCTTGGCGGTTCGAGTCACTTACAGCAAGAGCGCTTCCTACAATAAGCAGCTTGGTTCGACCGAATCTATCGACGATCCAGTACATTGTGATAGTGATGGCAATTAGGCGCACGATGCCATACACTCCGGTGGAGATGAGGCCGGTATTAGAGCCTGTCAGACCAATACTTTTGAAGATGCGAGGCGAGTAGTACTGTAATGATTAGCACATATCTTCGTATCGAGGTCACTATGAGATACTCACGTTGATCGCATTGCTCCCAGCCATCTGCATGAAGATGAAGATGAAGACTCCGATGGTGATTCTGTTCCTATTTCCCGGCATGGCCATCTCACGGAATTCCGCGATGAGGCCCTTGCCGTGAGTAGCAAGTCTCTCCTGATCAATCTGGTCCATGACGCGATAGATCTCCTCGACGACGTATTCGTGATCTACTGGGAGGTTCCTGAGCTTTGAAAGAGCTGCAACTGCTTCATCACGGCCCTTGAAGCGAGCGATCCATCTCGGTGACTCTGGAAGGAAGATCATACCGAGGACCAGGAGACCTCCAGGGATGAGCTGGACGGCGAAAGGTACGCGCCACTGTGTTGAAGTTGCTGCCACGTGCTTCGTCACTCCGTAATTGATCCAGAAGCCGATACACGTGCCGATCTGGACACCCATCTCGTAGATACCGACCAGGCGACCTCGGATCGATGGTGGGGAGATTTCGGCGACATACAAGGGCACAAGCATGCTTGCAGCTCCAACGCCCTAGGTGCGAACATTAATATTTGCGCACGAGGTTGGGCCGAGACTACTCACAAGACCACCAATAGCTCTACCGACGAACATTGCTGCAGTGCTACCGAATGAAACTGTCTGCATGAGTGATCCAAGGCAAAACACAACTCCAGTAATCATCAACGTAATTCTTCTCCCCAACTTGTCGCCCAGAGGAGCTGCGATAAGGGAGCCGAAGAAGCATCCTGCTTGGAGCAGCGACACAATGTTTGCCGCGAATGCATCTGACCTTTCGGCCGAGGCGCCTTTGAGTCCGAAATCCCTTGAATAGCGTTAAATTTGATTTCTGATAGTGGGTGACAGTAAGGTGCAAATACCTGATGAATGGTTTGAGGGTGATAGCAGTTCCGATGAAAGCCAAATCATATCCAAACATGAACGCTCCCATAGACGACACAATAGCGAGGATGTAGACGTGCCAGTTATAGATCTCCTTAGGTGCAGCGACCGTCAGATCGGACGACTTGAACGCAGGTTTCATGATGACAAGGGTTTTCGGGTAAACGTCCTAAGAGTTTGCGAAGAGGATTTGGACTTGTCGGAATCCAGGCATAAGACTTTGGCGATGAGGGTGGCTTTCCTTGTCAAGGCTTGTTCTTCTTGGTCCCAAGAGGCCAAGAGGTCGCTGGTATATATATGTTCAAGTTCTCATGACAAGTTGGAGGATCTCCACAAATCTGGGGAGGATGGCCTGGAGTTTGGAGCATAAAGATGGGGTTTGCGGGGTCTCCGTGACCGATGTTTGGTCCCATTCGAGTGGCGTTCATCCGAAGTGGTTAGTCTTGAAAATGACAATGATCCACGGCAAGAGATTTGCCGCGGGTGCCATCGAGCCCATTCATGAAAACCTTAGTAGGTGGATAGATTCCGGACCCTAACTAGCTCCAAGGTACAATGCTAATTGCGGCTCGACTTTGGTTTGCCAGAGGGCCTGCTCAATCTGCTCGCTTGGTGGTTCCCGCGGGATCTTTACAGCCGGTATGGATTGACATCCAGTGGCAGCTCTCCACAAGTTCTGCACGATATCAACTCAAAGAGTACTTGCCATGGCAATAGCTTGACCAGGATCGATACGATGTCCTTCTCATGCCCCGGAAATAAGGATGAGAGCAAATCTCAAGTCCTAGATGATCGTTTAAGACTAAAGGTATGGTCCTATAAACACTCTAGGGCGCAAAGTCCGTTGTTCCAAGACGCCCGTAAGTGTCGTGACAATCTATCTCGTCGATGTTCAGACGTACTTACATAAACCTTTCATCCTTCGCGAGGGACTCCGTCTCTCACCAAAAGAGCATACCAAACCTCTCCTACAATTTCCTCCCTCCTCACATGATGAATGAAACTAGGTTTCCTACCCGCCATGTGCTGCCATCAGTCATGATGCGGTCAGGAACCTCCAAGGGGCTATTTGTGCACCGCAAACACCTTCCTCAAGACCAAACGGAGTGGGGCCCTGTACTACTCAGTGTCATGGGCTCACAACGAGGTGATCAAAAGCAACTCGATGGCGTTGGTGGTGGGACTTCGACGACATCTAAAGTAGCGATTGTATCCAAGTCTACAAGACAGGACGCCGATGTTGACTACACCTTTGTTCAGGTCGCCGTCGGAAAGGGTCAGGCAGATTTTTCTGGAAACTGTGGCAACATGGCCTGTGGTGTAGGACCATTTGCTTTGGATGAAGGGTTGGTGCATGCACTCCCTGGCCAGACCTCGGTACGTGTTCTCCAGGAGCAAGTTGGAGGAGAAACTTTACTAACAGCAGCCAAGCTTGACGTGAGAGTCTTCAACACAAACACCCAGAGACTCCTAGTAGAAACTGTAGAAGTAGGTCCAGATGGGAGGTTCAATGAGTTTGGTCATTTTCGGATAGGAGGTGTGAAGAGTGAAGGTTCAGAGATCGAAGTCGCTTTTGTAGAACCAGCCGGGAGCATGACTGGCAAACTTCTCCCAACCGGCAACGCGCAAGACACGATCACCGTCTCTTCACTACCAGCCCTCGGACAGTTCAATGTTCAGGCCAGCTTGGTCGATGCTGCGAACCCATTCGTCTTCCTGGACTCAAGTTCTCTGCCCCCAGTATATCATCTCTTGGGGCCCGAAGCACCCGAAACCTTGGAAGTCATCGAGGCCATCCGTCAGGAAGCAGCCGTACTGTATGGCCTGGCAAAGGATGCAGCTGCGGCATCACTTGTCCGAGGAACACCAAAGATTGCAGTTTTGTCGCCGTCTGTAGGTTCGCCTGCAGATTTACGGACAATACAAGTCCAGTCTTTCAGCATGGGGAAGCCGCACCCTAGCTTACAACTGACTGGTGGTGTCTGCTTGGGGGCCGCTGTTTGCACGGAAGGGACTATTGCAAATCAACTCGCAGCTGAGACTGACATGGTAACACCGCCGGGGACGCCGCCTAGAGAGCTAAAGGTCTACGACACTGAGGGGAGTGCAGGTGTGAGTAAGTGCAGAGTAAACATTAAACACCGCAGCGGCGAAATGGGGGTTCTTGTTCAAACGAGGAAGGATGACGCAGGTGGAACAGAGATAGAGAAGGTCTCGGTGTCAAGAACTGCCCGGCGCCTGTTTGAGGGGAATGCATACTACAACACAGAAGCTTTTGCGTAGACAGATAGAATGTAGAATAACTATAATGTCATAAAAACATAGACACAGGGTCACGCATGTCCAGTGTGTCAAATGAGATGAGTAGAGTAGAGTAGAGTAGTGGGTCCTACTCATACTCTACTCAGCCAAAATATGTCCTACTTATACTCTACTCAATACTCATTGAGTATATACTTAAGTGACTTAAGTAGTGAGTCACGTGCAAGCACATATCCTTATAAGGGAGTCCCCCGACTTATTTATTAGCTTTAAATTTACTTTAAAAGGTTATATTATATCTAAGAGTAAGTAGAAGTCAAAATAAGCCCCATATATTTCTTTTCTCTTTGATTTATTATTTAGAAGTCACATGTATAAAATAACACGTGATTACTATATAAATTTTTACTAGTATAATAAGTAGTAAAAAAGATAATAAAGGTAGAGAAAGATAATAAAGAAAAGAATTAAATAGTATTTATAACATAAAAAGAGATATTTAATAAAATAAACCACGTGATGAGTAGTTAAACTACTTAAGTAGTCTACTCTACTCTACTTAAGCTTAGTCATAGAGGGGCTACCTATACTCTACTCAATACTCAATGAGTATATACTTAAGTAACTTAAGTAGTTTGAGTATTCCTTTGACACACTGCGCATGTCAGCGAGCGGTATTCTTCGTCTGGTTCTTAGCAGTCAACGCTTCACGGAGCAAATGAAGGATTTAATGACATCGGTATAGACACGAAGAAAAACTTCAAGGTGCCAGACACTTTTATTGCATGTCGCTCCCATGACACAGATCATCTCATGAATTATCTGCCATGATGACATCCGCCGCCTTCTCACTGATCATGTACACAGAGCTGACAGGAAAGAACCCCGGCGTCTGTGGAAATACCGAAGCGTCGACAATACGCAGACCCTCGACGCTGCGCAACCGAAAGTGCGAGCCGACGACCGCAGCTGGGTCAGACGAGGAGTTCGTTTATACTCAGATAAACTGCTGCAAAAATAATGGTCTTAGTTCTCGAAGTATACTATGAAATAATTAAAAACATTACACTCATATATTAGTAATTAATAACTTTTATGATCCTGTCAATATCTTGATATAGCCTCGTGGCATTAGTATTAATATCCTGTGATATTCGGGAGACATTGGAGACCAGAGTGGGACGGCACTAATCTTAATAAGATATCAGACTGCTTGGCCCTTTAGTATATCCTTAGGAATAGAACTATCATGCAGTGGAAATGGGGTTCTATTATTACCTACGTCGAATACTTGGTAGAGCGAATAGTAAGCGCTTTCCTCGGCGGGTTTCTTTGCAGTAAATAGCTCTGGTGGTTTCAAGCGACCAGTGCTAGTCTAAGGGGATTATAAGATCTCTCGAGAATACCTATTCTAATTATAATTCTTAATATAACTCCACAAGTACTTATTATTTAAGATTCTCTTCGCTAGAATATCCTGGACATAAAGAGGCTCGTTGCCATCACTTGCATTATTATCCTCGCCTAATATGAAAGACTTCTAACAAGCGAAGTGAAGGAATCTACATCTTTGAGCGCCTCATTGTCATGGCTAGGAGAGATACCCTGTCGTGGCGAGGCCCTATTCCTAGTAACTGCGGGGATATCTGAGATGTCGCAATAACGTTAGTGAGAGCATCGACCACCTGCTACAGTGTGGCTAGGTAAGAATTCCCGTCAGCCTCGAGTTTCCTGCGCAGTCTCTTAGCGGCCATCGCTGTCAAGGTCATTGGTGCGAAGAATCGCCTTTGGCTATAGCTGTAGTTTTACACAAGCGGCCAAGCTGCGAATTCTCTGGCTTCTGATTATGCCACAGTAAGTGCGAATGCGTCTCTGCATGAAACAACGCTCGTACTGTACCATAGCGCACAGTATTGGATGGACAAGTAAAGGGAAAGGTCGGGGCAAATAAAAGCAACTAACCACCGTACTCTTATCCTGTCGCCAGCACTTCAAACACTATCACACTTACCTACAAACATGTTGCACGGGGGCATGCTGTATCCCAATGCATTATTATGCATGTCAATTATCTCTCATGTATCTGGTTCCCCAGATTGTTATGAAATAACATTCATGGGTGTTAAGAGGCAACGTAACTTCATCATCAAAGTATCTACGATAGGGCCAGGAGCTTCATAGTAGAATTGAATTTTAAATTGACTTGATTTCTTTCTTCCAACCAACCATCTCTCAACTACACCATCTTCCAATTTCTAGATAGCACTGCTAGAGTACTCTGGGAAGGGAGATGGCTTGTCTTGTGGGTTCCTCGTTCCATCAACAAAAAGACCATAATCTCACCCAACCATTTGAGCTCTCCGGTAGTGGTGTAATGGAACACCATGCACAGAATCGTGAATCGTATTCCCGCAACTAAGAGAAGATCAGGCAACTGAAGCTTGGGAGAGTGGCACCTTCGAGGACTTAGCCCATCTTGGTATGTGTGCGCTCCTCCGATAATAAACCATCCATGTGAAACCAAGGATAATTTAACATCTCTTTAGCGCTTAAGCGCTTTCGTGGATAGTATACAAATATTTTAGACAGGAGATCGTAGAGCAAGGCTGCTTCGTCCTTGGAAATCTGTGTCATCGCCTGGAGGAGTTCTTTCGTCTTATTATTATAACTATACAGATAGATATTATTAACTTTCGTCGCTGTAGACTTTCAGATAGTATCCGAGAAGCATAGAGGGTATGGTTTATTTTCGTCCACATTCCATGCTTGATGTTCTGGTCGAACCCTGCTAGTCTTGGCGTAGCATTATCGGGTTAGTCCTATATCTTGTGAACTAGATCCTCAATCGAGCGCTTGCTTCCCACTTCCCAAGCGATTCGCCTTTGGTAGGCTCTTTTATCGGTTATCTATCAGAATCAAATAATATATTACCCCATGAGGCAGGTGTATTACCGAGAGTCTGGACAATAATTATTATCAAATCTGCTAAGGAAGTCACTTCGTATCCAGAAAAAGGGGCTTCCCCGATCTGATTCGAAAGATAGAGTAGCCGAGGGCCCGAATATCGCTTCCAGGACTAGCTTGTAAGCCTACCGCCACCTCCGGTGCCAAAAATTCAACTGGGGTACCTAGTATATTTTCTGGAGGTAATAAAGCCGGGAAGGACTGGTTAAAGTCGGCTAGTCTGATATCTTTATTGACTAAATTCTTTTGAGAAGAGAGAAAATCGAGCGCCTTTACGATATTACGAGGGGCACCTGGACCTATCATCTCTCCAAACTCGGTTTTGAGCGATTTAATCTCAGGTTTACCAAACAGGCGGTAAATATCGCTCTCGGTATAACGATCGATACCCGGTAGACCGAGGAGGATATTAGCCGTTATAACGTCTATATATATTAGTAATAATGACGATGGCTGGATATCCGTTCGGTACATAACTGACTCACCTCCGTGGCACAGACCTTGCGCATACAGATCAGGTAGGGCCCTTGTAGCTTAGTAGCTAGTTCTACGAGATAGCCATGGTCTGATCCTAGATAAAAGGCCATCCGATAGTCGAGACATGGGTGGGCCTAAGATGGGGATAACGAGGTATAGATGGCGACCGTTTAGCCCATCAAGGGTAAAATTCCGATGTTTGACGAGAAAGAGGGATACAGTATCACTTGTATACTGTGAGGCAGTATAGCGGCTCAACTCGCGTTTCGCAAGAATACACTTCGAGGTACCAGCGGCAATAATTTTCAGTGCTACCCAACTATGCTCTCTGTTGTCCCGAGTTAGCCAGACAGTAGAGAAGCCGCCAGCGCTGAGCTTGTGCACAACCCGATAGCGTCCGTCGTAGACGTCGCCCAGATGAACGGGATGGAAGCCCCCTACTTCGTATCTCTCAAGGTCTTCGGTGTCGCCGAGGCTGGCGAGAATGAAGCAAGGCTCAGCTTCATAATTTTCGTGTTGAGGCGACGACATCGGTAAATGCGAAGCGAACTCTGGGTATGTGTTAGTGAGGGTTGAGGACTTGAAGCGGGTATGAGAGGTACGTGAGAGGGAGAGAGTGATTCAAATGATTTGATTGTGGTGTTTGCGGAAAGATTCCACCCCTTGATGGTGGTGTCGGTTGAGGTTTCATACTCAACGCCTGCCTATCGCTTATTGTTGGGGGGATGTGAGCCATTATTTGGCGCCCGGTCGACAGCCCTTAGTGCACATTGGCGACTACTGTGTCTATTTATGTTTTCCCCTGGAGTACACAAAGTTTCTGCCAGTGTCTCGCGATCCTGGGCTCCGTGCAGGAAAATATGCGATATAAACAGTTGATTTTTGGACCAAAATTTAAACGAAGGGAAGCTTAGAAGCTGGACAAGGAATAATACAGCGTTTCAAAAGGATTGCCGGACGCTAGTTCTTCCGAAGATGAAGCTAGCTCCACGCTAAACGACGAGGATACTTCAAAATGCCAGACCCACACGATCAAGCGAAGGCGTAACCGAACCTAACCTATCATTTTACTGAGAATAATTCTTCCGGGCAGCCCAGTCCGTTCTGGGCAGTGGGACCTAAGAACGGACAAAGCTTGGCAAATCTTGGCCGCCAAGGTGAACATTAGCTGCTTCTGGAAAGAGGTTGATTTGGGATAAGATAGCTATGGAATTTTGCCTGGTAAATCTTGTAGGTAGAAAGAGTAACTTAGGATTCTTGGCAATGACTAGCATCTGGTCACGGTCTCGTTCATCTCCCGGGAACTAGGCAGAGAAAGAACAGGGGGAAGTCATTGTAATACTCAAAGGGGCCGGTTCACTTCGAGCAAGATGCAATCATAATTGAGTGTATTGACCCCAGGTATATTCAACAATTGTAGAGCCCTTTCCATACCAAATCACCTTCGAAATCAGAAATCTTCCTTATCTTCATATCCACCAACACTTTCTCGTCGTGCCATGTAAGCTCAACTACATAACGAGTCACAAGCCGCCAAGGGTTAGGTTTAAGTAATCACTTTTAGCAAATATAAATATCAGTGACTTTGCTTGAGAAGAATTGAGAGGTTTTATCTGCGCACATACTGGTCTTCTTCTGCGTCCGAGCGCGTCTCAGTAACAGCAGCCTTGGTTTCCGGCTCGCGTGATTCAAATGTTGGCTTCTGCTAGAGCAGTTGATTGAAGAGGTGCTGCTGCTATCTTCCAGACCATTTCGAAGCCCGCGAGGAGGGTGAGGAGTGCAGCTGGGGCTTTCATGTTGACTTGCGTGGATGTGCAGCTGGAAATCAGACGTTAGTCCTTAATCCTTGTGGGAAGACCTTCGTGGTTGTATACATATTGGATATCTAGGACGCCTTCGTCTCTTGCTATTACTTTAATGTTGGCCGGGCGCCTCCGTTGTTGCAGTATGGTTTGGCGAATGAATCGTAGAACACGAAGTGACTGACGCTTATAAGCATTCGGGAGTCCAACGGATCTCCCCCTCCCCTCCCAAGTCTTCCACACCATTTTCCCAGGACTAATACTCCCACCTTGTCAAGTTAGATTAAATAATCGCTCTGCAGTTGGATAATCTAGCCGACAGCAAATCAGAGAGAGAACCATCCATTGCATTTCCTACATAGGTGCGAGTTTCTTGCATTTCGGGCTAGGTTGAAAACACAGCCCAGCTGTCCAACCGTGCGCACTTCCAGTGAGCTTCAGGTGGCTTGGAAAGGATTCAAAGGAAATAACGCTCTACTACATGCGTTTCGGGCCCCTGCACACAATGAAATCGGCATATACTGTAGTGGTCCCCCGAAAAAGTTATAGCTTGAGGGTAACCGTGTGTCGATGTTACGGATGCTACTTTATTCTCGGCTAGGCTGGCACAGATCAATTAATCACGTTTTGTAGCAAATTCAGAGAGCGTGAAAGGCATAAAGAGAGCTAGGCCAAGAATATATCTTTTTAAGGGGGGCGGGGGGTACTGTATTTAGACAGCTAAGAACGCTGATAGCTCATAACTTGCCACTTACAATGCTTCCCAATATAGATAATCCCCAACTACTCATGTGTTCTCTATGGCTCCTACGATTTGTACTTCTCATTCTAGAAATAATGTTAAGGATCGGAATATGAGAAATATAGATTGGAAGGGCGAGTGCGGGGTAGGTAGTAGCAGACCTGTACTCAAAAGTGAGAGACTCGTGGTCGTGAATGGCCAACTGTGAACGTGACCTGTTTTGTAATTACGCACGCGGAGGATCACTTTGGTAATTATTGGTTGTTGAGGGATGTTTCGTGCAACTTTCCGCTTCCTCGACTCATTGTTACCCTGTCTTTTCTGCACACGCCGCACTCCAACATGGCGTTGGAGAGTGTTATGCGGAAACACTCCCTGACTTCTTGCTTGCCCCAACTCCCACCTATGTGGCACAGCAAAGCAGTGTAACCAACAATGAAACCACAGACTTAGCCATAATTTCTTTAATGCCTCAGGAGGCATGTGCTTACTAGACGAGCAGAGAGCTATTTATATGGGTATTTCGTGGAATCCATTAGTAATTAGAAGCTGTCATGGCAAAGTCTCTGATGAGTTCGCCTAAAGTGAGTATGAAATCGATACTCCCTAGTCTTATGGTCTAATTATAGTAACTAAGCCTACAGAAGTTCACGAGTCACCAGGGCTGCCTCTAGCCTCTAGTATTCAAGCCTTCCTCCCTCCCTGGAGAGTTATTTGACACTTGCTTTTGCAATTGATCTTCCTACCTATCTAATCACTTTTCTCTTTGAAATTATATCTTATACACTATATATTAATAAAGAGAATGCTATAGAAGTTAATGTCAGACAACGAGTGAATTCTGTCGTATTCTACGAAGGTTTTCTAATGTAGCTTGGAAAGAAAATCACAAACGTATATGGCCCACAGGTTTATAAATTATGGGAATGCCGTTATTTTGAATCGGTATTTATAGTTAATATCGTTGCGAAAGTTTAGTATTAATCCCATCAGCTCCACTCCAACTCGATCTAAGTCGTCCATCCATAGACATTTGATATTTCTGTGCATCATGGTTCAGCCCAAAATCACATCCCTTACAAGCCCAAGCCCATGGGTCTGTGCGCACAGGGCATTTTCTAGGTATCTTCAGGCTTCGCGAAAACGCTTTCAGGCCTTAAAACCTAGAAGTCACGACTTTCACATCAAAAGTTCACGACCTCTATTAATTATAATAATCTATAATTGTGGGAAAGGGTATGGAAATAGCTAAATTACACTTCGCAAAATTGAAACTTCAAGTTTAAAAGAATTTTTATTTTTATTTGTATGCAAAATGCCCTGTAGCGTACAGACCTATGAGCTTGGGCTCGTTACACGACACCACAAAACATCTGAGAGGCTCTTACAAATCTCTTAGGCAGCCTTGAATGAGTATTTATCCATTGGTTAAATTCAGCATACCCTGTCATGGTCGCTAACGCTCCAATCAAGCACGGATTACAGATCCTTCCTATGTAAGCACTGTCCGACGTCACTGCAAACCTCCGACTCCCCACAATCCGAGAATTAATTATCATCCACCCACCATGGCTCCTATGCCGTGGTCAATTCGTCAGGGACCGACCGTATTCCCCAAACACAGGCGGGATCGTCCTACCTATGGAGACTGGCGAGATGTTCACAATACTGAGTCATATATTGTGGAGGGATGGGGCGAAGGCTTCATGTTTGGTGCCTTGTTGATGATGGTTATAATTACGATCGCCAACATGAGAAGAGGGATTCTTCTGCACAAGGTGATTCTGTTGGAAGTAAGTGATGAATTAGCGAGATAAAACATTTGCGCCACTAACAAGCCAGTTACTCCTCGCGATGAGTCATGGCACCTTCTCCTTCATGTCATTCAATGGCTACGGCTGGTATCTCTCGTCGACGGCAGCGCTTCTCTACTGTTCATATTTCACCCACAATGTAGTGGCGTGGATGAAGATCAAGCCTTTCTTCACTGGAGACCATCCATCGTTCAGTCCACGCTATTGTACTGCAGTGCGCTGGATCTATTTGACAACACTTGCGATGACAATTCCAGTCCTCATATTTGAGATCTTCAATAATTTCCGCTTTTTCAACAACTACAGTCGATTGTATCAGACCGTGCGGCCATACGAACCACTGATGAGAGACCCATGGTGGATATTCAGTTGCCTGACCCTATTCCACGTGATTCGGAAAAGTTATAGCTTGAAGTTCTTCATGTTGATACGGCGGTCTCCTCGCTTTGGTATCATGCTCATCGCCATTTTCTTGGCAATAATTTTCACGATCGTGGACATCTTGTCTTCGATCATACCAGGATTAAGTGGAACAGATGGGTATTTAATGACGTCGTCAACATGATATTCTTGGCTAATAGTTATGATAGAATCAACCCATATTGGAAACTAGCGCTTGTCTTTAAGTGCCTTACGGATAATATCTTGCTCGATGACTTCAAGAGTGTCTTGCAACGTTTAGGCGACGCGAAAGAGGACGGAACCACAGCAATGCTCCCGGACACGATGACTATGAATCCAACCCAAAAGACAGGATCAGCTGATCACCATGAGGATGTTTTTGGTGGTGGATCTTCATCAAGAGAGGAAAGAGGACACCAGTCACTGGGCCATTCTACTCCTATGACAGAGTATACCCAGCCCCCAGAAGAGTCTGGCGATGAGTACAACACTCAGGGCATAGCAAAGAACTCGATAGGGAAGCTAGGGGTCAAGATCCACAAGTTACCAAGGCTGCCTTCTTAAACAACATGAGAGTTTGGTTCGATCATGGACGTACATGAGGCCGCAAGCGTTAATATCTGATCAGGTGTTCTACGTGAGCCTCGGCATCCTTCGGAGGTAGCTTCTCCTGTAATTTGCGAGGTGCTTTCCAGAGCAGGAAACGGAGTGAGAAGAATGCTGCTTGGAATACTGTTTTGTGGGATACTTCTACCTTGGGCTCTTCTGTAACGAACAGCTCGCAAGACCCATGTCCCGCCTTGGAAAATGCAGCTGCAACTGAAGCGAAGTGTGATAAATGTAACGCAAATAATAGAGACTTTTCGCCTATCCCTACCACCCCCCTGCGGCTGCCCTGGTTTGCACTTCTGTTCTCACCACTTGTAGGTGCCTGTAGCACCATTCCTGTGTGCCTATTGCCTCATTTAACAGTAGTAGTGACTGTTGTTTTCAGACAGGTAAATAACTCCTTCGTGTCTTTGAGATCACCTAGGTGCTCGCCGCGATGAATCATGCTAATACACGACTGCCACCTAGAGATGTTCGCGTCCATGTACGGCGGCAGACCAATGAATGGGTTTCTAGGCTTGTACTACTCCAGAATTTTCATCGCTTCCGCAAATTCGGGAACAACCCCCACATTGAGGCCCAGCCAGGCATGAATACCGTGCACGACGCTCTCAAGCGCACCGACAACCCAGGCGTGATGGTGACTTGCCGCCTCGCCCATGATGGCAACGTCCCCAGGCGGCTGAATCATCTTGTTCCACATGCTGCTGAACTGCTGTGGTCGGAAAAATGCGAACGCACCCGCTGTGGTCGGGTCCTTGCCCCAGTCGAAGGCAAAGTGGTTGATGTAGTTGCTGCTGATGAGGTTGTAGAGCTCCTCATTGGTCATGTCCTTGTTCTGGTGTAAGCGAACAAGCTCGCGGAAGAGTAACTCCTTCAGATCAGCTTCGTCTTTAGCCTTCTGAGCGGGGTCGGCATTAGTGGATATGAGCGATGCGAGACGCTGCGAGTCTTGCTGCCAGGTGTACGAGTTCAGCAGCACGGCGGTCTTTGCCTTGTCGTCCTGGATGTTGTAGGACGGGTACACACACGTTCGGGTAGTCAGGTCGGAATGACCGAGGCCACCCATCTTAACGTTGTAATCCCCGAGGTCATGGATCTACCATGCATGTTTGAACTTGATGCCAACTTTTGCGGTCGAGCCATACCCCAAAGAGCGAATTGCTTGCTTGGTGCTATAGTTGAGGCCGGCTTTACTGATATCCATCCTTCCCAGGCACGAGAGAGTCGTAGTGTTAAAGACTGCATTGTATTTCTTCGTTATCTTTGCGTGCGAGGTTCCGATATCGACTCCCACTTTCATTATGCCCCCGGCCCTGATTGCCGTCACCGGGGAGTTGTAGACGGGCTTGCGAAAGATCTCGGCGGCCATCCCCTTGGCGAGCTGCTGGGCACCACCCATTATGCAGTACCAATTCGTGTGTTTATCGGACTCGAAGTCGAGAGATTCGAGAACTGTTTCGCTGTGGGCCTGGTCATACCAGTCGGTTCCGCTGGAAGGAGGTCAGCATAGCCATTGGAATACTTATGCGGGAATACCTCTCACCCGTTGAATGTCTCCACCCACTCAATGGTATCATAGTTGTAGGGTGGCGGCGGAATGGGTCCGGTGGGGAGCTGCTCTGGTGGATCCCTAGTGGAAGAAATCAGGTGAGGACGTGCACAGAAATACGAGCAATCGATACTGCCTGAGGTGGGGTAGTACCTACATGCCTAAGAACTGACGCGTACTGAGAGTGTCATATTTCATGAGGAGGTCCCAGCCTTCCCTATAGCACCCCGGTATGGTACTCTGAAAGTACCATGACTTTTTTATTAGAAGGGTACCAAGGAATTCGAAAGTCGTATGGTACCCTCTAAAAGTATTAATAAACTTAATAGAAAGTTTTATATATCGAATCTTCTAATTTAGGCCGATTTTTGAATTCACTTTTTATAAGAATCGGTCTTATATAAGCTGGGTTATTAATAAATAAAGCTAGAAAGTAGTAAAAAACGCGAATGATTTTTAATTTAGGCTATTTCTTATATAAAAGGCCCAAAATTTAAATATAAGAAGGCTAAGGCTTATATATAATATATTCTATTTAAGAATTATAAAAATAAGCTTTTTATAAGAATAAAGTTAATAGAACTAAAAGTTATTAGAAGATTTATTTAAGATTTTAGAATAAGTTTAGCTAGTTTTATTTATAAGTAAAAGCTTTAGAAATTAAATAAGAACTTAGAAAATCCAAAAATTCTAAGTATTAGAATAAGAAATTTATTAATATTAATATTAATCTTATTAATATGAGTCTCTTATATATAATATTAATAAATATATTAAAATTAAATAATTAATATTTTATTTTTAAAAAAACTTGAAATATAATATAATATTTTTAATATTTTATTTAGTTAATAAAATAAAAATAATCTTTAATATTATAGATCTCGAAGTTCTTTTTATAATTTCTTTAATAATTCTCTTTAAAATTCTTTTTAAAAGCTCTTTTAAAAACCAATTTCTTATTAATAGCTTAATTATTAATAAGCTCGAGTATTTATATAGCCTTAAAGGCTTTAATTTCAGCTTTAAGCTTTGAGTTCTTTTCTAATTATTTAATTAATTAATAATTAATAATTATATAAATTAAATTATTATTTATTTTTAAGAATTTTAATAAGAATTTAATAATTCTTTTTATTTTAATAAGTAATATTATACTTTTGCTTTATAAGCTAATATTAATTTATAGGCTTAATTAAATTATTAATTATTTGTTTTTTAATATAAATAAAAGCTTTTTAAAATATTTATATTTAAATTTCAGGAATTTTAATATAATTATTTAAAAAAGATTTATAATAACTAAATAAGAATCTATTTCATGCCCTTAAGCTTTATTTCTTTATTTGAATTAAATTACTAAAGAACTTAAATAGTATTTTATAATTCCGGAATTATATATTCTAATAAAAAGTATATATTTCTTTTATAGGCCTTAATATTACTCTTTTTAATTCCTTCTAGTACCTTATTTATATTAAAGGCATTTAGTATATTATTATTATATAAAGTATATATGTTATGAAACCGGGTTTCTGGGCTTGGAAAGCAGATAAAGTAGTTCTTAATCCGAGGATTCTAAACTAAGAAAAGAAGTTCTAAATATAAGAGCTTTAGTATTCTAAATACTAGCCTCAGCCGTATGCGTCATCGCGGTCACGTGACGCTAAATTTACTAGTGAAGCGGCAGAGTATAATAATATATAGAAAACTAATTAAATATTAAAATAGCTATATAATTTAAATACTTTTATTTAAATATATCGAGTATTCTAATAATTTATACTAGTAGCTATTTTATATTCTATTAGGAATTTCTATTTGAGTTTAAATATATAATTTAATAAATATTTAAATTAGAATTATTTGAAATAAAAATACCTTTATTATTTAATATTCTAATATATTTCTTAAGGCCTAGAAATTCGGAATCGTGAATTAGTTTTCTTTTATTCTTTCCGGTTATTTTTTATAACTATTTACTAGCTAAAGGCATTTTTTATAATTAAATTTATAGAAATAGCTTTTATTATAGAAATATATTATATATATTTGAATTTTAATTAGAAGTAGAAATTAAATTATATATTATATATTAGCTTTCTTTTCTTTATATTAAACTATATATAATAAAAGCTTCTTTATTAATAATAAAAAATACTTTTTAATAATACTAAACTATATTAGATTATTTATATTTATTTATATAAAGCTCTTTTTTAGTTTTATAATAATAAAAGCCGAGCCTAGAAAATTATAAATAAGCTATATTATAAATAATAGACTATTCTATTATTAATAATAATTGAAATAAAATCTTCTAATTAATAATATTTAAGAAATTATTTAATAATAATATTTTAAGTTCTTAATTTATTAAATATAATAGACTTAAAAATATTTTTATTATTTAAGTAATAATTACTAGAAATTATTAAAAGTAATATTTTAATTCTTTTAAATTAATATTATTCTAGCTTTTAAAACTATTAAATATATTATTAGAATAAATATAAATTAGTAATTATATATAAAATATATAGCTTTTTAATTTAAACTAGCTAAATATTTATATTATTAAAAATATTTTAATAAATTATTTATATATCTAGAGTTTTAATAAAAGTATTTAAAAATAGCTTATTTATTTTATTATTTTTATTTTTGAGCCTTTATTTTTTCTTTAATTATATATTATTAAAAATATTAATTAGTTTTTTAATAATATTATATTATAGCTTTTCTTATTTAAAAATAATATAATTATAAAAGTTTTAAATTTATTAAATTATTTTATAACTTAAATATTTTTTATTTTTTAATTATATATATATATATTTATTAAGTTCTTAATAGCTTTACTAATTTCTTTTTTAATTTAGAGATATATAAGCTTTAAAAAGCTAGAAATAATATTAATATACTTATATTATAATATAAAATAAGAAAATAAAACAAGAAATTTATTAGTTTATTTTATAAGTTTTATTTTTATTATATAAATATAGGCTTTTCTAAAATAATTATTTTATTATTATTAATAATAAGCTTTTACTAAACCTAAAAAAAAGTCGAATCTTTAAGATCTATTTTATTACTTTATTTAATATCTAATCTATTAGAATTAATCTTTATATTAGAGAATTTCTTATATTATTTATTAATAATTATTTGAATTATAGCTTTTTTAATTATAATAAGAACTATAATTAAATTAAGAATTAAATTAGCTTACTATTATAGGTATAATATTTAGGGCTTAGAAAGTAAAGTAAAAGGTCCCTTATAAAGACGATTTAAAGCTAAGAAAAGGAAAACTAGAATATAGAAGGCTATAAGGAAATATATATATCCTATAATATACTAGCCTCAAAGAAGCTTAGCCTTCTAAATATCTCTAGTATATTTCAAACATACTTCTCTAGCGAGGCGGCCGCGTCACGTGCGCCTAGAAGGCATCTGGTATCTAGTAAGGTATTTCAGATACCGGATATCTAGGAATTATAATATTACTTTCCCTTTTTATAATAAGCTCATTTCCAAGCTATTAATCTATTTAATTTCATACTATACTTCCTCCCAAAATGAAACTAGTATCTCGGATATAGATATTATATATAAAAGGCTAGTATCCTTATTATATAATCTAAAAAGATTTATTATTATTTCTATATAATTCTAAATAAGTATTATTTTTTATATAGTCTAGCTAGTATTATAGGTTTTATAAAAGTTCTAGTATATTAATATTATTATTATAGAAACTTTATAAAACTAGGAAACTATTATTTAGTACTAAAACTAGATATTATACTAGATTCTTATACTAACTAACTTACTAAATTTTATATTTTAGCCTATTTCTTATTAACTTAAATATAATAACCCGTTTAATACTATATTCTTATTTATTATTCTCTAGTATTAATAGAGGTAGTTCCGGATTTACTTAATCTAGTAAAGAATTCTAGAGATCTTTTTATAACTTCTTTATATAAAAGACTAGATATATCTTTATATTTTCTAGTAGTTTTAAGAGAAATAAGTAGCTATACTATTCTAGAATCTTAAATAGGTCCTTTATTTAATTTTCTAGCTTCTGGCTTAAATAATTGAATTTCTAATATTTTATAATAATTTATATTTTATTTCTAACTTTGAAATTAATTAGATAGTAATATTTATTAGCTTATATTATATATTATTTCTATACTTATTTTATATAGCCTTAGGCAAGTTACTATAATTTATATAATTACTTTACTAATACTTTAGCTTTATTTCTATTTAGCTTTTCCTTAGGTAAGTTAGCTTTAATAGGGGAGTTCTAGTCTAAAAAAATACGAGGCTTATAGCTCTTTTTAGTTATAAATAAGAACTAGCTAATAGTTTTATACTAAAGAAAGGCTTATTAATAATTAATTATAATAACTCATTTATCCTAGTTATTCTAGTAATAGTTAATATATAAATATAATTTCTAATTAAAATACTAATTAATAATCTCTATTTATTCGTTTATTTAGGAGTAATTAGCTATAAAGAACTTGAGCTTTATACTAATTCTTATATAAAATTTGCTCTAAAAATTAGATATAAATTAGAGTCTCTAATCTAATATAATTATTTCTAAAATATTTATTTAATATATTATATAAAGTAAAAATAGAAATACTAGCTATTTAGCTATAATTATATCTTATATTAGAATTATAATTAGATACTTAAATAAGTAATTCACGAATATAATAACTATATTATAACCCGATTTGTTTTCTAAATAGCTCTTAAAATCTATAGTAATATATTATTAAAAGTAATTAGGAACTAGAAAAAGACAAAATAAACCAGGCTTCTTATTTTTAGATATATATAATCTTCTATAAGTATAGTAATTACTATAGTATTAATTAATATTCTTACCTATAAATAGCTAATAATATTACTTCTTTAATAGCTAATAAAGCTTTATATATTATGATTTCCAAATGCCCGGTATCTGAGATACTTTACTAAATACCAGATATCTTCTAGGTATATATAATGCGGCTGCCTTACTAAGGAAATATATTTGGAATATACTAGAGATATTTAAAAGGCTAGCCTCTTTAGGACTAGTATACTATAGGGTATATATACTTCCTTATAGCCTCCTATATTCTAGTTTTCTCTTTCTTAGCTTTAAATTATCTTTATAA